ATAAGGTCTATATTTACCTATTCTTTTATAGCGGCCTTATAATTATTTCTTAAATTGTATCTTTATAGTGTGTTTTATAGGTTTTTGTAGAGTTTCTCTCAAACACACTTTACTTTGTTTAGTTCCATTACATAATGACATCACCATGTAACACTCAAGCTAGCGCTCCAACACATCGTACGTGATTTGAGGCTAAGGGACATCTATAAGCAGTTTGACCAATGACAACAGAGCTGTCCAGCTAACCAATAAGAGCAGACTGGGCTCTGGTTTCAGACAGAGGGTGAAAAGAGGTGCTGCAGCACAGGCAGTATGAGAACAATCAAGAGCTTTTTGAAGATTAAAGCATGGAGACATGTCGCAGGAGAGACACTAAATACTGATATACACCTGAACATCAGCAGGAGAGGACTCTTTAAAGTAGAGACACTACATACTGGTATACACCTGAACATCAGCAGGAGAGGACTCTTTAAAGTAGAGACACTACATACTGATATACCCCTGAGCATCAGCAGGAGAGGACTCTTTAAAGTAGAGACACTACATACTGATATATACCTGAACATCAGCAGGAGAGGACTCTTTAAAGTAGAGACACTACATACTGATATACACCTGAACATCAGGAGGAGAGGACTCTTTAAAGTAGAGACACTACATACTGATATACACCTGAACATCAGCAGGAGAGGACTCTTTAAAGTAGAGACACTACATACTGGTATACACCTGAACATCAGCAGGAGAGGACTCTTTAAAGTAGAGACACTACATACTGATATACACCTGAACATCAGCAGGAGAGGACTCTTTAAAGTAGAGACACTACATTCTGATATACACCTGAACATCAGCAGGAGAGGACTCTTTAAAGTAGAGACACTACATACTGATATACACCTGAACATCAGCAGGAGAGGACTCTTTAAAGTAGAGACACTACATACTGATATACACCTGAACATCAGCAGGAGAGGACTCTTTAAAGTAGAGACACTACATACTGATAGACACCTGAACATCAGCAGGAGAGGACTCTTTAAAGTAGAGACACTACATACTGATATACACCTGAACATCAGCAGGAGAGGACTCTTTAAAGTAGAGACACTACATACTGATATACACCTGAACATCAGCAGGAGAGGACTCTTTAAAGTAGAGACACTACATACTGATATACACCTGAACATCAGCAGGAGAGGACTCTTTAAAGTAGAGACACTACATACTGATATACACCTGAACATCAGCAGGAGAGGACTCTTTAAAGTAGAGACACTACATACTGATATACACCTGAACATCAGCAGGAGAGGACTCTTTAAAGTAGAGACACTACATACTGATATACACCTGAACATCAGCAGGAGAGGACTCTTTAAAGTAGAGACACTACATACTGATATACACCTGAGCATCAGCAGGAGAGGACTCTTTAAAGTAGAGACACTACATACTGATATACACCTGAACATCAGCAGGAGAGGACTCTTTAAAGTAGAGACACTACATACTGATATACACCTGAGCATCAGCAGGAGAGGACTCTTTAAAGTAGAGACACTACATACTGATAGACACCTGAACATCAGCAGGAGAGGACTCTTTAAAGTAGAGACACTACATACTGATATACACCTGAACATCAGCAGGAGAGGACTCTTTAAAGTAGAGACACTACATACTGATATACACCTGAACATCAGCAGGAGAGGACTCTTTAAAGTAGAGACACTACATACTGATATACACCTGAACATCAGCAGGAGAGGACTCTTTAAAGTAGAGACACTACATACTGATATACACCTGAACATCAGCAGGAGAGGACTCTTTAAAGTAGAGACACTACATACTGATATACACCTGAACATCAGCAGGAGAGGACTCTTTAAAGTAGAGACACTACATACTGATAGACACCTGAACATCAGCAGGAGAGGACTCTTTAAAGTAGAGACACTACCTACTGATATACACCTGAACATCAGCAGGAGAGGACTCTTTAAAGTAGAGACACTACATACTGATATACACCCGAATGAGCATAAAAGGGCACTTTTGAAGGTGTCAGATTGTAATATGAAGTTGTGTAGTACGCTGTCAGCCCTGTAGACTCATACAACAGTAGAGCATTGAGGGCATAAGGAATGAAGAGGAAGCGTGAGAACAGGCAGAAGGAGGGAGGACCAGAGTCTGAGGAGATAAAGCCTGCAGGAGGAGATAAGTCAGACCCGTCACAGTTGTTTCCAAAAACCTTCTGTCTTCATCGAGGAGATCCATACAAAGACTCCAGCAGACACAATCAACAAGCTCCACTTCAATCCATACCGTCTCACTCTCTCATTCTGCTGCGGTTCACCTAGTGTGCTTTGTTCAAGTTTATAGATATATGTAAGATATTCCCACCAACGCATTATGATTAAGGCGAAGGAAATGCATATTGTGCTCCTCAAAGCATTGAAAAATGACATTTAACCCTTGAATGGTTTCTGTATCCTGGAGTCATTGGGCAGGCAGTGGGGGGTAAAGCATTACATGGATGCACGTTATTTCATGAGAAACACTAAAGGGGGAATTGGTCAAGCACTCAGGTCATGTGACTAGATACAATAAGAAATATACTCATCGTTCATATCAAAATCCAAAATGGCAGCATACGTTGACTAAGACTCTTGCCTACATGATGGATGTAACAGGGAGTAACATGGGTGTAATATGCATGTATAATGAGTTTAGTATTTGTGTAATGTGCGATTATAAGGGGGCCACATGGTGGTAATATGGTGGTAATTTGGGTGATATATTTGGGTAATATAGTTGTGGCATGGGTGTAATATGGTTGTCACATAGGTGACATATGTGTTCATCATTGGTGTAACATTTAATGTGTGTAACATTGGTGTAACACGGCTTGAAAAATAATCACATTTTTAAAAGATTGTGAAATTGTGTCATTCTTGACTAGATACATATCAAAATAGCAATTAATAAATACATTACACAAAAATTGAAATTACCTAAAACCCGCCACTGCGTCTTATTTTCTTTAGTCCAGCACGAAGGTCTGTTTGATCCGTCAGCTTTTCGCATGATACTGTAGCATTGTACTCAGTGTAGCTATTTATGGGATCTTGGGAGGCGGCGACATCGCTGAAGGTGCTTTCAGGCGGCGTGCGGAGGATGCAGCTTTCAGCGTGTGACTGTTTTTGGGGCCGCTGACCGCCACAGCCACACAGCTGCTGAGGGCTGAAAACAATGTGGGCGGGAGCAACACCCACTCACTGTCTGGAGGCACCTTAAAGGACACAACAAATGCAAATCAGATTGATAAACATCCAATACAGTTTACAGAGCAACTTCCTGCTTCAGATTTAAGCCACTGTACTTACGGTCATTGGGGTTTTCTAGTGCAGCTGTTTTGGCTAAACTGTTGTTTGTCCAACTCAGCTGACCGAACTAATTGCCAGTGCAATGAAACCGAAACGCTTTTCAGTCTAGGTTTAATGAAGTGAAATAAGTTGAGGTTTTAGGTGTACCTGTTAATACCTGTCATACTTTACAACTAATTGGAAGAGTTGAGGGGCCAATGTATCGCATCACAGTCAACTTTTGAATCACTAACCCTTTAAGCCCAAACCACATTTTGAATCCACTTCAATAGAAAGCCAAATGAGTTTATGTGGGAAACACTGTGACACAATGGTGCATGAAAGAAGCTCAAGTACTGTACTTGAAAAAACTGAGGTACTTGTACTTTACTAGTACTTTGCAGTTTTAGGTTAATACAAAATATAAATCAACACATACATTATCATACATTATAGCAGTGACCATCAACTGGTGGCCCGCCAGACATTCTGATCCGCACAGTGACTGTGGCGTTGGAAGAGTGGTTAGTGCGATCGCCCCCCACTCGTGTCACCTGGAGTTACACGGGTTCAAGCCCCACGCTCGTCAAAAAACGTTGCTGTGTCCTTTTGCAACAGCGACCGTTTCATTGCAGATAAGGCAAACAGGTGTAGCCTTATTGAACGATGGCATGATGAATGCATATTTATCGTCCATTCCTCATTAAAACTGCGGTTTTCCACGTCAACTTTACACTTGAGGCTCTTTGACGGTGACATTTTTGCGTGCCTGGGAAACAATTTTCTTACATCCTGCAACCGTTTCCCAGCAATCAGGACACGGTATTAATAAAAAAGTTGATTCCTTTCCCTGTTTTCAATTTTATTACCCCGGATACAGGCTCATCAAAAAAAAGAAATGTTTCAATAAAGTCAACATATTCAATCAATTATATATACAGTATATATATATATATATAAATATACATATATAATTTATTATGATTTATATATATATATAAAAAACTCTGGCCCCCGAAAGCGTCTCTTGGATTAATTTTGTCCCTTGGTCAAATGTAGTTGGTGACGTCTGCATTATAGGCTAACCTACCCAGTAGTGTATGAAGCAATTCAAATAAACCCCATCTTCACCAAGCATATCATTGAAGTGATGAACACATGAATGCAACAATAATTATAATCAAATAATGAGGAAATATATCTGGTGTTTAAATGTGCAATTGTGCAGAGTACTTTTACTTTTGGTACTTTAAGTATATTTTGACACTAACACACTTTTACTTTTAACTAAGTAGAAATGTGAATTCAGGACTTTTAATTGCAACGGAGTATTTTTACACTGTAGTATTGCTACTTTTACTCAAAGGGGACTATTTAAATCCCCCCCCCCCCCCCCCCCTTACCAAAGTCACACTGACGAATGTAATTCCCCTGGAGTTTACGCAAACAAAAGCACTTCACTCTGAGCCTATCAGGAGAAAGATTAAGTGAATCATCTGGAATAGGTTGTGGGTAAAGTGTTTAATGTAGGAACATCTAATTGTGAATGACTGTGTGAAGTAACCCTTAACTGTCCATCTTTTAACTGTTTCCTGACAATGACCCCTCTCTCTGGCCCCTCAGATCGGCCGGTCCACAGAGAGCATGATCGACTTCGTGGTGACGGACACGGCGGGGAGCAGCAGCGGTCAGGGCGGGGGTGCAGCGGGGGAGGGGGGGGGGGGAGGCCAGTCGGCGCAGAGCACCATCTCCCGCTACGCCTGCCGCATCATGTGTGAGCGCAGCGCCCCCTACACTGCCCGCATCTACGCCGCCGGCTTCGACTCCTCCAAGAACATCTTCCTAGGGGTGAGTGTTCTCCCTACACAGGGACCGGTTACCACGGCAACTAGCATACAGTGTGGGTGACTTCAGGGACAGGACTTTGCCTCCCACGGGTGACATCATAGCTGTAAAGATGGGTGTCAGTGCATGTGACCTGGAGAGGAGGGAGCAGAGTGTGTGTGGCTCTAATGTAACTGCTTCTTGTCGTAAATATCAGTCAGTGAATGCAGCATATGAGTACACGCAGTACACTGTTTGCATGCTACTCTATTTCATTATTTCAAAGACCCAATAATTCAGGTTTTTTTGTGTTTTTTATAACTTCCCTATTTTGTTCGAAATCAGAATCCGATGTATTTATTTTTTACCAGTATGTTTTCACATACAAGTTATTTGCTTAGATGTTTGACATCAACACAGTAAGGGGAAATTCAATACATAATAAAAGCATGTACAGAAATTAAGAAACATAAAATAGCAGAACTTCTAAAACACATACAATAGAACATGTACAATATTTCTGATTCAAAAAAGCATACAGAGATATAATCCCAAAGACGTGCATTAATGTAACGTATATAAACGGTCATGATGTTAATATGTAACGTGAGGTGTTAATAAGGGGTGTAAGTGTCCATGTCAGTGGGGCCCGGGTCTGATCGGATATGATAATAATATACTGATATATTATTAGATATTAGATATTGAGATCTGGAAATGATTACAACCTGCTCTATTTTGACTGATATAGCTGTGCTCAGCTCTTACTTTAGAAAGTAATATCATCATAACCAGTTAGCAAATCTATGAAAATACAATGTCTAATGTGAAAATCCATAATGTTCATCATTTCTGTGATAACAGTTGTGCCATTACTAGTAAGACTTACTGTCAGAACTACAAAGAAAGCTCCAAATAGCTTTACCCTAAAATAGAAAGCAGGGCACTGGTTATTTTCATTAATGCAGCACAGTCATGCTCCATCAAGCCGACTCAGCAGTTTCCCCTCCATCTTGCTGATCTCAGTTCAGTGGAGCTGTCTGGAGCCTGAGGCCGCCTGGGGAAGATTTGTAATTGTTTTCCATCAGAGAGAAGGGTATGCTCGCTGCTAATGCGGTGCTAAGCTTGTTAGTAAAACAATTAAGTACCAAGGTAGGATCCCCTGAAGCCCCCTAACAGAGGTCCATGCTAAATGTATTTAGCTCCTCTACGGTGACATGTCTCCATGCCTTAATGTTCTAAAGCTCTTTATTGTTCTCATACTGCCTGTGCTGCAGCACCTCTTTTCACCCTCTGTCTGAAACCAGAGCCCAGTCTGCTCTGATTGGTTAGCTGGCCGGCTCTGTTGTGACTGGTCAACTGCTTAGAGATGTCCCGCCCCTTAGCCTATCACGTACAATGTGTTGGAGTGCTAGCCAATAGAAGCACGAGTGTTACGTAGTGATGTCACTATGCTGCAGAAGTAAACAAAGGAGTACAATAGAGACGTTTCTGGCGTAGCTTTTGCAGACCATTTACATGCACAAAAACTATAGAACACAGGAGAGGGAAAACCTCCAAAAGCATAAATCGAATGTTTCCCCAAGCTTTAAAGGTCTCCTGTCATGCAAAATACACTTTTTGATGTATTTTATACATTAACATGTGTCCCCCGGTGTGTCAGGGAACTCACAAAGTGTCAATACAACCCTCTCTCTTTTCCTCCGTACCCACATCTCTAAAAACGGGGGTACAACGGAGCTGATCCAGATTTACGTCCGATATGACGTAACATCGAAAATGTGGGCTGGCTTTAGACCGACGGCCCTATCAGAAGCGTTGCTATCAGAAACAATACGCAACGTGTTTTGGAAGTAATATGGTCTTTGTTTACATTAGCAAGCAGCGCTAACACTCAGAGCTAACCTGTACTGGAGAGAGCATGTGTAAAGAAGCCATAAAAAGGAAGTCACCTTGTGGTAAACCTGAGAGAGAAAAAGCATTTGAGCTCCATCCTGTTTCAGAAAGTGGTTTTGAACATGATGTGGCGTTTCATCACAGCAGCATTTAGCTGAGTTTCTGCTTCTCTCTGTGCAGCTCTGCTGCATGTGTGCTCCAAAGGGGGCGTGGCCCCGTAGCTACTGACACAGAATAAGCGCTTCTCTAACAGGGCTGAAATAGAGGGATATTTCACCCATTCACGCTACAATGGGTGGTCTGTTTAGTATTTTGAGCAAAACACTTCATAGACATGTTTTTTATATCTCTGAGACCTATAATATATGCCTACAATTTGTATAATAGGAGACCTTTAATATTTGTTTACTAGCTGACCCCTGGCCATCATTTTACAAAAGTGGCCCGGTCAAAACAATGCCTGAGCTACAGGCTTATCACAAAAGCAATAATAGCCCTTTCTCATGACATCATCCCATGAAAGATTTCTCAGGACCCCCAACAACTAGGCCAGCGAGCAGAGAGATAGCGTCAGCAGCCAGCGCTCCACACACACACACACGTCACCACGCAGGCTAGCTCCGGCAGCCATCAGGACTACAATCACACCGACATGATAAACAATTATTCTCTTTTTGTTACAGCCAGGCTCTGTGGTTCATCTCTGTAGTGTTGATGGATGTGATGCAGATACAACTGTTGATACTGTAAATAATGTATGACTAAGTAGGAGAAGACCTTATCACGATGTCATCGGATTATAGCGGGCATGTTTTCAGGATTAGCCACTAAATATATTTACAAAATGTGATAAATAGTTGCTTTATATTTCTGACATAGTGTCTTCTTTAGTATTATTATGAAAGACAAATCTCATCGCAGTTTGAGTTTCCTGCACTGAAAACTGTAACATTGACTTTAATTAAATATATTATGTCAACAGATTACACATAACTGTATCAAGGTAATTGAAAGCAGTAATATTAAATTGAATCTAATATGTTTTATTTAAAACAAAAAATGTTGCTTTCAACTTAGCTAATACAGTTATGTGAAATGTGTTGACTTTATACATTTTTTAAAGTCAACGTTTCAGTTTTCTCAGTGTGCGTGGGACCCTTGGCCCTTCCCCTAATGTCTCACTATATTTCAGTGAAATCCTTCTTTCCTCCAGAGCAGCCTAAAATAAATGTTTGCAGAGCTGAGTCGCTGCTTTTTATAACTGCCTTGGCACTTCTTTTTTTTAATGCAGCTACACACGGCAGAAATGTGCTGTATCATTCCATCTGAGCTCATTTGTGTTCATAATACAGCCTTCCTCTCTCCCAGGGTTCATCCTGAGCGTGGGTGCATTAGTCAGTACAGTAGTCATTCTGTACCGAGCTAAATATAGCAGCAGAGAAAAGCAATGCTAGCTGTTCCTCCAGCCGGCCACCTCTGACACCCCCCTCCTCCATCCTGCCTCCGCCTCATATTCCTCGTGTTGACTTGTCTCTCAGGAACGGGCAGCCAAATGGAGGACGTCGGACGGCTTGATGGACGGCCTGACCACCAACGGGGTTCTGGTGATGCACCCGGCGGGGGAGTTTGTGTCTGAGCCGGCTCCGGGCGTCTGGAGGGAAATCTCAGTCTGTGGAAACGTCTTCGCCCTGAGGGAGACTCGCTCAGCGCAGCAGAGGGGGAAACTGGTGAGATGAAGGGCATGATGGGAAAATGATACGTTTGCTTTGATACGGGTTACTGAACTTGGTGTACTTCAGGGAGTTCTCCAGAAACGAGTTGATTCATCACCCTGGTGTTGAAGAACGTGGCTGATCTTTATACATTTCAGTATTTTTAAAGAAATAAATAAATGAAATATTGTGTTATTGTAGGATCATGTCCATTTTCATTATTGGGATTAAACATGTATAATGGGACTCCCATTATACATTTACCAGAGGGTAAGAGCCTGTGTCCACATAGCGCCTCCTTCTGAGCGCTAGCGTCTTTTTTAGCTCAGAGCACTCAGAGTTGAAAATAATTCAACTTTCCAGAATAACGCTGGTGACACGCTGTGTGAATTGAATGAAAAGCTTATATTTAGCCGTGTTTGTCAGATGAAAACTATCATAACAAAAACCTTAAAGCCCGTTTCTTGGATGTAGGACCGGATGTATCTCCTGGTGGGTGTGACACTGTGTTATCGTCCACCCCCCTCAACATATGGCTGTCAGACAGAGGGGTGAAGCTCATTCAATCAAAGTGTGAGAGTAAAACTCTGACGTTTGGTGCTTATAGTAAAACAATATATAGTAGCATAAACAGATGATAAAATCCATGCTAGTCAGTCTTACAACAGCGGTGATACGTTGTTGACATATCGTTGTCATAGAAACATTAAAAAAGCGAAAATAAAAGGCGCTATGTGGACACGAGCCCTTACTCTTGGGTTTTGATTTTCGTACACGCATTTCCTGTCTTGACCTTAAGGGGTGTGAACCAAACAGCTAGCGAACCAGTGGAAGCTGCTGTTCAAATTACATTTTGGATTTGGATTGGATTTTTTGGCAAACTGTCCCTTTAAACATCTTAACAGACCAGTGTACAGCCCAGTGAAGAGTTGTTTTAGTGAAACTGGTGGCATGATCAACTTTTTGTGTCATATCCCCTCGACAACGGGTCTAACGAATCCCCATGTCCTCCTTCCAGCCAGTGATAGAAACTGTTCTCTTCTTCTCTTCCTCTGCTACATTGCCATCATCTGTTCTCCTCTTCAGGTGGAAAATGAGTCCAACACCCTCCAGGATGGATCTCTGATTGATCTATGTGGGGCCACCCTGCTGTGGAGGACCCCCGCTGGACTGCGCCACACCCCCACCCTCAAACAGCTGGAGTCCCTTCGCCAGGAGCTGAACGCCGCCCGGCCCCAGTGTCCGGTGGGCTTCAACACGCTGGCCTTCCCGAGTCTGGCCCAGCGCGAGATCGTGGACAAGAAGCAGCCCTGGGTCTACGTCAACTGTGGCCACGTGCACGGCTACCACAACTGGGGCTACCGCAAGGAGAAAGGCCCTGCTGGACCCGGGGGCACCGCACCCGCCAGCACCGGGGAGAGGGAGTGCCCCATGTGCCGGAGAGTGGGCCCCTATGTTCCCCTGTGGCTGGGCTGTGAGGGAGGATTGTACCTGGACGCCGGGCCCCCCACTCACGCTTTCTGCCCCTGCGGCCATGTATGCTCAGAAAAGACTGTGGTGGGGTGGAGCCAGATCCCGTTGCCCCACGGCACCCATGCCTTCCATGCTGCCTGCCCCTTCTGTGGTACCTGGTTGACAGGGGAGGCAGGGCCACATCAAACTCATCTTCCAGGGCCCCGTCGACTGAAGCCCACCCCTGGGTAGAGGTGTTGAGGAAAGACTGTGTGCTAGAACAAAAATCTGAACACTCGCCGTGTGGGATGAAAGAAAAGCACTGATGAAGTACAAAAGGAGTGATGAACTGAAGGTGCCATGCAATAGTAAATTGCCATGGCTTCAAACTGAGTTGTATGAAGATGTGTAAATAAATTGTGTTGAAATGAGCACACGTTTAGTGATCCTTTGTCCTCTTTTTTCAGGCTTTTCACACTGCACTTAGTGTGGGGCTAAGTGAGCCTAGGGCTAGCTGGCCGTGTTCCAGAGCAGGATTAGCACCAACTTTAGCCCTGGGCTAATGATGCGTTCCTTTTACATTGGAAGTCGGAGGTGAGACCTGGGAGTGACGTCACATCGAATTGACTGCATTCCAGTGGCACAAGTCGTAAAAAGAAGGCCACTGTAAGCAATACCGGTTGATAACTACGCTTTATTTTGTATTTTGTGAATACAAACATCGTAGCAACATATCCACAGATGGAAGATGAGCAATACCTTATGTACAGTTGATTTAATGGGACACAAATAATACAGAAGAGTTAAACGTCTTATATTTTTAAAGGGTTCTCTTACTGTTCATATTTTGAATGATGTGGCGAGTTATCGCCGAGTTTCCAAGTAGGAAGTCTGACTTCAGGGGGCGTTCCAGTTACAAATGTCCAGCTTTGAACTTGGATACTCCCACTTCCCAGTACAACTGGAACGCACCATCAGTGAGCCGATGCTGGCCCTGTTCCAGAGCAGCTTTAGCCCTGTGCTAAGAATTTGAAGTGCCAAAAGCCCATGGAAGTACCCAGGGCCGGCCATTGGCACTGGCGAACTAGGCGGTCGCCTAGGGCGCCAGATCTGGAGGGGCGCTGCATTGGGAGAAAAAAATAAGAAAATACATTTTAAAATTAAAAAAAATTAAATTTGTATTCTGCCTAATTGTCTGATGTGATACGTTTACAATTGAATAAAGTCAACACCCTTTGCACCCCGGGCCGGCCACATTTTGCATTTGCCCTGTACGATGGGCGCTGTAAGTGATGAAAGTGGGGGATGTTGACTTATCAGGCACCCGCAGCTCACAGCCAAAGTGCGAGCAAGCCTCGGAGCAAGAGAGAGCAAGAGAGAGAGAGAGAGAGAGAGAGAGAGAGAGAGAGAGAGAGAGAGAGAGAGAGAGAGAGAGAGAGAGAGAGAGGAGAGAGAGAGAGAGAGCATCGGTACCGCGGATTGTTGTTGGATTGAGGCTGATAACTACAGCTCAGTGAGGTCTTGAGTGTTTAGATAGTTCCCTTTAGTCAAAGTTATCTCAGTGGATCTCAAACGGTTTTGTCACTATTGATGTAAACAAATATTTCCAAGGCACTCCTTTATAATTATTAGAATAAATAACAACAGGTTTGAAATCATTCCAATGTATACTATAGGACAGTAAACAAAACATATCGAGATATATAATAATATGGGAGATAATATGGAGATATTAAAAAATATGCATGAATAAATAAATGTTAACAGGTAAAATAAGATATGAATGAACAACACAAATAAAATAAGTTACATTTATTTGTTATTGGCTATGGTAGGTTATTGGTTATGTTCTCATACTTATTTGATTATTAAAATGTAAACCGATCTTTTTCATATGGGTGTTTAGAGTTGTACCCCCTAGATCTAGTCTCTAGTAATTCTACTCAAAGTGCACCAGATTGAAGCATTTTACTTCAAAATGTTAAAACAAATATTTCCGGGGGGGCATACCCCGGACCCCCCTAGAGGATGTGATGTCCACCCCCCAATTACAACATGTTCATACAATAATTAATATATTTGCAACATTCTTTATGTATATAACCAACATGTCAATACGTTTCAGTTTTTGTAGTGTATTTTTCATTTAATCTTTATAAATTCTATTGTGTATTGCTTGGAGGGGGGGGGGGGGGGGGGCACCAAATCACAATCTCGCCCAGGGCACCAAAATGTCTAGGGCCGGCCCTGGAAGTACCTGAAAAATCTCAAACCATAACATTGTACTCACCAAGTGAATTTATGATACATGGAAGCATGAAGGCATCACTAAAAGAAAGGGACCGATGAACTGACATTGAAACGTAGAAACCCAACTCTGAGGTTAGCTTAAACATAGGTAAAAACATTTTATTATCAAAACAGTTTCACCACAGTTTAAAGGTTTATTACAATCAGTTTTTAATATATCACATGTTGTGTTTTCTTAACTCAAACATAAAGAACATGTTTTTTTACAACACAATCTTGCCTTGTTCACACCCATGACTTCTTCTTCAGTTTATTTGTTGCAGCTAGCAGTTTATCTTGGCGTGCTACCACCTGCTGGTCAGTGGAACAGTATGGTAGGACTGTGTGTGTGTGTGTGCATACATATATAGGCTACGGGGACCCTTACAAATACAGCTTAATACTGGGACTAGAGGTCTACAACTTGTTTGTAACAATGTAGCTGTGTTCTAACGTCTTGGCAAGCACGATGTTTTTATAACTACTGAAAGATTTTCCGAAAATTAGAACCAAATTGTTAAAAATGTAACTAATCCTAATAAAGGCGCAACATTCAGCTAGCAATGCTACATGTTCCCATTAACTGCATGTTAGCATGTAACTGACTGGACAGATGCTACAGTGCTCGCTATGAGATTACCTCAATCCACAGTAGCATCCAGCATGTAGACTCCACAGTGTCTCTGAGACTTGCTCCCAGTTTGCAGTGCCCCCATTGTGCTAAAAATAACTCAAGGTCACCAAGCTCCCCCTGCCTCCCCCACCAGGGAAAGGAGGGAGAAAGAGATAGAGAGAACACAACAGGGCATCAGGAGGGTTGCACTTGCATATAACCTTTCAGCACCTACTGTACAGAAGTATTGAATAAACAGTGACAAACCCTATCATCTGTCCCAATTCAAGAGCTGTTCCACAAGCTGCACCATGACATTATCCTCAATTTAACGGTATTTTAGTACGAGTGTTTATGAGCAGATTACTTGTATTTTATGTAAAATCTGCTGAAAAAGGTGTCACTCAAATCCCACCCAGAGCTGCCGCAGGGTTTTCAGATCAGAGCAAGAGCCAGATTCTGAACAACATCGGACCATATTCAGTGGCAGGTGTGTCTTACTCTTTAATCGCCCTTCCAACATGTCCGTGTGACAGTGATGTTCAACAGCGGAGCGCCTGCAGATGATCCGCTCGGTGTGTGTGGTTATTTAAAGGCCCACAGGGAGGGGCAGGGGTACAAATCAAGGGCGCCCGCCATGTGGATGACAGGCATCAGCAGAGATCTACAGTACGGTGGTCCAGGTAATGGATGCTGGGGAGGGACCTGCGCTGAAAAAACGGAAACGTTTACTTTAATTAATTGTGTTATGTCAACAGGTTCGTTAGGTCAGGTTAGTTGGAAGCAATAATCTTAAATTAAACCTAATATTTTGTATTTAAACTTAATAGTGTTGCTTTCAACTAACCTAATACAGTTATGTGTCATTTGTTGACATAATACATTAAATTCAAGTCAACGTTTCAGTTTTTCAGTGTGTTTCCTGTGGTGCCTTCAGGAGACTTTACTGTGTCTGTGTGTGTCTGTGTCTGTGTGTGTGTGTGTGTGTGTGTGTGTGCTCTATGTGTAACACCAGGTTTAGGGAGTAACAGATTACTTGCAATTGATAATGGATTACATAATCAGGATACAAAGAAAAGGTAGATGTATTCCCTTACAGTTACATTTAAAAAAATGACAGATTACTGTGACATTTTTCCAAAATGGGGATTACTGCAGGATTAGAACATTAAAATACATTTCTAAATAAATATAAATAAATTATCGGTATGCTTTTCTTAATTTAATATATATATTTATTTATATTTAAATGCAGTAGGTGGATACCTGATTTAAGATGACACATTTTGGATACAAAATATCCTGTTGTCTTCTTTTCTAAGATCATATTGTTTTGTTGCTTTACATAATACACTTAAGTTTCTTCTTCTTTTTCCTCGTATATATATATATATATATATATATATATATATATATATTCGCATTGCATTTGATTTTGAGGTCATCCAAAAGTAGCATATAGTAATCAGGGTACATTACTTTTATACTTAGATTACGTAACTGATTACATTTTTTTAAAACTAACTTTGAATTGTAACGGATCACATTTGCATAGCTCTCTCGACCCCGTGTAAAACCTCCCTTATGATGAAAGAAAATCACTGTTGAATGTGTCAAATACATGAATTCAGCTCTCAGCATATAGTGCCAGACTGAACTCTGAAGAGTGTATTTAATAAAGGGACCTTGATGGTGACCCTCCTGGTCTTTCCTCTAGCCCCCCCATCAGGTCAAACATTTCACTCACTCACAAAACATATTGAAATGTAGGGGGATAATATTCAAGTTGCTACATTAAAGTGAGGCGTCCCCTGCTGTCTGCTTTTTTCCGTGCTACCTCTTGGAGATGTCAATAATATTTAATAAAAAAAACATATAGGATTTACCGATCCCATTTTCAGGAATTAAAGAAGATTTTTTTAAAGAACATTATTAAAGTAAAGGTATAGGATTTCTAAATTGTAAAAGTACTTGCATTCAAAATCGAATTCAAGTAAAAGTACAAAAGTATCGTAATGGCCCATTTCAGAATCATAATGAGTTGCTGGATTATATTTATGATTATTGATGTGTTTTTATCAGAGCTCATTTAAATACTTCATATACTGCTACCGGATGTCTTAACCTTTACAAATATATCAAAGTGTATTTAATAATTCATTTATATTCTGTATTAATCTATATCTAAAAAACTGTTTTAGTTTTAGTGTATTCAAATTGGCTTTTGTTTATAATCTGAATCTGAAAAAGTAACTGATAACTAATTTTGTCAAATAAATGTAGTCGAGTAAAAAATGCAATATTGGCTTCTGAAGTATAAAGTAGCATTAACTGAGAATACTGAAGTGAAGTACTACCTCAGAAATGTCCCTCACCCAAACAGGAGAGAGGTGAGTCAGCTGCAGTTCAGCCTGTCAGGATAATACCAGCTGTGACTGACTGGAAATCATCTGCAAGCAAATATTCAGCATGAAGGATTACAATTCAATTTCCTTTAGTTTAAATCTCAGTTAAATCAAGACGGAGAATATAATCTTGATGTTGTCATAGTGATGTCATCATTGGAGATATAGGCTTGTGATTTAGACTTGAGTGTACACCAGCACTGTCTGATACAAACACCTTATTTAGTTTCATTTTGGGAAATGTAGAATCCAGTGTTTTTTTAAATAGCACATTTTAACACTGTAGTACTTCTTACACCACTGCGTAAAGGTTACTGGTAATACCTACTGGAGCCTTTCTCTGAGTGTTGCATTGGACTAAACATGCATCTCTCCTGGGTGATGCAACCTCTGCTGTCGGGAGGCAAGTGTCGTTGACTTACCGCTGTGCCACCAATGTGCCGAAAACAGCTGACGAGGGGTGGGGTAAGGGGGTGGGGTAAGGGGGGGGGGGGGGTCCTCTCCTCAGCATCCCTCTGATGCAGATCAGTCAGCCTCCCAGTCCTCAGGGTTGTTCAGTAGTTAAGACGTGCTCCAAAAGTCCCCCCCCCCCCCAGTGTGATGCCCTTGTTTAATCCACTATTCCAAAAAAATTGGTCTAGTAACCAGCATAGGGATGTACCTGAATGCACCTTATGCTAACTGTGCAAATTGCCCAACATATGCAGGTTAGCAACGTCAGTTTCTGTGCTGGGGACCCTGCTATACATTTCTAACATAGCACTTTGGGGTACTCAACATTTCCGGGTTCACTAAAGGACCCTATGAGCGGCAAACGGACAGTAGGCATTATCATAATCATACAATTACATTTAACTATTTTGTTAAGGGCTGCACATTTTAACGGGGATTGGTCAAAGAAAAGGACCATTTTTGGTGAAAAAACAAACACATCCTGATTAGTCATAGATTAAGGATTACATTGGGTTACATCAGCCTGAATTAGAGTTATCAACAGTGACACATACAGTATGGTATCAACTGTACAATAATAATGTCTGTTCAGTCCGTCAGTGTTCAGGAAGCCGTTATGTGGATGCTGTTTAGTAACAATACCAGACCAGCTCTCTTTTTGACGTTGATCTTTTTCATCATTTTATTATATATATATTTATAATATGTACAGAAAAAAAAACATGACCAAACTCAGCAGGGAGACAGCACCAAAGTGAACAAGCCGAACAGAAAAAGACAGAAGGTGAGTGACAGGCAGCTCCTGCCCGGTGCTTTTTATTAACAACAACACCTAGTGAGTGCCTTTAATAAGCCATTGAACAGCCATGGACAAGTGTGCAAATGACATGGACAAAAATACCCCCTTTCACCCTAAATCAAGAGAAGCCTAAGAAAGAAAAGTGTCTTTTCATCAGAATCACATTCATAATCAGATTCCCCTTCTCATTCTTCCATCGACTAGACAACACAGTATTCAATGAATACATTAAAATCAGTAGAATAACAAGACTTGTTGAAAGAAAGATTTAAAAAAGGACAACATCCAGGGTGTGTGTGTGTGTGTGTGTGTGTGTCTCAAGTGTTAGGTTTCAAACGATTGCTTGTTCTGCATCTACTCAAGTGTGATACCAGGATGTCAACATGTGTCAATAAAGCTTCAGGAATGTTACATGCAACCTTGACACCCACACACACGCAACCCTGACACCCACACAACCCTGACACCCACGGCTGTTTCCTTCCCTTCCTCTTAATGTGAGATTAAAGTCCTGCAAAGCAAACTACTGTATTCCACTTTCTCTTCACAGGGCTGGAAAAACATAAAGGACACACACACACACACACACACACACACACACACACACACACACACACACACACACCACACACACACACACACACACACACACACACACACACACACACACCACACACACACACACACATCACACACACACACACACACACACACACACACACACACACACACACACCACACACACACACACACACACACACACACACCACACACACACACACACACACACACACACCAACACACACACACACACACACACACACACACACACACACACACACACACACACACACACACACACACACACACACACACACACACACACACACACACACACACACACACACACACACACACACACACACAGCACACACACACACACACACTTTTTTTCCTTCATTCAGATGTATCAAATTGCAGTAAAGGGTTTGCCTTTGAATTTGGAGTTCATATCCGGTCTGCAAACCAAGACCAGTCAGTCCCGGAATCTCCAGACACCCCCGAACACAACACAAGGGATGAAGCAGACTAAATTCCTTTAGTTCAGCATGGATCTCCCTGCTGTGTAGGAGCCACAGATAACCGAGTGAAGTCAAAACAAAGTGAGTTCTTAGAAGGCCCTAATGCTTGTTTCCAGTTCTTTGTGAGGGGGGGTGAAGGGTTAGGGCTCAGATTGCTGAGGTCTCAGAGTTCTACGTCAGAGTGGAGGCCCCTCTACAGAAGCTCTTTTCCTCACACTCCTCCTAGTTTCCCTGGAAATAGACCTAACAGTTACGAGAAGCGCTCCAGGCATGTAAACACTCTCCTACCTTTGCCATTTCAACGTTACTATGCCAACAGGGGGCATTTAATGACAACCGGCTAGCAAGGTCCTAACAGAACATCAAATCTGTTCACATATATGTCTTGCAAGACGGATTGAATATGTTCCTCTCATGTACATATGCCCAATAGAATGAAATGTCACGCTGAAGTACAAGTTTACTCTGAAACACTGCTTCTTTAAGATGCCTTTAGGAGTTTTAAATGATATGGGAATTCTTCCTGTGTCCGTGTCCATGATTATTAACATTTCTTTAAACATGTAGAAAGGTCTTTTGCTTTGTTGAACATGAAAGCTTCAGTATACTTCAAATAAAGTGCCTCCTTTGTCCTGTTCTTGAACATATAGCCTTGTTTATTAAAAGTATAGCGAGTAATGATTGTAAGGGACTCAAATGTGAACAAAATAATCACAACTGGCAAACTAAAGCATCTGATCAGAAACCCAAAATGCACAGGGACAAATAAGAAATGGCTAACCGTTTGTCCGAATGTGACACGATTACAACAGGTCGTTCTCAGGGAAGGAACAGCAGCCCCCCCCCCAGCAAACAGGCACACCCACAACACACCTCCACCTGCAAACAAGCAAGAAATGAAATCCTAAAAGCTACCCGTCACCCGCTGAGCATGAGAATTTAAGCAAATGATACACGTCTCCTTCAGAAGTGTCGATGAGTAAATAAAAAAAAAACAATAAAACCACAACAACAATAAATTGTAAGATCAATGCAGAATGTTGCCAATCGCTTTCATTTCAGTTAAATCTTCGCCCCCTCTATGCATCTGCTCTGTAATATTTAGTGTATCCAGGAAGCCCCCGTGTCAAATGTTACAGCATGTTGTCACGTTGCTTGCTTTTAATGTATGAGATGAAAACTAAAAGTCAAATGAACCCCATATCCTGCTGTTCTCACAACCGCGCCTCCACCCCAGCTCTGACGTCTATATGTGGAATTAAGTCACCTGCCAGTACTCCTCTTCTTCCCCAAGTGTTGAGCAGTGAATGCTTCCTTCAGAACCAAGTACGATCCCTCTTTGCATCTAGATCTCTCTCCTGTATGTAGCCGAGCCAAAGTAGCAAAACAATTCATTTCAGAGGAAATGCAGCTGACCAATCACGTTCTGACTTAAGAGAACATAGATCCAAAATGAAGCAGGCTATGGTATTAGCCGTGCGGTACCATACACACTATGGTACAGAGTGGCCTCTTGAGTAAACCGTGTTAACTGGCTGTTAGCGACCAAGCTAGCTGGCTTGCTAAATGCAACTGGTTGGCTTGCAAATTAGCCCCACAAGTAGCCCCTATGCTACCTAGCTTGTTGCGCTAGAAGGTGACTTTTATTTTGCTCTGCCCCTTCAGAATGCTTCATTGTCGGGTTCCAAAAGCCTCTTTTCCGTGGTGCACATGTGGGACTGCATCCAACAATGTTTGGAACTTCAACCCAACAATGATGATCAGTTTAGGGCAAGGTCACACATGAGCTAATGAAGACCCCTGACGGATTTGACCAAAGTTGAACTCTATGCCAAGCAAAGATTCGTCATCACTCGTGTCGAATGGAAGTCAAGGTGAGTTGAATATTCATTTAGCAAAAGTGTGACCATGGCCTTATTCAGCATTAGCTGCATGTGAGGAGTTTTCATTCTTCACATGACTACTGCCAGTTCCCTCAAAGTGTGTTCAGACAGAAACCGAGGTCAATTCTTAATGCTAGCGAGATTGCATACAAACTCTATGGAAAGGCATAAACAGATGCAGGTTCACCCAGGGGGTCTGGGATCAGACGTGTGTCCCCTGCTGCCCTACCAGCTGGTAGTGTGGTTGTAGTGGAGTTACAGAGAAATGAATAGTAATATAAATCCTCGGTTGATGCAGAATTGAAAACAACAATCCACAGTTTAAGAACAGCAGTTGGATATAATAGTTTGTGGGGAAACTACATAATGCTTGTCCAAAGCCTTTGGCAATCAAAGGGGATAGCACACATCTGATGCCAAGTGTAGGTGGTTGGGCCTGTTGACCCGCTGCAATATGATTGGCTGTTTGCCAAGTACTGTCTTAGCTCGTAGTTGGCAGAGGCAAATGTTTCCTTTCAACTGACAGCGCATAAAAAGGGCGAGTCAAGCATTAGAACAGCAAGTTGTGGAGAGCATGTGAATGATAAACCACAAGAGTGTCATTGCTTCCTGTCTGAACACACCTTAAGAAACACAGTGGCTTCAGGGAGAGGACAGATGGAGGGAGAGGCTTTCCCCTGGATCTCCATCAATACATTTCAAACCACGAGTCACTGTTCAGGAAAAGAGCATCTACAGTGTGTGTGTGTGTGTGTGTGTGTGTGTGTGTGTGTGTGTGTGTGTGTGTGTGTGTGTGTGTGTGTGTGTGTGTGTGTGTGTGTGTGTGTGTGTGTGTGTGTGTGTGTGTGTGTGTGTGTGTGGCAATAAGCTCACTTGTATCTAAACCTAACCTGCCTCACTTCCATCCTAAATCAATAGCAATCTTCCCCGTGTTTCTGTTTCCTCTCTGTCCTCTTGGCAGAAAGTAAAAGTGGCCTCAGGGTCCCTCCCTTTCCTCTCTCCGTTGTTTGACGGGTGTAGGGGCCCAAATGTTTCCTAATCTTAACAATCTTACAGTTTACTCCTCTGATCAACCGCCCCCGGATCTCCAGAAGGGCGGATAGAGGGGGGTGTGATGGAGGAGTGGGGGGGGTGAGGGAACACAGATGGAGAAGAGAGGGAGATTTCAGTGGGAATGGTGGAGGTGATGGTCAGGGTGGGTGGGCGGGTGTGGAGCGAGGGGTCTTTAACAGCAGCCCCCTCCGGACTGCCTGACAGGAGTGCTATCGATCTTGAGGTTGGGCTTGTCTCCGCCGGCTGTGGCCCCGGGGCCCATGCGCTTCTTGATCTCTGCTGCCATGGTCATGAAGGCCTGCTCTACGTTGGTGGCGTTCTTGGCGCTGGTCTCCAGGAAGGGGATGGCCAGGGAGTCGGCAAACTCCTGATGGAGAACATGGAGAACACTTATAGTGGGACAGTGAACTCATCACACACAGACATGGAGTAACGGGTGCTGTATTCAAGTCAAACAGAAAAACAGATCAATCAATAATGAGTAATCATAAATCAATGATGCTCCTTGGGGTGCTCCCTCTCCTGTAGTGTGTGCTATAGCTTTCAGTGCATGTCAATGGTCTGCAGAGGCTGAACTCCCTGAGAGTTTCTCTCCCACACACCAGTTGTCACGGTAGATTGGGGTTAGGTAGCATAATGATGGCTGCAAAGGCGTGTTCACATTCAAAGAAATAATCCTTACGTTTCCTTAAAGGCTATTGATTTGAAACATCTGCAGTAAGTGTGAGTTTCTAACAGCTATCAAAAACATGCCAAAGGACAATGGGTTGTTTAATAAAAGCTATGTATCCGTGTTTTCAGCAGTGATAGGTATGCCTGTCGTAATGGTGTAGTAGGGGCTGCATCTCCATTAGAGTACAGGCGTTATCATGAATGAGGCAAAAGAATAGTATGCCATGTGCACCCCGCCCTCACAGATGAGAAGAAGAATCATGTTGTGACTGCCTCACCTTGGCTGTTGTGTAGTCCACTACTTTCTTAGTGGTCAGGTCACACTTGTTGCCCACCAGAAGCTTGTTGACATTTTCACTGGCGTAGCGGTCGATTTCCTGCAGCCACTGCTTGACGTTGTTATAGGACTCCTGCACAGAGACAAGGATGTGAGCTTTAGAGCTAACTGCAGCACTCGACATGCATACAGCTAAAGGTCATTGTAGTACATCATTAACACCTGAACAATCTAATGAAATCACACACCAGAGCCCTGCAGTACCAACTTGTTGTGTAGCTCTAGTAATAGGGGTTCTCTACTTGTGGAGATTGGGTCATGAAAGTGATGCAACTGTTTTTTAGGCTGTGTTTAGCAATGAATTATAGTGTGATCTTTTTATATTTGTCACAATGATGTATTCATACAGTCATATAATACAAATACATAGCTATATATGTCATGCTAGGACAAGACACAACTGGGATTGTCTGTCCATGTAACTCACATCAGACCAGTTCAAGTTTCAACTGGAACAGGTAATGAACAACATTTGCTACACAGAATGTATATTTATCAAAGTACCAAGACAAACTAGAACATCCTAAAGTATAGGAGCGATTACCCACCTGATCCGTCACATCATATACAACAATGATGCCGTGAGCTCCGCGGTAGTAACTGGAGGTGATGGTACGAAACCTCTCCTGACCGGCAGTGTCCCACTGACAGAGACACAGGCAGAGAAAGAACATTAGTAAACAATGTGAACAAATGGATTAATACCTTAACTTATAACCACCTTGAGACAATCCAAGATCTCATGTGTTGTTTTGACTTCACGGAGCAGTAAGAAGAAATGGAGCATTGAGGAGTAGGATGTACCATAAACAAATGGAGTGTAGCAACATCAATGCTATTGAGCTTATTTCTGGATAGCAAAATAGCAGCGCTTGGAAATACACAAATAGCACTGAGCAGCAGAGTGGTGTGATGTTGTAATGATGCAATTAGTGATGTGTAAATGCACATTATTCAAAGTTTACCATATTAACTGACAGGCTACTAGAGTACAGCTCACCCCCCCCCACACTTCATCTTAGCAGCCTCTGTTTAGTGGCTGTAGCACTATGAGTTTATTGTAACAGTATTTGTGGAAAAAGGAAAAGCAATGCTTTGAAGCCGTTGCTGAGAGGAAGCCCTGCTCCTGGGTCTGTGAAGAACACAGTGGAATCTTTTGGAGTTTTCCCTGAAGTGGATGATGTGAGCATTCCTCTAGCTCTGCTCTGAACTCACGTCACCTGACAGAAGGAACCTGGTTATCTAAACGTAGTTTTGTGAAACCTTTCTATGCGCTGTTCTCTGAAGCACGTTGTCACTGTTCTGTTGTTGCCTTTAGTAACCCTGTTGTGTCCTCCTCAGCCATTGTAATCACAATCACCACCAACAGAATACTTGCTTTATCCCGGGGGAATAGGGTTTGTGGCCGTGGCTCCATTTTGGAATGAGATCAAAATAGAATAAAACATACGTTGAAATATAATCTTCATAAAAAAATACAGGAAATGGAATAAAAGTGTTGATATAAACTAATGGCGTCAAAATTATCGCGTTAACGGCGGTAATTACTTTTTTGAATTAATTGCGTTAAAATATTTAACGCATTGTGCAGAATGGCCCGCCCCATACGTGCCACCAGTGGCAGCGCCAGGGTATGGCTGGGGTAGGCTACACCCATACCAAGAAATGGCTTAGCCCCACCATGAAAAATGATGTTAAAGTAAGCTAAATAAAGTCTGCCAACTCGCGCGGAGTAAATTGCACAGACAGCAGTTAGTAAGATTGATTTCAGTAGCCACGGTTTTGAAAACTTTTGTCACGTAGTGATCGTCTTCTCAATAGAACATCTTTGATAACGGCGTGGTGTTGTTGCAGGAAGTCCAGACGGAGAATACTTTTGCTGTAGTACAGGGGTGCACATAACTGGTACGCAGGTTATGTGTGTAATCTGAAATGCGTACCGTCACTTGTGTCTCAAAGCGCATTTGCGTACCGAGTACTTGTGAAGCTTTTCCAGAAGGCGGTTAGATCACCGGACGACAGAGTCGGTCTCCGTGTGCACAGACAGGGCTGCTGTTAACGTCGGTCTGTACAACGGAATTGTGTCAAAACTACGCCAACCGGCTGCGGAGGGAGACTTCCCCCCCCCCCCCTTCACTGGAGAACTGCGCTAAAACAGCTGATCACAACGTTCACACTCTGTGGTCACGAAGTACTCCACTAGCCGCCCCCCCCCCCGTCGACTTTCCTGAAGTACTCCCCCATTGATAGAAATCAACACGTAATGAATTAAGACCCCACGGTTTGATGATTGATAGGTGTGTGGGTTGTCTTTCATTTTGACACGCAGAAAAATGTTTTAATAAACATAGATACTGTATGTTAAATGGATATATCCGCCTTCTTTCCATTCCCACAACAATATACATAAATAAATGGCATATTTTGAACATAGTTTGAATGGTGATTAATCATGATTAATTAATGTTTAAGCTGTGATTAATCTGATTACAGTGTGTAATCGTTTGACAGCCCTAGTTTAAACACCAGGAGTCAAAGTTACAGCAACAGGGTTTCACTGCAGGACACAACAAAACAATCTTATCTTGAATTAATTAATTTGCTTACCAAACTGCTTCTATGACATCATGTGTGTGACTCCTAGTTGTTTTTGATCTACATTGGGAATGTATAACTTTGTAAACACAAAGAAGAATCTCGTACCAAGGTTCATAACAGTTGAAGTAATGTGAAGCTTCAGGTTACTGTTCATTTCTACTGAGAGAATCAGCTAAAGGACGGGAACCTGAACAGTTCATTCACTATGAGGTGTGTTTCAATCTACAATAAAGAGCACTGTGAAGTGCGCTTGTAGTTGTTTGTGTATATCTACAGCATTAGCAGAGCTGCTGTGTGTATGCTTAACACACTGGATGTTTTCAGGTGGTGTCGCCTGTCCCTTTAAATAAAACAGGATCCTCTTACAGCTTGGACCAAGTGTAAAATACGCACACACAGAAGGCCTCTTGTGTGTTTTGATAACAATGGTCGGCTCTAAGCCCTAGCTCAGGTGTGTGTGTGTGTGTGTGTGTGTGTGTGTGTGTGTGTGTGTGTGTGTGTGCGTGCGTGCGTGCGTGCGTGCGTGCGTGCGTGCGTGCGTGCGTGCGTGTGCTCACAATCTGCAGTTTGATGGTCTTGCCATCCAACTCGATGGTGCGGATCTTGAAGTCCACGCCGATGGTGCTGATGTAGCTCTCTGTGTAGGTGTCATCCTGCAGAGAGAATTGGACCAAAGGTTGTGTAAGGACAACGATTTGAAGAGACCAAAAGTAATGGAAGAACATGTGGGTGGTGAAAACTTACCGCAAAACGCAGCAGGAGACAGGACTTTCCTACTCCAGAGTCTCCAATGAGGAGGAGCTTGAACAGATAGTCACTGAAAGAAAACATTCCAGGTCAGAACAGGGGCCACATCTTTAAGCTCAGTGCATGTACCACGTCTCAATGCTAGTTGTGTTAAACATTGACTGACACAGCTTTCTCATCACCAAGGAAGATCGATGAACAATGTTTTCATGAGTATAAACCTTTGTTTTCTTAGAGTCCACAAAGCAGATGTTAAACCAATACCAACAACATGTCTGAATTCCTCTCCTATCACCTGGGTGTCTCTCAGCTCCAGGACCATTGGAGAGACTGAAGGATGTTCCCTTGTTGTTGACGGCTCAGTAGTTTGCTAAAGGACTTGGTTACTGTCGTTTTAAGCAACAATAACTGAAAGAAGAAAAGGTACTGCGTTTGTGGGGGTACAGTTCAGTCTGTGATTGAGTCAAACAAACTACAATGTGTGTTTATGGTAATATGTTATAGGGTCATGTAACCCACTTCAACAATGTGGCTCATGATGGGTTTTTATTAGTATTTAGACAAAAATAAATGGCACAAAGGACAAATATATAAGCGGTTTTGGGTACACACACAACACTTTTAGTTGATACATTCTTTGTTATTTGGGCCTTGAATTTGCATGATTTGTTGATAAATACTTTGACCTTAGCATAGCTTGTGCTCATTTGTTTGTGCCAATTCAAATGATTTCCTATGTTGGATATTATGTATCAAAACAATCCCTCAGACATGAAAGTCCCGCATCTTTATTAGATCTTGAAGCTCTGTGGTGAAAAGGTGCTTGTAACAAATAAGGGCGTCTACCAATCAGATATCACATCGTCTTTATTTTGCCCATTTTCTTATCTGCATATATTACAGTGTGGAACTCACTGGAATAATTTTTTAAGGTTACACAATACCAATCCAGCAGATGCAACACGAGCAAATAGTTTGTGCTTTTATTACACAGAGGGTCGACAGTGGGGTTTTTGCCTGACTCATCCAAGTCCTATAATACTTAGCGTCTGCCAGAGGAGTCTGATCCAATACAAGCAGCAGCTTATTTGTTTACAAGCTACTTACTTTAAAAAACATAATCATGGCTCAAAACAAATACATTTAGAATCTTACATGCGATGGTTGATACGCGGTGAAATTAACAACGGTTTTATTGAGAGAATATGATTGACGATCAACGGATCATTTTAAGAGACAAAAGGTATGGCTTTGTTTAAATGTTGATTTTTATCATTTAAATCATAAGAGTACAGTTAAGAAATGATTTAAATGTATTCTGCTTTATTTAGCTGATGGATCAGCCAATATATTAACCCTTACCCCCTAATCGCACCAGGAGCGTCTGCGCTGCGTCTGCGCTGCGGCCTCCTCCTGCGTCCTAACCCACCAGGCGCGTTTCAAAACGTTGCGGAAGCGGAGCGTCGTGTGTGCAGCCTCGCAGTTGTTGGATGAACGTTCCACTTCCTGCCTGCGCCGCGCTGCGCCGCGTCAAAAATAGGATTCATCCTATATTTTAGAAATTCCTTGCGGCGAGGAGCTTCTGGGACGCTTCGAGCCGCGGCGCAGCGGGTCTGGTGGAATAGCACCCATTGACTAGAGTGGCCGCGATCGCTAAAAACGCCGCAGCGCAGCGCAGCGCAGACGCTCCTGGTGGGATTAGGGGGTTAGGACAATGCTACTTTTTATGTTGCTTATTCCAAATATTTTTTGCAACTCTGTTGACTTCTTTGTTGTCCAACTACTGTTTGCTGTTCAATAATAAAGTCAAAGGTAAAAGTATTCTAGGGCTTGGCCGTACTCCTGCACAAACATACAGAATGCACACACAGTGCGATGAATGAAATGTTTACTATAGGCCATCACACACTTGTGCCCCGGGCACTACAGCAGCTTGATCCGGCCCTAGAATTAGAACTTAAAACGTTACGGCTGTGGTGCCCATTCCTAACATCCAACACTGATGCTTTAACAATACTTCTTTTAATGTAACTTGAAGGATTGTAACTGTTATGCTGATACTGGCGGGTTCTCTTAAAAGGATGGGACAACATCTCCCACCCTCCATCCTCCCAATCCCTGAGAGGAAAACAACATCACATGAATTTGACACACAGCAAAGACAGCTGGAGAGAATTTCCCAATGCCCCTGCTATTCTTGTGTCATAGGAAACTGAGACCTGTCGTGCATCACAGCCACTTGACACTTGATCAACTGGCAATATCTCACAAACACTGGATGCAACAGCACTGTCGCAATCAGCCCATTTCACATGTCTGTATGGCTGGGGGTTCTGTTGATGTGGACTGATGTTGAGGGCAAACAACAAATCCAAAGACCATCTTAAGTACATGGCCTTATATACACTTAAACTGAGGGAAGCTGCCAGCTAACAATAGTTATTGTGGCAACATTCATAGCTTCACTGCCATAAGAAGGGCAGTGTATCGTTTGAAACTGTATTCATACTAGTGCCAGAACAGAAAATAAACTTTGGTTTTGATCAAACTAATTTCAACTGACACATTTTAGTCGGCAGCTGATAGTAAATAAGCAGATTCTTATGTAAAACACATTGTTTCAAAGATGTATCATTAGGTAGGTTGGTAAACTCACTCCTTGTTAAGTACTACATCGCTGATACACTCGTTGATCATATATATATATATATATATATATTAGGGGCCGATATTCCGCATTTGACCGATTATCGGTATCGGCCTTTTTTTAATCAAATTGCCGATAAAACTTTGGCTCTGATGCGGCCGTTTCTCTGGCTGCAGTCACCACTCTGTGTACACGAGCAATGTCCCGCCCACAGCGCTATCTGATAGGCTATTACTGAAGATGTTCCGGGCGGGAGCCAGAGAGGCGGGACCTTCTCAGTGGAGCCTCGCAGTTTTTCAGGTTGATATGTGAAGCTCATTTGCTAGCCAACATGTATCTAGCAAATGTTTAGCAACATATTAGAAGGGAGTCTAATAGACTAACATTAGGTCTACTGTAATAGCCTCACTTTTAATAGTTTGCAAAACATTAGCTAGCACTAGTGTTTTGCAGTTGCTAGCAGCTTATTGGGATGTTATGCTAGATAGACAGATATAATAAATTAAGCATTCTTGTTAGTTAAGCATGTCAGCCTGCAGCCCCACTTCCTGTCTCTCTCTCTAACTCAGTGGTTCTCAAAGTGTGGGGCGCGCCCAGGAGACCAGGAGAAAAAATGGTTATTAAAAAATAAAAAAATAAAAAATCATATTTGGAAAAATTATTGATTGAAAATAATATGATACAGTACAGTACTATTACGTCTGGGTCTCTGTGTTTCATTAAAGCTCGGCTCTGTGTGTGTGTGGAACGAGCCATTTTGTGTGCGTGAGCGAGAGAGAGCGCACCGGTACCGGAGATCGTTGATGTTAGCTTCTGGTGCTAGCGAGCTACGCTAACAGATATAAGGAGTTTTTTCAACAACAAAGTGGAGGAGAGTCCTCTCCTGTCAGACTGAGAGACTCAGTGAGCTAAAGGACTCTCAGTGTTATCTCAGTGGGTCTCAAACGTTTTGGTCACCATTAATGTAAACAACTATTTCTGAGGCACATTATATGATCATTATAGTTATAAAAAAATAAGAGAATAAATGAAAAACAGCTATGAAATACGACAATATGACAGTAAAACAAGAATAAAGTTTAAAAGGGTGATTTGTAAAATATCCATAAAGAAAAAGTAAATCTGTTTACAGTTCTGTTTCAAATGGGTGTTGAGAGATGTATCCATAGATCTCTTCATTTTGCTCTCAAAGTGCACCAGATTGATGCATTTAACTTCAATATTTAAAAATAAATCTTCCCGGGGGAGCTTGCCCCCGGACCCCCCTATGTGAGGTCCACACACCACCTACAAAAATAGCACTTGACCCCTGCTTACACCTATATGCCGTGAGCTGAATATCGAGCCTTCATTGTAACTGTCACACTGTGTATATGCGTGGGGAGTGTTGCAGTAGAACATTCCACTGTAGCGCCCGGTACATTAATGGGAAACCCTAAATGTTTGAGCACCCTCTATGAAACGTCAAGCTACCCCACAGCACCCCCAAAAGAAATCTCTGGCGCCGCCACTGAGCCTGACTTGTGTTGGGGGGGCCCAACTTTTTTTTTTCTCCAAAGGGGGGGCCTGACAGAAAAAGTTTGAGAACCACTGCTCTAACTCATTGCAGATGGCCTGCACTAAAGAAAAGGGCACAGAGAGGAAACCAGTTGTAAGATGTTTAAAGTTCATTAAACATAATATATGCTTAAATGCATTTCAAAGAAGTTGTGTTGAGTTGTGTTGGAGTTTGTGTTATTCTACATTTTGACACCAAGATTTTCTGATTTTATTACAAATGTATATCGGTTCCAAATATCGGTTATCGGTCTCCTTGATTACTAATAATCGGTATCGGTATCGGCCTTGAAAAAGCCATATCGGTCGATCCCTAATATATATATATATATATATATATATATCATATTAGTATTTGTTTTAAGTTGTGTTTTATTTAACTAAAACCTAATACATAGAAGTAGAAACGTTTATATTGAGTAATATAAGATGTTTTTGCAAAAGGGTCAGCAGTTATAACCATTAATGAATCATTAATAAACGTGTTATTTATAACAACTAGGGATGCACGATATTGGTTTTTTGAAACCGATACCTTCCTGCTTTTCAAGACCGATACCCGATAATAATATAATATATATATATATATTAAATGTACCTGTAGTTTTTGCACACCTGGTGGTAAAAAAAAGACTAGTAGTGAGCAAATGACATGAGCATTACTACTATGAACAAAACTAACCCTGGGGTCGTCTCTGGCAAACTTCTTGCCTTTTTCAAAAGCCTCGTCGATAGGTAAAAGCCCCGGTGCCTTTGTAGCTGGCTTTGGATTCGCCGCTAGTTTAGCATCGCAGGCGTCTTCGTACGCTTTTAACACGCCATCATAGCGATGGCGATGTTTCAGGTGACTAATCAGGTTGGAAGTATTATAGCTCGTTGCCTTTTTCTCTCCTCGTGGAACTTCTTCATTGCATTTGTTAATACAAATAGCAAGCGAACTATCTAACTCTGAAACTTTGAAATAGTCCCATACTACCGGCGACATGTTTGTTTACTGTCCTGGCTTCACGGCCGCACACCATTTACGTCACAGCCAGGCATAAATTAGGGAGCGCTGGATTTGTGAAAAACTCCCCTCTTCCTAAACCACTAATACCACAGTACTGGCAAAACGGGAGGAGCCGAGTGAAAAACAAGCACCCCTCATCCCAATCCACCCACACCGCAGTATTTTTTTCTTTTTTTTTACCCAAAAAATATATTGTATATTATCGGGGCTATTAATACTGTTATCGGGTTTATCGGGATGACGTCATAATTCCTAATATCGGACCGATAATTATCGGGCCGATAATTATCGTGCACCACTAATAACAACCCATCAGATCTGGTCCGCCATTAATAATAAACACTGTTAACTTGGTAATCATTTCATTGTTGTCAAGATAAGGCAAGCGATCTATTGGGGAGGGGTTTCCTAAATCACTTTAGTGTCATGCTTTATTTTTGTAAACAACCTGACAACCTTCAATATGGTATTATTATATGGTTATGACTGTTAATTAAATCATTACAAAAGTATCTGTTAATCATTAATAAACTTAGTAGATACACGTTTTACATAGGGTCGTTTATATTAGAAAGATAACCAGCCCAATCAATTAAATGACAGTATAATGGTAGCCAATAATGAGTAATATCCAACTAGAGGCAATGTTGCACAGTTCGTTTAAAACACACAGGGAAATCCAGAATGTCTGCTAAGGGTGTGGAGGTGTTAGCAAAGCTAGTTAGACAGGGCTCAATAGGGATTGAAAAGCTTCTCCTGTGGACTCCCGGACAGTCGATAGTTTCCGCACCGGCAGACAGATTCGGTGACACCGGGTGTCCTCTCGTTTCATGGCTGCAGGTCAGCCGTCAAACATCTGCTCCCTGTCGTATCACCTGGCGTTAGCACCAGCATGCAAGTAATAGAAGCCAGTTTGGGCATTTTAACTCCAAAACTAACACATTGCAAGTATTCAACATTATGACCTGGTAACCTGTTTTAGGTTGGCACCAACCAAATAGTTATGATTATTAATATTTGCTAAATATCAGAGGTGGGAGAAGTACTCAGATCTTCTACTTGAGTCAAGGTAGAAGTGTAGGAATACTTTGTTACAAGTAAAGTCCTGCATTCAAAATGTTACTCAAGGAAAGGTACAGAAGTATTAGCATCAAATTATACTTAATGAACCAAAAGTAAAACAGTCATTATGCAGATTGGACCATTTCACAATAGTGTATGTTTCTAATACATTATTGATGTGTTTTGAAAGCTGGTAAAGGTGGAACTCATTACAATTACCTTATTGACTGCTGGGGAGAATGTTAATTCAATCCAGGTGCAAATAAAGTCTTATTTAAGTCTTATTTATCATATTGTTTATCATTTACCTGCAAAGTAACTAAAGGTACTACATAAACGTAGTGGAGTAAAAGTACAATATATACCTCTGAATTGAAGTGGAGTACAAACACATTTAAATACTCAAGTAAAGTTCAAGTATCACAAACTTAAGTACAGTACTTGATTAAATGTACTTATTTACTTAACACCACTGCTAAATATCAGTTTGCGTGTAAGCCTTGAATTAAAGGGGAAGCCATTTTTAAATAATTTGATTACCCGGCGTCTTAAATAGGTACAGTATGCACCTGTGCGTATGAAGATTTAAGGGTCCATATGGAAACAACAACAGGCTCTACCGAGGCCACTGCTCAACAAACTGTATTCCATTACTACATGAAACGACGTTACTGTCAAGCTAAAGCTATCCGTGTTAGTTCTAGTTTCTAGGTTGAGCTATGACCGCGTTCCATCTTGTTTTTCCTCTAGTTTTATACAGCGGACTGGTGGTTTATTTGTCCCGTGAAGAGGTCGCTTGACACGGCCGACACGATGAGGCACGAGCCCTGTCAGCTGACGTTAAGGAGCCCGACACATTAAAGGAGCTGTCCGCGCCCTGTTCACAGCCAGCTAGCGAATATCTGACTATACATGTATCGACAGAACAATTAGCATTAATTATTTATACAACATATTAAAACAGTTCTTTCCAATACAGAGTCTGCCTTAACATGTAGCGTGTTAAATATAAACTCACTATTCGGGATTCATGGTTTCTCTCTGGATGTGTTTTTCTGTCGGCGAATCTTCCTTCCTACTCCGGCGAAAAAGATGACTTGTAGGTCCGGGTATCCTAGGCACTTGGATGGCTGTTTTACCGTCTCCGTTATCGTCCCGAGGTCGTTCCACTGTATTCGACCTTTATCGTTTCATATACCCTCGATACTAGCGGACATATCCTTGTTTCTTCGGGTCAGGCTGCCGTAATTTACTCCTATTTTCTGCCTTCTGTGTCCGTTGCTTGCTAGGAGCTCAAGATGGCTGCGCAGGTGCGGTAGTGACGTGAGGTGACGTGTCACTACTCGGTTCAGAAAGCAGGGACGAATCGAGAACAACAGTGGCGCTGGGATTTGTAGTTTATCAGGAAAAGTAGGTTTAAAAAATAACTGTACTCACTAAACATGACGGCTAGGGTTGGGTGATGTAAACACAATTATTATTGCTAAAACTCTCAAACGTCAACTCCCAATAAAAAAATATATATAGATGTTTAAAAACACAAGTAAAGACATCAAATTGTTAAAATAGTTATGTTTTGCTGAATCAGATTCTATTATTATTTTTTAAATATGTGTACTTTTAATATAAATTATTCAACTTTATTAGTTAACTTTTATAAAAGGAAATACAATCATTAGGTTTGTCTGTACCAGATCAGAATAAGAATCAGAACTGAGTTTATAGGAATTTTCTATGGTGTGAAAACATAAACAACACAAGGAAATAAGTTGTAATTAAAGATAAAAAATAGAACAATTTAAAAAGAAAATATATACAAATACAAAATAAACTAAACAACTTAGCACAATGAATATAGGACGAACTACAGTATAATAGATATTATATTTACAATACAATTATACAAAACATGTAAAAAGTGCAAAATAGATTTTCTTTTCTGTCGCTCTCTCAGTCTATGCGGAAATGCCCCTGAGCATTTTATACAAACACAGTTAATGAGAGTTTCAGTTATAATGTTGTATCTTAAACATTGTCTTTTTTAGTCGTAATCATCCCCCTTAACTGCAGAGCCAGTAATATACTTAAGGTAGCCATCCGCTACTTCCTCATCCTCCTCTCTGGCTGCAGCAGCAGCACCCAGAGGAGTAGGCAGGTACACATTCTCGCATCTCCCCCCACATTCAGTGTGTGTCTCCTGAGAGGCAGCAGCAGCAGCAGCAGCAGCCACCTCCAGGCCGTGGTTGATGTAGCTCTCCTCCTGGCTGGCCTCCAGCTCCGGCAGCTCTGACAGGAGAGCTCTCAGTGTCTCACACAGCTCCCCAAAGCCAGGCCTGAGGCTCGGGTCCTCGTGCCAGCAGCTCTGCATCACCTCGTAACTGTGATGGTGGGGCGAAGGAGGAGGCAGGGTATATACAACTATGCATATTGTTGATTCACACAAATATGTTCTATCGCAATTGTATAAAGGTCCCCTATTATACTCTCCTTCAACATTATATTATAGATCTCAGATATATACAGAACATGTCTCTGAAGTGTTTGGCTGTAATAACAGACAGATCATTGCAGCATCCCATAATCCCCTCTGTTTCAGCCATGTTCCAAAAGTGCTGATTCTGTATCTGTAGCTTTAAATGCTAATGAGCTGCTGCTGGCCACGCCCCTCTGAGAAGTGATTGGTTTGAAAAAACACAATGGTGCTCTAGGAGGAGATTCAGGTGATAAGGTGGGGGGGGGGGGGGGGGGGTTACCTTGGTTGGTTATTGGCTAATGATTGCACAACCCCTAAAAAACATTGTGACATCACAAAGTGGCCAAAATCTGATCAGCTCATTTTCTGACAGGTTTTTATAGAAATGGATCAGGAATAAAAGAGAGAAAATCTTTTTTTCTGAAACTTTCAGAATCTCTTAACACACTGGGTTACAAGTTACACACACATACAAAATTAATGCGGTCTTTACTATAATTTGGACAATTTTGTACCAATATTCGGCGGGCCGGATTAAAAAGCCCAACGGGCCGTATATGGCCCGCGGGCCTTAGTTTGCCCAGGCCTGATTTAGAGTATGCAGATGATATAATTGTTAGTAGGCTCCAGGATAATGAGACCAGCCACGGCCCTGTCATCGACGACTTTGTCAGGTGGTGTGAGGAGTCCTATCTACAACTGAACATAAGCAAAACCAAGGACATGTTCATTGACCTACATGAAGTCTATCCATCGTAAATCAGAAAGTGGAATTTGTGCAATCATACAAATATCTCAGGACAATTATTGACAAAAAATTGAGCTCTGAATCAAATTGTGAAGCTGTGTGCAAAAGGTGTCACCTGCTTTTGTATTGTTTTAGGAAACTGTCCTATTTTAACTTTGACAAAACCATGCTGATCATGTTTATCTTGCTTTTATTGAGTCAATTCTGTGCTTATCTTTAATGTCATGCTTTGGTAACCTGCCTTTAAAGAGCAGACACTCAGATCATAAAGTGGTCCAGCAGACTGACTGGTGAGCCACAGCTGAACCTGGAGTTACAGTCACAGTGGTTATCCAGCTCTAAATTGAATGATGACTCCCCCCCCCACCTCTGCACTCAGAGTTTAAGCTTCTTCCTTCAGGAGGTTAGTTGTCCCAAAGTGTAGTACAAAGCGTTATAAAACACCTTTACTCCAGCAGCTATCGCACAGAGGAATAAGTGGTAGCAGTGTCACACAGATACCTATTTATCAACTACAAATGCCCATACAGTAGTTTTACTAGAGTTTTTTAAATGTTTTAAGTTGTGACGGAGCAGGGTGTACTTTTATTAGAGATGTGTCTGTTGTGTTGTTGTCAGAATGTGTGTCAGGGTAAATCCCTTGTCTTTTTATCTGCAACCCAAATCTAACTACGGGTACCAATAAATAGCCTGAAGCTGAACCAGCGATGAACTCACAGTTTGTGGTCACAGTCCTGGGGGGGTTTGAGCCTGTGTCCGGACAGCAGCAGCTCCAGCAGCTCGTGGTTGCTCACTCCAGGATAGGGAGTCCTTCCCCGGGACACAATCTCCCACATGGTCACACCGAAGGACCACTGAGAGGGTAGGGACGACAAATACAGATAAGACATTGAGAAAATATCACATTCCAGGAATGAGAGTCCAATCTCTACTTTCTCACAGCAACTCACTGCTCCATAGCGTTCTTGAGTTGCTCTTTGTTTAACCCCTGGTTTAACCAGATCCTAATCCGTTTTTCCCTTCTCAAATCACTAATTCACTCATTTGTATATATCGTTTTAAGGTGGTCCCTTGAGGATTTACCTTCAAATTGTAATTATTCTGCTAACTTAAATGTAAATTGTATTCAATATTTCCATTTTGTGAGATTGATAGGCTGGACAAGCATAATGTACACTGCCCTCAATTATATTTGTACATTTATATTGTATATTCATTATATATACTCTATACATATTTATTTATCCTTCATTATTGATACGTATATATTCACTGTTTTGCTTATTTTGTTTATATTCTACTTCTAATATGTATATCTTTATTGTTTTTCATTTGATTTACTTCTGTGCCATGTCTTCTCTTGGTGCTGCTGTGGCGAAACTAAATCACAAATTGGGATCAATATCTAATCGAATCTTTTATCTTTCTTTCACAGCTGTTAATCATGTGTCTAATGAAGCGATGTCCCGTGAAGCCTGAACTCACCACGTCACTCTTGGTGGTATACAGGGACTCAGACAGGCTCTCCATCGCCATCCACTTGATTGGCACACGGATCGCCACTTTTTGGCGGTAATAATTGTCGCTGTACATTTTTTTGGACAGGCCGAAGTCAGCCACACACACCCGCAGGTCATCGCCCAGCCTATGGATACAAAACATGCTTTAGGTTAGGCAGGAAGAGGATTAGTGCCAGTAAAAAAAATGTGGGGGACATTTCAGAAAAAATACTTAAAATTCGGAAGTTCTGAATTTCAGAACTCCATTTTTTTTTTTTTACTTTTGGGCCCATCCCAAACAAATATTTTCATATGGTCCTAATCCTCTTCTGAACAATGCTTTCTGGAGTATAGGATAAAATAACATCAAATAGAGTTCTGATAAACAGTTTTTTTTATTTGTGCTAATACACTTTCTCCTCTAAAGCCTCAGTCTACTTTCTTGATATTTTGATCAGCTTCCTCCCGAGACACAAGCCATGGTTGAATACCAATGGCTAAAGGACAGAGTCACAGTCATATGTGAACAAGGAGTCATTCATTTGCCCCCCCCCTCAATGTCTCCCTCTGATGGACTCACATGCAGTTGCGTGCAGCCAGGTCTCTGTGCAGGAAGCCCTGAGAGCTCAGATACTGCATCCCCCCCGCGATGTCCACCATGAAGCGCAGCAGACTCTGGTGGGGCACAAACTGAGGTGGGGGGGGGGGGGGGGGTTGTTTGTTTTTAACATTTCTGAACAGACACATGTGCAGATGTAAACATGTTTCTGTTGGGGTGTGGGCGGAGGTGGCCGAAGTACTCAGATCTGTACTTGAGTAAAAGTAGAAGTACTCAGGTCTTGTACTTGAGTAAAAGTAGAAGTACCAGAGGAATACTCTGTTAAAGTGAAAGTCCTGCATTCAAAATGTTCCTCAAGTGAAAGTAGAAAAGTATTCTCATCAAAATATAGTGAAAGTAGCGACAGTAAAAGTAGTCGTTGTGCAGATTGGTCCATTTCAGAATAATATATATGATATGTTTTATAATGATTGATCATGAAAGTGTTCTCAAAGCTGGTGAAGGTGCAGCTAGTCTGAATGACTTTGTATAATAATAATAATAATAATACATTTTATTTTTAGGCGCCTTTCATGACACCCAAGGACACCGTACAATTTGTTAAAAAATAAATAAATAAATAAAAATAAAAATAAATAAACGCTAATAGGCAACAGAACATGATAAAAACACAAACAGGAAATCATGGAGGAGACAGTCAAGTGGACACAAAAGAAACATAATGGGGAGCACTACAGTGAGTAAGCAGATGTATACTGCAGGGTAGCTGGTGGATTTACTCCAGGTGGAACTAAAGTCTGATTTAACACTTGATTATATTTCACATCATTCATCCACATCTGTGAAGTAACTGAAGGTATTAAATACATGTAGTGGAGTAGAAGTACACCATTCACCTTTGAACTGTAGAGGAGTAGAAAAACAAAACATTTGAAATACTCAAGTAAAGTACAAGTCTCTCAAAATTGTACATAAGTACTGTACTTGAGTGTACAGTGAGTTTGCAGACTAATTAAGCTTTTAAATATTTTATTTTTATAATGCTTATGTGTCCATTTGAGTGTCTTCCCTTGTATTGCTTAATTTATATGGGTTTAATCAAAGTGTTTTCTTTGTCAAAGGCTTATTTTTATTGAGTTATAATATTGTTATTCTCCCTGAAAAAAGTCTGCAACATTATTTTGTCATAGTTTCTAATGACAAAATAAAAATATTGCAGGAAGATTTTCTTTTTGTCTTAGTGACATGTCACTGTAAAACGTAATTTGTAATTTAACTATTGGTGTGTGTTATGAACAAGTAAGAACCAATGTTAACATGTTGTATTTCTGCAATTACTTAATTACAATGTTATTGTATATGAAACCAATTTAAAGGATGGCAAACTCTACAAAAATACTGTCTATTTTCGCAAGTGCTGGTGTTGCAATTTTCTCCTTGATGTGCATACATGAGCTGCCAGCCTCACCATAGGAATGTCTCCGTATCGTGTAGCGATGAGGAAGCGGCGCATGTCTCCATGTTTCATGTACGGCAGGATGACCAGGGGCACCGGCAGAGGAGAGTCCTGCTCTCTCTGTAGAGTCACCCCTGCATGAAACACACACACATACACACAATCACACACACAATCACACACACATATTTCACAAGGTCGCTACTGCTGCAGAGGAGAGAAAAAAACTGTCTCTTGGTACAATAGATGAACCTTTACCAGGGTTGGGAGGGCTACTTTGAAAAAACTAGTTACATATAAAAAATGTAATCAGTAACCTAATCTGAGTATCAAAATATAAAAGTAATATAAACTGGTAACTCTGTGATTACCTCAATATCAAATGCAATGCAAATACAAACAAGAGAAAATCAATAACAACTAGAGAATGCAATTCCTGAAGAAATTGCTAGTGGGAATGCTTTATGCTGGAAAGCTGACGCTGAACTGCTATGCTGAAATGTAATGTGTAAGAAGAAAGTGAATCATTTATATTGAAATGATACATGAACACTGGGGGCTTGAATGTGTGATGAGAGAAGAAAATAAAGTAAAAAGGTTTGGAAAAGCAGCAGAATATTTGAACTGCAAACTTTTGAACTAACTTGATGGTGAATGATCTGTTGCCATGCCAACGGCATTTGATGACATCCCATAATACGCTTAGATGCGTTGATGGCTGTATCGTTACCAAACCTGTGAAGTTTTGGGCCGTTTGGAGCATTTTCACTGAAGTTATGAGAAAACCGTGTTTCATGGCAAGCATTGTGTTGCCATGGCAACGGCATTTGAAAAAATCTCAAAACTGTCCCATAGATGTCTTCACGGCTGGACTGTTAGCACACATGTGAAGTTTGAGCACTTTTTGAACATTTTCATAGGAGTTATAGCGACATCGTCTTTTATGGCGAGGGATGCGTTTCCATGGAAACGGCATATGATGAAACCCCATAATTGACTTAGAGCTGTTGAGGACTGGACCGTTAACCATTATCTGAAGTGTGGTGCTGTTTTGACCCTTTTCGTAGGCGTTATGACAACATCGTGTTTTATGGCGAGGGATGCGTTTCCATGGAAACGGCATATGGTGAGATGTCAGATTTGACGTAGAGCTGTTGAGGCATGGACCGGTGATATACAGGTGAAGATTGTGGGACGACCGGACCGTGTCCATTGGAGCTACAGCGACATCGTGTTTTATGGCGAGGGATGCGTTTCCATGGCAACAGCCTATGGTGAGATCTCAGATTTGACGTAGAGCTGTTGAGGGCAGGATCATTAACCTTTATCTGAAGTCTGCTGCTCTGAGCATGTCAGTTGGAGTTATGACATCATCGTGTTCCATTACACAGGTGTTTATATTTGATCTAACGACGTGTCCAGAGATCAAAGGTTTCCATGGTGATCAAATAAATGTGGCAAAGGCTCAAATGTGTTGAACAACACATTTGTAACAGGTTTGTTAAAGGTGGGGTAGGTAAGTTTGAGAAACCGGCTCGAGATACACTTGTTGTTGATATACAGAAAAGTATATTTTTTCTGTATATATATATACATATATATTTGTTTACATATCTGTAAAAATAAGAATCAGATTTAAAAGTTGTGTTACCGGAATAATGTCAGAAAGATGTGTGACATTTTAAAGTTGGAATGAGGTTTCTGAGTGAAAGTATGAATGAATAGTTAGCAGTTGAAGTTGCATGAAGATTGTTCAAGTCTGAAGAGTTTCTCCATTGACTTCCATGTTAAAAAAGGGATGAATTATGGGATGTATCTCTGGAATTATGAAAGTTATGAATGAGAAAAGTAATAGCCATCGATTCCCGACCGAGCTGAACGTTTTGATGTTTGAATGGAGTTTCTGCGATGTGGAATGTGGGAGAAGAAGCAGCGCAAAATAACCCAGCGGAATAATAAAGACTTCCATGCGTGTGTTTTACTTAAAAGTGGGCTCTGTAACGGCCCGTCTACACTACAGGCGTCAAAAAATGCTTTCAACGCTTCGCCCATTCATTTGAATGGGGTGACGTAGGATATTTTCAAACTTCGCCGAACTGCATTGTGGGTAGCATGGCAAAGCGTTGCAAGCATCGCGAGCGTCTATCGGCGTCAAAAGTTGAACAATGTTCAACTTTTGAGGCTCGATGCTTGCTCGAAGCTGGCGTCAGCCAATGAAATCCCGTTTATGCAAATCTTGCCAGTACAAGCTAGCCAATCAAACCGCGTGTATGCTGGGAGAGACTACGCAGGTCATTTCCTCATATTCAAAAAAATGGAGGGAAAATTCATTATAGCGGTAGTGAATCACCCGGTGCTGTATGATCAGTCTCTGTTCATCTACCGGGATACAAACCGGAGGAGCGAGGCATGGAGGGAGGTGGCAGAGACAGTGGATGAATCTGGTAGGTTTTCGGCTGTTTGGGGATTTTATATCCAGTTTACTTCGTTTTAACATTGCTATTGCTTTGTATGTCGGGGGCGGGAGATTCATGTGATTGGTTGTTGGTCGCGTTGTAGTGTAGACGGGCCGTAAGGAAGTTGCAGATTTTTTTCGGCTGTGTATTTTCAAATTCTAGCGCACTCGAGCCGGTTTCTCCAAAGTGACCTACCCCACCTTTAAGTGTATGTAACAATGTCACCTTAGCAAAGAAGAGACCAATATATTTAATATCTAAGATGTAGCAACAGCAATAGTTTACAAATGCTATTTAAGCTTAATACATTAATCAAAAGCAAAGTGTATTTTTTTTTTTATTCAGGTTTCCATCAACTGCATTAAAAAATAAATGTATTTCAAATATAGATGATTTAAGTTAGCCTAAATATAAACCATAGAGAAAATGATTTCAGTCCAACATCAAACGCAGTGCAAGAGAGAAACTAAATATCGATAACATGTTTTTAACCTAAGTGTCTTATATTAGACAACAGAACTATGTGACGTTAGTTACTTTATCTTTTTATGAACACAGTTATATTAAAACTGTTGTAGCTTTGTATATTTAAATGTTACAGTCTGTGAAATGTGTAACTGTACATTGACGTTTAATTTAATCAAAGTGCCGTCTCATTGCAGTGCACTGTCATTGCTGCTACCTCTGCTTTTATCACTGCTTTTATTTATTTGTGACTATTTCCATTACTGCAGTGAGGGATGCCAACAACATAATGTTATACACCTATGTATGATGACAATAAAGATATCCTGATTCTGATTCAGAACTGTGTATGAACACGGCCAACAGAGTGAAAACACAGAGGGCGAGTTAAATGAACCTGCCTTTCAGTGCAAATACCAACAACCAGCTTGCAATGGTTTGTGGGACGGGAGAGGAAGTGGATGTGTCCTAATCATTTCTGAATAAACACAGTATCACAGTCCGATAGGAAACATTAGGTGGTTTCTTACCCAGGAGTCTGACCACATTCTCGTGATCAAAGGTCTTCATGATCTCTGCCTCTCTCAGAAAGTCATACAAGTCTTCCTGGCTGTGGATTCCAACTGGATTTGTAGGACAGAGAATAAAAACACAAAATAAGTAGAAGTACAGTTGAGTTTAGATAAAGGGTTAATTTCAGTCCCCACCTCTCATGGTCTTCACAGCCACCTTCATGTCCCCTCCTTCCTCTGGTGAGAAGACCCCTTCATAGACTGATCCATACTCTCCTGGAGAACACAGGAAGTCATGATTTTAACACACAGTTTTACTCCCAAGTAAAATACTTCTTTTCTTTTTTCAAAACGGAAGATTCGACAGCATTTGGATGGATCACCATAACATCGCTTCACTTCTAGTGCAATTAGAAGGTCAAAGTGTTCAGTCCTTCACTGAAATACTTCTAAATCTACTAAATGGATTAGGAAAACTTTTGGGGTGGCTAGATTATGTATCTTCATGACTTTGGTAATGTTCTGACTTCTCTTCTACCGTGAATTGAAATCAGTGTTTAATCTGTAGAGTCAGATTATATTTGAGACTCTATCTGCAACATTTATCACCATGTTCTTTACTATCAAAAATCATTTGAATGAACTTTCCACAGTACATAACCAAGGTTTTACACTACAACTTAAAGTAGTGGACATAATGACAATATGCTTAGCAATAAAAAGCAACGTTTAATAAAAGGTGGTGATGATTAATGGTTTATGTATTTCATATATGTATATATGAATATACCATCACCACATCACCATGATCTTAAAATCAGAATCAATCTTATTTTACTTGGCCTACTGAACCCTGAAAATTATAGTGGGTCGATTTATTTATTACACTAAACTTATTTTCATTGCAGCCTTTCTACATTTACAATATCTGTGCTGCAGGGTAGGAAACAATCATACTGAAACTAAAACCCTTTTCTAACATTTTGGAAAAAGATGGAGGTTAAGGTTTTGTTTTTTAGGAAGAACTCACTGCTGGATGTGGGACTCTGCTCTCCTGTGTGAAAGTGAACTAGGCTGCTTTAACACTGAACTGTAGGAAGTGTTCGAGACATCCACAGTATTATTCACCCTGTTTCCAGTTTGCAAATGGTGGCCCTGCATTCAAAGTCTCTATAATTGTTGCTGAGTCATCATGAACTGACCTTTGCCGAGCTCCTTCCCCAGGGTGAGTGTTTCCCTCTCCACCAGGACTTCCTTCAGACTGTCCAGCATGCTGCCGCCGAGCGCCTCCAACATCTGGACCACCCCCACCACTGAAACTAAAGGGAACACAAAGGAGTAAACTCAAAGTAACTGCACATTGAAATCTGAAATCCCTTAAAACAGGAAGTACAATAGAGACTGTATTTGTATCAAATACCAGCATAAAGGACATTCTTTGCCTAAGTTCACATGTGTACAATTTGACACAATGAATTACAGTTAGTAAAAGTTCAGACTTTAGTCATTAGCGTTAATTCATAAACTAAGTGGGTTGTTTACATTGGGGGGGCTACAAGACCTTATACGTCACACCCATATACATATACTTGAAATAATTTACATCTAAAATAGGCTAAATGTTATGAAGGAATTCTGTACATTTGATATTTTACCGTGTTTGTGTAATGACTCAAACAGTGCTAATGATAATGCTGTGCCGGGCTATCAAGTTTATCCATTAAAAAAAATAGAACATTTTATGGGATAAAGAACATGTGTCGGCAGCACAAACAACGTTATATATATATATGTTTATTCATGCTTTGTCCTTTGTGTGGATGGTTATTGGAATGCTATTTGTTTGGGATTAGATTTGTGTCCTAAGTATTGTGCGATACCCTTCATGTAATAAACATAACATTTGAACATGACACTCACTGCTGGCTGGCTGAGGTTCAGCTTCCTCCTCCTGCTGAAGTCTGTAGGAAACTCCAGCGTTCATTGGCAGAAGCTCCACATCCTGGTCGGACCTGCAGCAACATTATAACTTTCTTTTAATTGTCAATACATTTTTCTTGACAGTTTAGTCATCATAACTCCTTGCTAAGAAAAACGGGCATCCTAACTACTAATCTTATCTCATAGTAAGTAAAACAATGTTGATATATTCATTTGAGTATTACTAGAATAAATTGAGATTTTCAGACAATATTATAATATACTTGAATTAGGTAGTAATTTGCCACAGTACCTTTTTAGATATATTTTCTAATCCAAGGTCCACCAAGCCAGAATGTTTACTAAACAAAAGCCTCTCATCGTGTAACTTTTGTTGTCTTTTGTCCTTTACAGCAAATTAGCTTTTTAAGCCCTTCCATGTTTCCCCAGCATGCTGCTGTGCAGTCCTCAGTTAGTGGAGCACCCTCTGGTGCACACTGACAGTTATTGCAAAAACTGACTATGGTCAGCTTTCATATTACACATGTTCAAGATGAATGCACATTAAACCACTGACTGGTGTGTAGTTAAAATACTTCTTGGAGATCATTTTGATATTTGATACATGCCTGATGGGATACCTCAGTGCAAAGGCATTCATTCATCATCTTAGATGTGTTGTATACTGGCTGAGATTACTTTAATAAACTTTCAGAATGCTTTCTTATTAATATGCTACATGGGATTTATAAAAAAATATATTTGGTATACCTTTTGGGGATTTTTTTCTTTCTTTTTCATGATACATTTTACAGGCCAAGTCATCAGCCTGTATTGTAGCTCTAGCTGTAACCGAGTCAAAGTCAACTCTAAATGCAATTTAAACTGCTTGAATAACATTAAACTAATCCTTACCAGTGTGAGCAGTCTCGTTTTTATCACTAGTGGGTTCTTTTTGTGCAAAACTATCCACCACCTTATTGACAAAGTACGTTTTTGAGCTGAAAGTAAAGTTTTAATATGGAACAATTTCACCTATTACCTTTGTAATTTTACACATAAATCTTTCCTCACATTGATCTCCTCGTGTGCGAAAGTATCTCACAATGAAGGCGCTAAGAAACTCATCTATGGCCTATTATAAAGCTTTGTAATTTCATATGACACCTCATGTTCTGTAGTTATTTTGATTACTTTCCCTTCCAACACTCTCAACATCTCAACTCAGCAATGACCACACACTTCATCAAAAATAACTTTAAAGTAGTACTCAAAAGAATAAGACGTGTTAGGTCCCATTACCTGAGTTTAGTGTAGTTGCTGCGCAGGACACACACAACAATGGGGATTAGAGCCATGAGCAGCAGGATGGCAAATAAAATACCAATTGTCATCCACATGGAGGTGCGACTCTGGGACTTAGAAGCTGTTGGAACTTCTGCCAGCTCTGAGAAGTTTAAGCCCGGCATCTGTGTGCTCACCACAGGAGGAACCTTCCCTGGAACAGAACAGAATGATTCAGGTGGCTCAAATTAACAGCACTTTTGACTTTTATTTACTTCAATGATGCACTTTTTGTTCAGTAGTTATTCAAAGCTAGCCTGTGCACATGTACAGAACCCAGAGTAACCCAAAGTATAACAAGAGAGTGCTAAAAAGACAACAACATCCAGCTAAAGCAGTGTTTCTCAAACCTTTTCATACCAAGGACCACTTAACCAATAAAAAAACACTCACGGACCACCTAACTCCACAAATATCCAAAAACACATCGTTTTTTACAAATCGCCTGAAAATTGTACAAACAAGTGGCAACATGTGTGATGAAGGTGTTTATCTGGGTTATATCATGCAATCGAAAGTGAAACTTAATCTCACTCCATTGCGGAGATATTCCCGCGAGAGTGCGGAAAACTTAAATTAATTAATTAATTAAAAATGTGAAATGTTACCAATATACTCACGGACCACTAGGGGGCGCTCACGGACCACCAGTGGTCCGCGGACCACACTTTGAGAAGCACTGAATGCTAATATTAGCTAACTTTAGCCATCGTTAGCTAACCCATCCTCTAATTGTGTTGAGCAAAAGTGTTACTGAGTATAGCTTCAGTTTTCTTGTGTAGGAGGCAGAATGTGTTATCCTTCTTTCATCGAGCTAGCTAAATCATTAATGGGTCAACCCTGTTACTCATATTATCAGAATAAGACACATAAAAATCATAGTTATCTTTCTTTAGTTTAATAATGTTGTTCTTGCCTTGAAAGTAGCCTTATATTCTGCATCGAGCATCAATTCCTGAGGTAAAAACTAATATTAGCATTGATCTGCAACCCTGTTACTATAGTTAAAGTAATTACAGTTACAGAGTTGCATTTACTGCAGTACCATTTATTATCTAAAGTTAAATTAAATGTTTACATTTAGCATAATCCAAAAGTTTTACTGTATATTCCCAGAATAATAATTGCCTTCTTTGTTAATGGCAACAATGAACCCTTTTGTTAAAAATAAATTCTAAATGAACACATCTGTGTTTAAATTATAGTTTTTACATTTTAAACTGATTCTATTTATTTCAAAGTTCTAGCTAACCGTTGAGCACAGTTAAAAAGCAACAGATAAAACATCTTATAGTGTGCAACTCGATTTAAGATAGGATACAACTGCTGACTTCTAGAACCTGGGATAAGTACCATTTTGTTTTTAGACTTCTCTGATTCAGTGTGCTCTGTATAAATGTTCTGTAGTTCGTCTGATTAAAATTGTGCTTTTAATCTCAAAACAGCTAAAGTATCTGACTTTCAGGCAGAAATGTGGGAAACTTATTTTTACAGAAACCTTAAAACTGAACTAACTGGTTCTTAGGGTTAACTTTGATTTAAACATTTGTATAATACTAAGGGCTTTATTGACTATGGGTAACTGTATTAGGGTTAACCTCATAACTTTATTACCTAGGGTTAATGTAATTGAAAAAATGGTCACTAAAAAGTTCATTAAGAAAGGCATGGAGACTCCAGCTAGTGTGAAGTGAGCCAGTTCCTATTGCTGCCCACCAGCTGCAGAGAGTTAACAAATTAAAGGGGCGTGGCCCCACAGCTCTGACAACTTAACAATCAGGACTGGTGTCCATTTTAGGCAGCACTTTCCTGGAGCGTCAGACTGACAAAGACAAAGGAGTCCTGTTGGAGGCAAAGAGGAGGCAAATCCTACTTTAACTGTGCTAAGTATCTCTGGTGTTTTTGGTCCCCTCTTGCTAAGACATGTGTATATTCTCCAACCCTGTTCATGTGTCTTCTCGCAATTATCACTGGCCCCGTGTATCTCCTACTCGATATAACCGGCCTGCTCTCGTCTATCCCACATGCTCCACTGAGATCCAACATCTAGTTTCAGGCGGCCAGTGGAACTGCCAGTCAGCTGTTCCTAAGGCTGACTTCATCTCTGGCTACGCTTCCCTGCAGTCCCTGGATTTCCTTGCTCTCACTGAGACCTGGATTACTCCATCCAACACATCCACCCCAGCAGCTCTCTCCACAGCATATTCCTTCACCCATACACCCAGACCCACTGGCAGAGGAGGTGGCACTGGTCTCCTGCTCTCTCCCAAATGGAGCTTTTCCCTCTTCAAGCTACCTAACTTCACTCCTTCCACCTTTGAATTCCATGCCGTCACAGTAACCCATCCTATACAATTAACCATTGTTGTTCTCTACCGTCCACCAGGCGCCTTGGAGGACTTCTTGGAGGAATTAGATAATCTCCTCTCACACATCCCTGAAACTGGCCCTCCCGCTGTACTTCTCGGAGACTTCAACCTCCAGACAGGGAAGATAGACGAACTAACATCTCTGTTAACCGCCTTTGCTTTCTCACTGTCTCCGTCCCCACCGACTCATAAAGCTGGCAATGTCCTTGATCTCATATTCTCAAGGAACTGCACTGCTTCTAACCTCTCTGTAAACCCGCTCCACACATCCGATCACTTCTTCATTTCATTCTCTCTACCCCTTTCCAAACATAACAAACTCATCTCTTCTCATCCTGCACCTGTCCGCCGTAACCTTCGCTCCCTCTCCCCCTCTACCTTTGCCTCATTGGTGCTCTCAGCCCTCCCTTCCTCTGACTCGTTCCAACTCCTGCCTCCAAACTCTGCTGCAGAAACTCTCCTCTCTACTCTCTCATCCTCTCTGGACTCTCTCTGTCCTCTCACATCTCGGCAGGCTCGTCAGTCCCCTCCGGCTCCCTGGCTAAATGACGCACTGCGTGCTAATAGAACCGTCCTTCGGGCAGCAGAGCGGAAACGGTGGAAATCCAAACACCATGACGACCTCCTAACCTATCAGGCTCTCCTCTCCTCTTTCTCTGCTTCGATCTCTCAGGCAAAAAGCACTTTCTTTCAAGATAAGATCCAATCTTCCTATTCTAATCCCAAAAAACTATTTTCCATCTTCTCCTCCCTCTTGGACCCACCCAAAGCCCCTTCCTCCCTTCTGTCAAGCGACTTTGTTACTACTTTGAAAAAAAGGTTGATGATATTCGCTCTTCTTTTTCTGACTCACCTTTACTCACCGCTGGGTCACCAGACCCTCCTTCCACCAACACACTGACCTCCTTTTCCCCTCTCTCTCCAATGGCGCATTTCCACTACAGTGCGGAGCTCGCTTTAAGCGTGCCGAGCTGTGCGGGGCCCGTTTTTGGTTGCGTTTCCACTTAGCGTAGTACCGGCTAGCAGGTACTATTTCACAGTTTTTCTGGCCCCATAAAATCGAGGTTCTTTCCGGGCCAACAACCAAGCTGAGTCGGGCTGAGTATGCTAAACTAGAGAGAGAGAGAATCGCTGGCAAGGGAGCTACAACTACAACAAGATGAACATATTTGACCGTGATTTAATTGTAATACACGTTTCAAAATGATGCCGTAGTAACAACATACTGATACCGGATAGTAAAAACCATGAATTAATGCTCCGACCGTCCACACTCACAACAACGGCCTACAGACATAAATAAACCAGCGACTGTATTCGCCATGACACAGGCAGTCTGTGGTTTGTACTTGTTTAACTTTTGTCTAGTTTCTGAACAGATATGAGGAGCTGTGAGCTCTGAGTGCTAACAGCTACCGGCTGATGTTATTTTTCTGGGGTTCTCATCGAAGATGACGTCATGGCTCCGCCTACACTGCGTTACTATAGATACTACCCCAGTTCCTAAACTGTAATGGAATGCGCCATAAAGTGAGCCAGTCGTAACAAGGCTTAACGAGGCCTAGCCATACTGAGCGAGGCCGAGCGAGGCCGTGTAGTGGAAATGCGCCACAAGTGAGGTTCTTACCCTCATTACCTCTGCCCGCCCTACCACCTGTCCTCTGGACCCTGTCCCTTCAAACCTCCTTCAGACTATCGCTCCTGATATTCTACCGTTTCTCTCCCATTTCATCAACACTTCTAACTTCTGGTCACTTTCCAAACAGTCTCAAGGAGGCAAGAGTAAACCCTCTCCTAAAGAAACCCACTCTCAACCCGTCTGATGTTATAAACTACAGGCCTGTCTCTCTACTCCCGTTCCTGTCTAAAACACTTGAACGCGCCGTCTTTAAACAACTCTCCATCTCCATCCAACCTTCTGGACCCGCACCAGTCTGGTTTCAAGGCAGGTCACACCACAGAAACTGCCCTCCTTGCTGTCACTGAGGAACTGCACACGGCTAAAGCAGCATCCCTCTCCTCTGTCATCATCCTGTTGGACCTGTCTGCTGCATTCGACACGGTGAACCATCAGATCCTCCTTCGCACTCTCCAAGAACTTGGAGTTTCAGGCTCTGCACTTTCCCTCATCACCTCATACCTCAAAGACCGCACCTACAGGGTAACTTGGAGAGGGTTGGAGTCCGACCCTTGTCAATTAACTACAGGGGTCCCTCAGGGCTCTATTCTTGGTCCCCTCCTCTTCTCCCTGTACACAAACTCGCTCGGATCAGTCATTAGCCCGCATGGTTTTTCATACCACTGCTACGCTGACGACACCCAATTAATTCTGTCCTTTCCCCGCTCAGAGACCCAGGTCGTCGCACGCATCTCTGCTTGTCTAGCTGACATCTCTCAGTGGATGTCTGCTCATCACCTCAAGCTCAACCTTGACAAGACTGAACTGCTTTTCCTTCCGGGAAAAGATTGTCCCACTCTTGACCTAACAATCAACATCGGCACCTCTGTTGTTTCCCCGACTCAGACTGCAAGGAATCTGGGTGTGACCCTAGATAACAACCTGTCCTTCACTGCAAACATCGCTGCTACAACCCGCTGCTGCAGATACACACTTTACAACATCAGGAGGATACGTCCACAGCTGACCCAGAAAGCCACGCAGGTTCTGGTCCAGGCTCTCATCACCTCACGCCTAGACTACTGTAACTCCCTCCTGGCTGGTCTACCTGCATGTGCCATCCGACTTCTGCAGCTCATCCAGAATGCAGCGGCTCGCCTGGTCTTCAACCTTCCTAAATTCTCCCACACCACACCGCTCCCTCCACTGGCTTCCGGTAACTGCTAGAATCCACTTCAAGACACTGGTACTTGCTTACCATGCTGCAAATGGATCTGGCCCTTCCTACATCCAGGACATGGTTAAACCGTACACCCCAGTGCGTGCACTCCGCTCTGCATCAGCCAACAAGCTCGCTGCACCCTCACTGCGAGGGGGACCCAAGTTCCCATCAGCAAAAACACGTGGGTTTGCTATCCTGGCTCCAAAATGGTGGAATGAGCTCCCCATTGACATCAGGACAGCAGATAGCTTACACATCTTCCGGCGCAGACTGAAAACTCATCTCTTTCGACTCCACTTCGAGCAATAAAATGAAAAACAAAAAAACAAAACAAACGAAAGAAAATAAAAAGCACTTAGATACTAACTAAGCACTTACATACTAACAGAGCACTTATATACTAACAAAGCACTGGCTTATCTAAAGCCAGTTGAGTAGCAATTGAAATGTTTTGGCTCTATGAAGCCTGATGTACTTTATGATTCTGTTTTCTTCAAGTTTGTATTTTGTTGGTCGAACGCACTTATTGTAAGTCGCTTTGGATAAAAGCGTCAGCTAAATGCAATGTAATGTTCTAAAATATATACCATTGATGCCTGAGCTGGCCAACTAAATGTGATGATTTACTATCTGTTCTTCTCAAATACATAACAGAAAATTAGAAAATAAAGTTTTTTTTTACATCTGAACGTCATCCAATTCTGTAATGACTCACAAAGGAAAAAACTTAAAAGTTAGGAACTGAAACCAGAACTGAACCCTAACACTGTTATTTCCTAACACATGTCTGTCTCATTATTTCCCTCGCCTTTCTTGGACTTTCTAATGTGTCGAAATCTTAGTTGGGTTTACATACATCTGTGGATTGTGACGGTGGCAGTGGATGAAGGTGGAGCCCCCCCCAGGGTGGATGCATCGTTCCAGGCCTGCACTGAGAGCCTGTATCCGTGCTGGGGGCTCAGCTCGGTGACAGTGACTGATGTGTTGGTCAGCCCTGCTGAGTTAGGCAGGAAAACCACAGTATCGCCACACGCCTGCCACTGACGGCTGGACTCCACTTCCTTCTCACACTTGATGCCATACATCACTTCCTGTCTGCCTCCACGGTCATGAGGAGGATCCCACGTCACCATCAGCACGGAGTCATTATGGTGACGGGCTGTGAGATTCACTGGAGCAGAGGGCGGCTCTGTGGGGGACAAAGGGAAGTAAAACATGAGGAGAGTTTGCAAAATCGTATGAAATAAGTGTCCTTAGCATCACATTAGATAAAGGTAGAACAAGGGAGACAACCTGTGTCCATTAGATTTACAAGTAATAATAAAATAAACTGCATCAATGACAATTGAGGGGAAATGTTCCATGTTGCACTGAAACAACAGAAATGTTGACTTTTATTAAATGTATTATGACAGCAGATTTCACATTATTGAATTAGGTTAGTTGAAAGCAATAATATTAAGTTGAACCTTATTTCAACTTAATATTATTGCTTTGAACTAACCTAATAAAATTATTTGTAGTCTGTTGATATAATACATTTAATAAAAGTCAACGTTTAATTCAAATCCCATTCATTAGTTGAATAGTATATTGATTGATACCAGTTTATTTGCATAAACTCACTGAGTGTGTCTTACTAGTGCATCCGAGGTCTTCAGGGTCCGTTGGTAGGCGGGTGTAACCCTGCAGACAAACACACCTCTCAGATCCCTTCCCATATGTGTTGCTATTCTGTGGGCATGGCCGGCATACTCCACTCTCATTGGCTGGTTTGTAGTAGCCCATATCACAAGCTGGTGGGAAAAGATAGAGTGAGTCCCTTTCCTCTAACTTTTATTTAAAAAAAAAAAAAGAAGTTCTCTTCTACTGTGGTAATAATGTTATTTTCAGAATACAATGACATTTTGCTGTGCATGTTCACCGTCCCCAGATGTTGAATCCTTATGTATTAGGGCTACCTCAAGACCTGTGTGTGTGTGTGTGTGTGTGTGTGTGGTGTGTGTGTGTGTGTGTGTGTGTGTGTGTGTGTGTGTGTGTGGGTGTGTGTGTGTGTGTGTGTGTGTGTGTGTGTGTGTGTGTGTGTGTGTGTGTGTGTGTGTGTGTGTGTGTGTGTGTGTGTGTGTGTGTGTGTGTGTGTGTGTGTGTGTGTGTGTGGTGTGTGTGTGTGTGTGTGTGTGTGTGTGTGTGTGTGTGTGTGTGTGTGTGTGTGTGTGTGGTGTGTGTGTGTGTGTGTGGTGTGTGTGTGCGCGCGCGCGCGCGATGCATGTTGGGCATCTAAAGAAAATACCTGATGCATGCCCAGGAACTTTATTCCAGAGTGGTTGGGTTCCTGAATGACCCTGGTTTTATATATCAGTTCATTTTTTATGTAAGCATTGCGAACAAAGATTATTTCTGACAAGGACCTTTTTAATTTGTCCTTTTTAGATTTATTTTTATATAGTGAACAGAACATTTTGTGTAAAAGTAAAAAATCACATTTATCTTTGACATGTCTTGTTAGTCACTGGCGGACATACACCGTTTGAGCTAAAGCTGTCATATATATATATCTCTATATATATATATATATATATATATATATATATATATATATCTCTATATATATATATATATATATATATATATATAAATCTAAGTAAATAAATCCATCAAGCAGACCTGTGGAGCTTTTAGGAAGCGTACAGTCAGGAAACATAACTCCTCCTCTGACTTGTCTGTCTTCTATCTAATTGTATTCTCTAGTCATCAGTAAAGCAGCATATTTTAAAGTAATGTAATTGAAAAAGTTAATCTCCGTACTTTGACATGTGTCATCCATGACTTGATGGCCGGGATTACAGGTACATCCTCCATGCTCTGGACCCCATTCTCCATCCGCCTCACACTCTCTAACAGGAGGAGAAACCTCCACAGCTCCGTTCACACAGGAGCCCCTCAGGTCACCCGACGCGGCCCCCGTCCCTTCAAACAAGGCCAGGTTACTAACGATGTCAGGGCACCTCCTGTAGTACAGTCTGATGGATGTCAGCAGCACACATGTTCCAGAGTAGGAGAAGGCCAGCTGGAAGCCTGTCCGTCTGACGGGGCCCAGGCCCAGAGCTAGTCTGCGCTCAAAGTACCCGGATGGCAGGACTGCATTGACAGGGAAAGGCCTGGAGGTGTTAAGATTCAGGACGGTCAAACTATTTTGAAAGATTGTCATTGGTGTGTTTATATCAAAAAAGTGAACTTGTAGTGGGCTCAGCTGTTCAGACGGCTGTTGTTCTTGGGCTAAGGAAATATCCATCAGTATGTAGTGGGCATCTTTCCGCTCCATCCACGGGCTTAAAACAGTTCTTGTCATGCGCCTTGCACAAGCTTGAAGCACAGGGACTGAAGCAAGGTTAACTGAAGTCCACTGGGATGTTAGGGAAGATAAGATAACATATTGATACCAGTGTGGGAAAACATTTGATCATAGCAGCAATGTAGACCAACATTGTATATGTATCAAAAAGTATACAAAACAGAACAGTACATATATACGTATCTACGTATACCTAGAGTATCTCTATTGAATATATGATATTAATATACAGATTAACAAATATAATTGAAGTCAGTATACTTTGATAGGCCTAAACTAACAACATGTAAACAATGTATACTTGCTGAAAAGCTGCAGGGTAGACAAAATCCTGATGGGACTCAACAAAGTGGAATAAGCAAATAAATAATAAGGTATGCATACTAATCATTCAACCTAATATGATGTTGTCTGAACAGTGATCCCATTCACTGGGAGTTCTTGTTGAATGACATCTTGGTCAAATTCCCAAATTCATATCCTATGATTTACGTTATATTTCGTTATGTAAAACACAAGCAACAGGCAGGTTGCACACCATGATTGGTAACACAGCTAGAGTAAATACAGTGACGTGTTTAGTTAGCATTTAACATTGGGTCCAATCTTGTATCGTCATTATTTAGTGATGGATTAAACTTTTACTGCGCATGAAACAAGCATTAGAATGATCAAAAATGTGTCATTTCGCATCCCGTCTTACCTCTGCGTTTGGCTCGGATTTCCATTCCAATGATTTCTGTTTATCAGAATGGAAAATCTCCACTAAACAGGGAGAGAGAAAGCCAACACACTCCGTTTAATTATGCTGGACATTTTCAAAACGACAACAGGCGTTTCATAAGAAAAAAAAACATCTATAAAGAGTAAAATATCGTAACATTTGAGCTGGATCATTCCTTGGGGTCACATATTTCCTTTAGTACTGGCTTCTTTTGATTTAGTACAACAATAACAATTTCCTAAATGCTTTCAGCTTTTCGTTATGAGGGTGCTTCCTCTTTCTACAGTTGCAATAACATTGATTTTAGTTGCATAACATTTGCACAAACAAAACAAAATGGAAATCTTACCAGAATGTTTCCGTTAAGGAAAGATATTAAGTGTTAAGTCCAAATTGACATATAATAATAATAATATCTTTTATTTCTATAGCGCTTTTCTTGAACCCAAAGACGCTTTAAACATATGAATGAGTTCAATTGACTGCTGTAAAAAAATGAGGTCAAGAAAGACGACATATCATTAACTTCAACCAATGTATTGGTTACAAATATTAAAACACTTCCTAACAATGATCAAATACAATTATTGAATATTTTGTAAAGTTAAGAAAGATGGTTGTTATTTATCTGACATGTATAGTAATGTTGTATATATTTCCCTTTTGAAGTCACATGATCAATTGATGGATTGTAAATAAAACCTGTATAAATAAAATCATGTTTTTGTCAGGTAAAGATCCTTAGCACTTTCCCATCAGCTCCGACTGTAAACATGATGGGGTTGAACCACAGACTGCAAGAAATGGCAACATGTTGGAAAGTAAATCTGCTAAACACTGTACTTAGTGGGGAATATTGTACGGTTAAAAGATGAATCTTATATACAAAACAAATGATTGGTTTACAGATTGTTATAGATGTTATAACGTAACCAACAGTATACACATGTATTAAATTGCCTCTACAGCTCCAACATTAAAATGCTGCTTAAAAAGCTTAAACTAACCTTTTGCTGATGTCATTTCAATAAATTTGCAAGCATTCTTGTTAACCTTCCGTGCTTTATTGCTCATAAGATCTTCTTCTATCACTGCCTTTACACTAAATAATATAACACGCTCAATATACTATATCATCTTTGAAAAACACAATACTGTGTGTAATTTAACATCAATAATACCTTTGTCTAAGGGAAGTTAACTCTATTTGTACTTTTGCACTAACTCTTTGGTTTAGGGTGTGCAGAGGCAACAGTTAGAAAATGATCCACTTTCTGACAACCAGTGTAATGTCCCACAGAGATTAAATACACGATTATACATTTGTATCAAATAATGAAATGTGAAACACTCACCCTCCTCTGCTTGGTATTGAGTTTCACAGCCGGCTTCCCACAGCAGGATCCACCATAGGAGTAAAGTAGGCCAAACACACCGGGGTGTAAACAGTGTAGTGTTACTAACAGCCATGTTTACAGCGTGTTAGAAATGAGTATCATAATCTACGCCTGCCAGATCTCACATCCAGCCTGTCAGTCTGCACTGAGGGAGTCACTGGAACAATGTTTACATCTCCTTATAATGATTGGACTCAGAGGAATGTCGCCTCCCACACTGGAGTTCCTCTATTATTGCTTTTGACGATACAATAAGACAGTATACTTCAGAACACACTGATATCCTCACTATATATATATATATATATATATATATATATATATATATATATATATATATATATTAGTGCTGTCAAAATTATCGCGTTAACGGCGGTAATTAATTTTTTGAATTAATTGCGTTAAAATATTTAACGCATTTAACGCATGTGCAGAATGGCCCGCCCCATACGTGCCACCAGTGGCAGCGCCAGGGTATGGCTGGGGTAGGCTACACCCATACCAAGAAATGGCTTAGCCCCACCATGAAAAATGATGTTAAAGTAAGCGAAATAAAGTCTGCCAACTCGCGCGGAGTAAATTGCACAGACAGCTGTTAGTAAGATTGATTTCAGTAGCCACGGTTTTGAAAACTTTTGTCACGTAGTGATCGTCTTCTCAATAGAACATCTTTGATAACGGCGTGGTGTTTTTGCAGGAAGTCCCGACGGAGAATACTTTTGCTGTAGTACAGGGTTGCACATAACTGGTACGCAGGTTATGTGCGTAATCTGAAATGCGTACCGTCACTTGTGTCACAAAGTGCATTTGCGTACCGACGTACTTGTGAAGCTTTTCCAGAAGGCGGTTAGATCACCGGACGACAGAGTCGGTCTCCGTGTGCACAGACAGGGCTGCTGTTAACGTCGGTCTGTACAACGGAATTGTGCCAAAACTACGCCAACCGGCTGCGGAGGGAGACTCCCCCCCTTCACTGGAGAACTGCGCTAAAACAGCTGATCACAACGTTCACACTCTGTGGTCAAGAAGTACTCCACGAGCCGCCGCCCCCCCCCCCCTCTGTCGACTTTCCTGAAGTACTCCCCCGTTGATAGAAATCAACACGTAATGAATTAAGACCCCACGGTTTGATGATTGATAGGTGTGTGGGTTGTCTTTCATTTTGACACGCAGAAAAATGTTTTAATAAACATAGATACTGTATGTTAAATGGATATATCCGCCTTCTTTCATTTATCTTTCCATTCCCACAACAATATACATAAATAAATGGCATATTTTGGACATAGTTCGAATGGTGATTAATCATGATTAATTAATTTTAAAGCTGTGATTAATCTGATAAAATCAGTAATCGTTTGACAGCCCTAATATATATATATATATAATGTCCAAAAGTGGATAAATGATTTCAACACTTAAAACTCACTTTTTCTCTTTGGCTTTTGTTTAATTTATTCATTTATTTAGTTCTTTATTCATTTAGTTCTTTATTTTAATATTTATAACATAACATAGGATTTCATAAAGTATTTTTAAAATAGTGTATACATTATTCAAATATAGGAATAGTAGATAGGATTACTTAAAATATAGTAACTTATATTTAATCTTTTTTCCCTTTAGACCCTTGCGGTTTATTCTTAAAAATCCTTACCCTTACACACCCCCCATGTTCCCTCTGCTGGTCTATGGCCTTGTAGAGGGTAACGGTCCCTCTGCTGGTCTATGGCCTTGTAGAGGGTAACGGTCCCTCTGCTGGTCTATGGCCTTGTAGGGTAACGGGGTACAGAGTCGCTTAGATAAGCGGGGGAGTGCATCTGACGAAGAGATAGGTTGTTGTGCTCCCTATCTCTGTTTCTTATCCTATATCTAATAGAACTGCTCGGGTCTTGATAGATTGAGTGGGGAAGTTCATGAGATCTTTCTAGAGGGTTATCAAGAATAACTTTTATCCAATGACATTTTCCCTCTCTGTCTGTGTCTGTGTATTCTCTTGTTCCGATTAACCCAGCCAAATCTTTGTTCTTGTCTTGTATCTATATCTACGCCGGGATCCGGAGTCGAGGCTGATCCTCTTGCTGTAGTCCTGTGTCTTGGATCTTCTATCCTGAGTTCTGGATTAAGTCGTGGACTTCGGGTCGTGGCTGAACCTGTCTCTGCGATCCTGCCTTGGGTCTCGTCATGCTGCTTCCCTGATGGCTTCCACAGGATTGTAGCTGACATCCTCGTGGATTCATCTTCTTATTACAGACACATGTATTTCCTAACATTCGGTCTATATGCTGTAAAATGTATTATCTCTTCGATTTACACACGGCATCTATTGCACGTCTGTCCGTCCTGGGAGAGGGATCCCTCCTCTGTTGCTCTCCCTGAGGTTTCTCCCATGTTCCCCTTTAAACTGTGGGTTTTCTCTGGAAGTTTTTCCTTGTACGATGTGAGGGTCTAAGGACAGAGGGTCTAAGGACAGAGGGTGTCGTTTTTCTCATACTCATATTCTGAACAATCTGTGCTGTTGTATTTGCTGTAAAGTGTCTCTACTGTAGGCTATTTTTATTATATGTACAGCACTTTGGCTCGACCAAAAATCGTTTATAAATGTGCTATATAAATAAAACTTGATTTGATTTGATAATGACGATCATTTTAAAAATTGGAATTGTACAAAAATTCACAAACAGGTTTTAATTCTCAATGCATAAAGACAATTGTAATAAACTGTAATTTCTTTGAATTAAGCTTTAGTATACAAGTATTTAGTACTTGTATACTAGTACTAAACCCTAACCTAACCCTAATAAACATCTGTATTTAGTTTTAGTTCCCAAAGACAAAATCCTTTATGGGCAGTATTGGGCAAGACTTTCTCACTTCCTATTTCTATTTTCTATCTTTTTGGAAATGCTGACTTTAAAGAATTGTAGCTTTCTGTCATGTAAAGAGTATTATTCACCCTCAAATAAACTGAGGACTGAAAAGAATACACAATGTTAACTTACTGAAGTTTGAACCTGATTGTAAGACATTGTAAGACATGTTTTGTTCCGTCTACATTGCAGCGCTGGCACATCAACCTGCAGATATAAGATCTCTCATTTCTTTGTCTGCAACTGAAAACACACTCACAGCCTCTAACACCAAAGAGTGTCATCATATCATTCAATGGAATGAGAAACTGGCATTTTCATTACAAAACATTTCTAAATATTTCTCATTCAATCAAATAGACATTTGTTGAGGGTTGACCACTTTTAAAAACTTCCTTTTGTTTTGAGCCCACTTATCATGTAGTTCATTCTAAGTACTCTTATGAAACTTGTGTCCAGCAGTAGGACAGAGGAAGCTGTTGTCAGAAGGTTGGGAAATAGCTGATTTGAACGGACGGAATGAAGAACTTAAAAAAAGTTTTTTTTTTTAAAAGAACATTTGACTTGGATGGCCAGAAACCTGATTCCAAATAAATGCTAATGCCATTTTCAATGCCAAGCTACGTAATATAAGTGTGATGACAATTTAGCAATTAAAACACAAGAATGGAGTTGGAGCTGTGCAGCTAGCTAGTTTAGACCATAGGTTTAGACTCAGTCAAAGGTCCCATGTCTTGCTTTTCTGGTTATTACCCGTCCCCTTGTGTGTTATGAAGGTTTTTCTGCAGAGTCACAAACCCACAAAGTACACCCTGTAGCGAGTAAAACTCTAATGGACCAATCCGTGGAGCACCTCACACACCAGGATCCCTTGGCTAACTATCAGGGAGTCCCATTGACTTGCATAGAGCTCCCTGGTTGGTAATAGACGAGTTGGGATGGCGGAGAAATGCTCTCCGCAGACCCGTTCTCACAGCGTTATAAACCTTCTTCTTTCTCAATATCAAGCCACACTTATTGTTTTTACTTCGGCTGTGAGTGTTTGCGTGCTCAGGATGAGTTTCGCTTGTTCTCGCTGTATCGCCGACCCGAAAGCCTGTCCGCTCCTCGCAGCAACGAGCCTCGCGACGTCCCGACCAATCAGAGCACAGTGGGCTCACAGGGAGGGGGGGGGGGGCAGGAGCTCCAACAAGCCGTGTAGGACAGAGAGTGAATACACATACTATACAGAGATGCTGTTTGAGAAAATTGGACAATGTAAATCTATTCTAGTAGACCTCAACAATGGAACTATGATGAGTAGAAATGACCATGACATGGGACCTTTAACAGTTATTTCTTTGACTAATAAGAAGCTAAATGAAAGTCAGCCAATACCTGATGAGTTCCCAGAACACTTTAAGCTCTGTCAGTTGTAGTTTGTGCTATTAGCGCCGTTAGCTGCTAGCTAGCTGATTAGCCATCGCCATGTGGAGGCCTCAATTACAGATATGCTCTGAATTACAACCTTTAAAAAACACACTGAAAAAACTAAAACGTTGACTTTAATGCCAACTTGTAACACATACTTGTGTTAGGTTAGTTGAATGCAATAATGTTAGGTTGAGCCTAATGTTTTTTATTTAAACTTAATATTTCTTTCAACTAACCTAATACAATTATGTGTAAATTTGTTGACATAATACATTTCATTAAAGTCATACATGTTTCAGTGCATCTAAAAGACCAACATTAGCACTTCCCCACGCTGAATAAACCCTTTATCAATTCATGATATCAATATAATGCGATTGATTGAAATCATTCCTACATTCTTCAAAGTATACATTCTATTAAATAAAAATCCATGAGATGAAATAAGGCATTCAATCATTTGTATTTTCCAGACTTTACAAATAGTGCAAGTGTAACATTAAAACCACAAATAAAACAGCAATCCTTTAAACCGGTTGTAACCACTTCACACACGAGGTGCACGGAGCTGCTCGCACCAGAGATGTTGGCAACATGAGAACTGCAAACTTTAAAAAGTAAAACAAAACCTCAGGCCTAAAACATCACAGAACATCCTCGTACTGAAGTCAAAGTGCAACAACACTTTAAGCTAATGTTGATATTGCGCTAACAAAGATCACATCTTCTGCTTTCAATTACAAAAACACATTTGCATAATGTAAAAGTATTTCGAATTTCTTGAATAGGAGAGATAATTGTCAGGACTCATTGAATGTGTTGAAACAAACACGTATCAGAACATTTTCCTAATAGTCGGCAAAAGAAACGTCCTAAATGTACAAGTCTATAGAAATATCACTGTCATGATATGAATCCGTTTACAGAGAGGACACATGCTCCTGTGTGAACATTCTCTACACATTTAAATGCTACACTAAGCGATGGCTTTGGTTACAACAATTACCATTTTACAGTTGTCTTGAATAAATAGTAAAACTTTAAATCATTCCAATAAGTTATTTAGAATATCTGATCCGTCCCATAGCTGCTTTCCTTATCCTTGCATTCAATTTGCAACTTTAAACAAACATTTAAACGTAACATTGAAAATATTCAAACTTGGACAGGACATGAGCCAAATTCATTTTCAATGGAATTTGCCATGCGTTAAAATCCTGGCCTAAAACAGGGGTGTTTTTTATAATGTAAAACATCCTTTAATAAGGCAACTTTGGTGACCTATACTTGTTTTTGCACATGCGTTGTTGTACTCACCCAACATGATCAAAATATGTCTATAACCTTAAGTCCTTTTTTACCCTTAACTACAATCTGTTTTCTGAACCTTGCTGTTTTTAAATGTGAATTAAAGGGACAGTCGTCCGTTCAGGGGAGCTGTGACGTAAGATAGCTCACGCAACCTTGAGCTGCTCGCATGCTTTCTTCTGTGCTGTGAAAAAACGTTTTACGTTTCTTTTTGTACGTAAACTGTCCCTTTAAACAGACCTTATCCAGATCCAGGATCCAAAATGGTTTCAGGAGGTAACAGCAGTGTGTTATAGCGTTACATTGTGAGAGATTTGCTATTCAATATGGTATTGTTTAAGGGCTTTCTAACCCTGCCGTGATTAACAGTCACCAGGAACTGCTGAACCTGTTTTTATGAATGTACTGGCACTAGGTAGTCTGCAGCTACAATTCCCAACATGTCAGAAATGCTGCCGAACCTTAATAACAACTGACTCTCTCCTGCCGTAGCCAGCTCTTATCTCTCCCAAACATTTACAGTCTCATACAGACACTTTTTATCAAACACACTTTCACGATTTGTTACAATAGTCACTATAAACACAGCAAAGCACACGGTCCGGACGAACAAGCAGCTCTGTGAAGGCTCTGAAGGGCTTCTGCTCAACGGGTGCGGAATCCTGGGTTAGGTAAATGGACATGGACATTGAATTTGAGGAAATGAATCTACTGCCCACTTTGATTGCACATTTAAAAAAGGGAAACAAACCAAAATAAAATGTGCCTAAACATAGCCTCTCTGTGGTTTGGGGCCATCCGAGTCTCCATTGGAAACACATCCAGCTCCTATTGATCACATGTAACTTCCTGTGTATAAATATCCTCTGACACACCAACCAGCCTGACAGCAGGAGGACCAACACGACCGCACCATTCCTGGTTGTGTCTTCCCCGTTTTCTTTAAGGTAGTGAGACAGTTTTGTTGCTGGAGGCTGACAGAATCACTGCATCACACACTTTTCTTTCTGCTGTTTGGCGTACTTCCTCCTCCGCTGCTCCAGGCCTCGCTCCAGGCGCTCGTCTTCCTCCACAGCCCTGAGGAAGAGGAGAGAGGGGTCTATGTATGCATGAACTGATGTACCACCCATATTTCGCCACAATGCCACATGTGGGACAAAGAGTACGTATGAGTGGGACAATGCGGGACATGTTACTGCAAGGATAAGAGCTTAGATTTAAATACAATGTCTGTCCAACAAAAATGTCTATTGAAACTAAAAGCTTATACATATTAACAACAATGCTTTAAACATCCATGACTTAAACATATAATCCAGGATACAAGCCACAGAGTTGCACCTGCAAGGTGAATACAGAACAACTGGTTAAAAAATAAATCAACTACTGAGTGTCTGAAAGGGTACAACAGTTTTATGATATCACTGCCCCGTCTAAGACACGAGTGGATCTGACTTTAATTACTTAATGTGTTGCTTAAAATAGTACGTCTGCATACAGTATGTGACACTGTGAGTGTTGCACGGCCAGATACGGCTCGAGAAGTTGACTCTGATAAGGAAATATTGTGATATTATATGATCGATGATCTGATTGATGATGTGATATCAGTGTGATATGAATAAGTGCGACACGTCGGCGTCTTCTCTGCATACGGCAGTTTTAAACTGTATTTCCTTTATCCTGTAATATGACTTGATAGATTTAAACTCCGCACACTGAGCTCTGATTGGTCAGCAGTTGATCTCTTTCTATAGACGCCGGAGGCGGGCAGCGTCAGGTAAAAAAAGTGATTTAGCCTTCCCAAACCTGAGCCTCACGCGCCGCCTATGATGTAGCATCAAACCGGATTCACCAAAACTCTAGCAAATGTCTAAAAAAAACTCCATTTTTTTACACCTGTATTCACTTAAAATAAAATCCTGGCAATATATTTATTTGATGTATGTTTCTGTGAGTTTTGCAGGTAGTGTTGCTTCACATTGTATTCCCCTCCATGCGCAATTGAAACAAAACTCTGGAAAATATCTGGAAAACTCCAGTGAGTCTTCCTCCACAGACTACATGAGTTAAGTTACCCTCTGACACAGCTGATGGTGATGCGCTCTCTTGTCTTCTACACAGCCATTGGATTAAAGCCAAGTTTAAGACGGGCAACTGTCAATCAAATGCAGGACATGGGCTACATGTGTGGGACAAATGATAAAGACAGGTCACCCTACTGGCCGTGTGTCTCACCCTCTCTCTTTGGCGTCTATGTTCTGGACCAGCTCGTCCCTCTGGTTGACCAGGGACACCAGCTCCTGGAGCAGCAGCTGCTCTCTGTGTTTCTGGTCCTGACTCTTACGCCACTCTGCACAGACAACAGAGAGAGAGGGAGAGAACGATAAGCTTCAAAGACAACATCAGAACTTGGAGCTGTGCAGGTATTATTTGCAGAATCAGCTTTCTTGCCAAGTATGTTCACACAAGGACTTTGCTTTGGTGTATGATGATGATAATAATAGATTTATGTTGTTAACGCTTTACAGATATAGTGAATGATGATGCAAACGTAAACAACACAAGGAAATCATTTGTAAGAGAAGGTCAAAGACAGAACTATTATAAAGAGAAAATATTAAAAAGAAAACTATTTAGCATTCAAAAAGAATAAAGACAAGTATTTACACCACATTTAAATATACTAAATACATGAAAAATCTAAAAAACTTCTGCACTGTGTTATATTTTAAAATGGAGGGCTGTGCTGAAATGTGTGCAACATATATTCAGAGATGAACATGGCTCACAGTATTACAAAAATAAAAAAAGAACAATATGAAATGATGATCACAAATAGTTTTGGGGGAAAATAACTATTTTGCACTTAAACACACAGACGCCCTAAAACTTATATTAACATGTGAATGTTTTTATCTATGTACAACATGGGGTAGAGGTGCACTCAGCCTCTTGTGGTCGAAATGAGTATTACAACAACATACACTTCAAAATATGCATAGGCCTATCAATGTTACACCTGTATTTGCTTTAAAAAGAATCCTGTCAAAAGTGTTACTGCATCTAGTTCATTATTTCCCCACCTGTTGAAACAAGGTGTAATCTGTTCTTCAAGAACATTTATTTTGGCCTCTCAGGGAATCAGGGAACTTTGGAGTCTTCAAAATAATGTTTAAGGTTCCCTGTGAAGTATTAGCTATGAGCAGCCAATGGATCTATGGATGACACTGCATTATACATATATTAGTGCATATACTAATTAAAAGTAACTTTTTTTGGTCAGTTTGGAATCATTTAATTAACAAGCTCTTATGATTTTTAGTGCTAAGTTGAACCCCATTTTATACATTTTGGGGGAAACGCTCCAATCCCCAGAAAGCTGCCCATCAACTTTATCCATTGTTAAAAGAAGAAGTTATATACAGTATGTTGGCATTGTCAAGGCAGGGGGTTTTAGAAATAACGAAAGAGAAGCAGTCACACATATTTCAAGCACTTCCTAAATGATTATAGAGACTTTGCATTTGAATTCCATGGAATGAGACAGAAAGTCAAGAGGAGCACACGCCTACAGTATGAGCATTGTAATAGAAACATATTATACTCACTTACTTGCTTTAATAATATCATTGTGTGATTCTTATTGGCTAATGTTAATCTATATTTACTACTTCTCACACTTCTTTGCTAAACTTGGGACAATTCCTTATTAAGAAGATGTGTTGCAGTGTTGTTAGTTTCACTCTATGTGCACCAACAGTATGACCTTCAACTCAGGTGAACTGAGAACATCCCGATACGGCCTCGCTAACTCCCTAACTCCCCCTTTCATTATCACCAAGCTTCCCCCCTCCCTTTCTCCCCTCTCTGTGTTTGAACATGCAACCCAAACTCTACTCTTCGTCTGTCACTCTGCAGACTGTATGCTCTCTGTGTGACTGACTGGACTTTCTTGCAAGAAATACTCTATCCACATTTGATAAATAAATTCACTTTTTTCCAGCATGTTGTTAAGGCAATGTACGTTAAGCATTAAAGTCTTACCTTCCATCGCCATCATGTCCCTCAGCTCTTTGTTTAACAGCTCAAACTTTCTTTCCAAGTCCTGTTCCTCCAGCCTGTCAATCACAAGAGATGCATTACAACATCCATGAGAAGAAAAAACGAATTTATCAGAAGCGCCACAACTGGTACTAATGGACCATGCAATGAGATGTATATGTACTGTAAATTGAACAGTATACTACACATAGTTCCAGCGGTGTGTGGAATCTTACAGCAGCTGCAGATGGTCCTGCCTCCTGATTAAAGCGTTCTTCTTGTTGACAAGCATGAACCATTCCTGAATCAACCTCTCCTCCTCCAACTTGTCACTGCCTGCAGGAGGAATGACATTACAACTCTGTCAGTTATAGCCCTTCTACTTCCTTTCTAATTAGGTTAATGCAGTAGTACGATCAGAACTGCTAACATCAAAATGTATCATTTATTTTTTCTCTATAACCACAGTTGTTAATATATGTTTTTATGTAAATGTTGGCTTTTACTATTGTAATACGGGAACATGTGAACATTTGGTGACATGCACAGTATCCTGTAGTAATTGGGCCTTCAAATGACACGTTATTCTTTGAAACCAATTTCTTCCTATCAATAAGTACAATGCGTACTTCATTACCATAAATATGAATTTATTGTGCCCACATGTGTAGCTATAAAATACTTTACGATTATCCTACCTGTTTCTAGCAGTTGTCTGAGTTTCCTCTCGACCACACCTGCTCTGTTATCAATATGATTTTGTTCCGCTTCCAGGGCTTCCATCTGACTCAGCACATACTGGCTGGGGTCCTGGATACACACACACACACACACACACACACACACACACACACACACACACACACACCACAACACACACACACACACACACAGCCACACACAACACAATACACCACACACACACACACACCCACACACACACACACACACACACACACACACACACCACACACACACACACACACACACACACACACCACACACACACACACACACACACACCACACACACAACACACACACACACACACACACACACACACACACACACACACACACACACACACACACACACACACACACACCACACACACACACACACACACACACACACACACACACACACACACACACTACACCACACACACACACACACACACACCACACACACACACACACACACACACACACACACACACACACACACACACACACACACACACACACACACACACACACACAACACACACACACACAATGACCTACGTACACTTGGAGTCAGTTCTAGATATTTAACCCTACAATGAAACAAACCGTACTGACCTGGCCTTCTGGTTCAACCACAGCCTCTGTTCTCTCTGTAAGATGAACACAAGATGTATTGGATAAGAGTAGATATGCAACAAAGGGATTGCATTTTAATTAGAAATGCATTGAATACATGAAAAGAACCTTACTGTAAGAATGAATCAATGCTGGACAACTTTAATTAAACAATGGATATACGTCACAAATTGACACGTCCAAATACAATTTAAAAAAAGGTTGATATTTGTATTTTGTGCCTCTACTGTGACATGTTTACAAAACCGGAAAGGGAACACCACCAGAAGAATCTTTAACATAAATAACAAGATGGATATATGACAGTTGTTCTTGAATTGGACTAACCAGTGTCCGACTTCCTCCGACTGATTATAGTGTCTTCTTGCCCCTCAACAACCTGCAGACACAAAAAGTTATATATTACAGATAAGTAAAAGAGAACAATGTAATGATAAGAATAAAAAGGGATAACCGAGTAGGTACAATACCACTGATATGTCTCCTTCTTCTAATGACCCACTCCTTCGCTGTGAGGACCTACGCTTCTTGACCAGATCAGCGTCTTTGACATGAGAGAAACCAGTCTTGGACAGGAAGTGAGTCCTTGGTGGGGCCACTGGTAACTTAGCCCCACCTGCTCCAGCAACCCGTTTGGTTCTGGGAGGTGGAAGGACCTCCCCGGTGTTACTGTCCGACTCTGCTGCAGCCCCATTGGTCTCCAGATTGATGCCCCCCTCCTGTAGCCTCTGGGCGCAGTAGCGAGCGGTGGCCTCTGGGTCCTCTTGAACATCCCTGTCCCCTGCTACTGCATAGCTGGACTCGCTGCTGTCCTTTTCTATGTGGAGCACACTGAGCTGCTGGCCCGTGAAATGGGTGCGGATCTGGTTGAGGTAGGTCATGACAATGAGGCGGTCAGGCACTGCTAGCATGACCATGTCCGAAGGCTCCATTAGCCTCGATATGCCAAGTTCTGCAAAGCCATGAAAAGCCTGCCAAATGGAGACAAATAGATCAGATTAGGAATTACCACATGCAAAGACATTACTGTAAGGTTGTGTTAGAAATGTATTTAACAGTTCACCTTTTTGTTGTTGATCTTGATGTCATAGGGGTCCAGCATTTCATAATTACTACACAAAGAAAGACAAAATAAATGGTGAATTTAGAAGATTAAAATCAAATCTTTACCTGTAGACCGAGTATTTTCAAATGTTTCTTACATCTTTTCTGGTTGGAAGTGATGTAAGATGGCACAAAACGCGAGGCCGTTTCTCCAGGAGGTGCTGAAGTTGGTGATCTTCAATCCTTTGTGACCCTGTGTGACTTCCTGACACCAGTCCAGTAGAGACTGACTGGATGTTACTAAGCTGGGACTGGGCGAAAAGCCCTAGAACACACAAAATGACAATTATTGTGAATTATTGAAATGTTAATTACATTTAAGACCAAATAATCCCTATTAAGTGAGCTAGAGCTTGTGACTGAATAAAGACTATTATATAATGGTGTGTTTGTCGCTTTGGAGACAAACACACTTGCCAAATGCAAGTTATTTATTCTGTCTATAGCCCAACACAATGTAACAATGGTAATGGTAATGGAAGGTAGATAGTAGGTTCATCAACATGTTCTGCTGCTGGTAATTAGGTTGATTACAATAGAGTTGGCAGGTAATTAAACCAAAACAAAAAACGCAAAGAGGCGAATGAACTTCTTTAAGATGAAGGGAATTGCAAAGTTGGGGATAATTATCAGGTGATATATTCTTACACACAGTTTCTGATCAATCTTAAAAATATATATTTATTGACAAGTGCAAATTACTTCCATAGAGGCAGCCCCATCTGCAGGCCTTTTCTGAGGTGTCGTTGGCTCACCCCCTTGATGGATGGCAGCAGCTGACTTCTCTCTTTTCCTGGAAAGACACACAAAAACAAAGCAAAGCAAGAGATAAGTTCAACTAGTAATTTGATGAAAAGCAAAACACTGCTTATTGATGATTTTCACAATTGAAACCTTTTAAAAAATACCATATTAGATCATTAGAAAAAATGAATGGAAATGAGAATTTCTATTGTGCAGCGTTAGTCAGATATGATTATACCCCCACACATAAATGTGTACCGACTAATCTTACCTTTCCTCCTGTAAACAACCAGTGTCTACATCTACAGACTCAAAGCCAAAGTCCAACTCTTCGTCCCTCATTTCCTTCCTTGAGTTTATTTCCGTTAGTTCACCGTCTTTATCATTGTCTTTATCATTGGCTACATGCAGCCAGTCATCCTGAGAAGATGCAACAGTGGAAGCAAGGGACATATCGACCTCTGCTCCCAGGACCTTTTCAATGTCCGCCTGCTCAGACCCCAACTTTGTAGCATTCTCTGAGTCACGTGTTGCAACAGGTCTTTCTGTAAAGGTCCATCCTTTAATGATTTCATCCAATGCCTTCTCAGTATCTTCAACAGAGTCTACCAGAGTAAAGTCCTCTTCTCCCATTGCTTCTAGCATTCCCTGTTCCAACTCTGATGCAGCAGCACCATCTTCTCCTTCGACCGGGACTTCAGAGATCACACGGGAATCCAATGATGTTGAGCCTTCCTTTGTTTCCTTGCTAGTGGCAGATGTATCCTCAAGGTTTATCTGAGATAATTCCATTTCTATGGGGAATGCATTGTCTACAGGTGGTGGGCTATCTGAATAAGTTGCACTTAGACGTTTCTTGGCCCGTGGCAATGGCACAGGCAAGCTTGACTGTTCATTCTGTTGGACTGATCCAAGACAAGTGTTGTCGGTTCCTTTGTCTTCCTGGCAGGAAGGTGATGAACCAGAGATTGTAATGTCATCTGGAAAGGAACCACTAAGACGTTTCTTTACTCGTGGTTTCGGTACGGGCAAGCTTGAAGCTCCTGATGGTTTCTCAGAAATATGAGCATCCTCTACTTGAACAATGCTTTCAATGATCAACCTGCTTCTCCTCAACTTTACAGGAGCATCTTCTTCAGTAGATGTAGAAGGTTTATCACCCAGAGGAGAGGGGACACCTTTGCTGTGTGGCACCATTGACCATTCTTTAGTTGTTGAGGAAAGGGATGAAGGACACCCTTCCCTTTCTGCATCTTCAACATGAGATACTGTAGACGTGCTTGCCATAGCTGTAACGGTTTGAAGGGTTGTTTGTTTGCCCATTTCTGATTCTGCTATCTCTGATGCATCCTGGGATTTCTGACAATATGTGGTGTTGCTTTTATCAACAGATGCGTCACCAGCATTGTTTGTCTGCTTTATTTCTTCCATTGCGTTTTCGATCTGGACGGGTTTTTCTTGTGACTTCTCGTCAGTTTCAATTTTGCCAGATTTGCTTGAGGTCAATTTCTTGTTGCGTTTTGGAAGTCGTATCTTTTTGATAATGGAGAGAGAAGCAGTTTGCTTAGCACAAAATGTATCTGGCTCTTGCTTTGGTGTGATGCTCTCAATTTCCTTTGGAGAAGAGGCCTGGACAGCTGTATTACTGTCTTTCTTGGGCGATCCTGGGGTAGAAGAGGTTTGCTTTGAGCAGACCAGTTCTGTGTCTGTCTGCAGAGAGGCACTCCCAACAGAATCTTCTCCAGCACATGGAGCGCTAGAGCTACTCTCACAAGGTTGAGAAGAAACTGGATCTGTAGTGTTCAAAGAACAACTGACTTGGGCTTTTAAATATTGTTGGTCATTAGTTTTTCGAACAAATGAGTCTCTAGCGACACTTCCTTTTCTCCTCGGAGGCTTTACAGGTGGCAAACTGCTATCTCTCCTTTTCACACGAGGAGGTGCAACAACAACAATAGATTGAACTGATTTTGTTTCTTCTTTCTGCCTATAGTCCCCTGTGTTTGGTTCATCTTGAGCATGACCATTCTGAGGTACATCAAGAGCAGTGCTTGTGTCTTGTTTGTTGAGATTGCAACATGGATCAGCTGCAGGTTGTATCTCATCAGCAGCATTTCTTCCTTCAGAATGGACTGGAACAACCTCAGGTGGGGGCTTGACTGTCAAACTATCAGTTTTATGTTTGCGGTCTGGTGTCAAACTATCCTTCCGTCGGAGAGGTCGTACTGGTACTGTTTCTTCTTTCTGATCAAACTTTTTCTTCTGAGGGTCTGGAACTTTTCTCTTTGGCTTTCTGCCTCGCTGAGGGACAGCAAAGTCAGCTTGTGGTCCAATTGGACTTATGTCCTGACAACCTGCAGGCTTGTCCATGAGCATCTCCTTGTGAACATTTGTACCTGTCAGTGACTCATTTGATGTAGGCTGCTGGGAAGTGGCAGAAACTCCTTCCATATTTGTTTGTTGAGGTCTTAAAGAAAAGAAAAGGAGAAGCTTAAAAAAAGTGCTGTTTTTTATTTTGTCATAGTTGTACGGTGCACCTCATTTCCAACCAAATAATCCAAACCAAACCAGAAAGACAGCATCCTAATCTTATTACGCATTGCAAAGCGAAAAACTGTCTGTCATTGTAAATATTCAGCTTTACTTGTGTATATGCGGCGGTATATGGGTATGTGGTATACGGTATACGTGGCGGTTTTGGCGCAGTGGTTAGAGCGTTGATCATCAGATCAAGGGGCGTTGGTGAACTCCAGTTCAAACCCGCCTCGTCAGGCTGTTGTGTCCTTGGGCAAGACACTTGACCTGCATTTGCTGCTGTGGGTAATGTCCACAGTAATGACTCTTACATGTCTAATATGTGTAATGTTGTGTAATGTGTAAAGCGCTTTGAGCACCTGCAAAAGCGCTCTAATAAAAAATGTAATGCATTATTATTATTATTATATCCATACTCATTGAAAATACAAAGCAGCACATAAAGGACATAAAGACCACATCTACGTACAACGCAACAAAAAAGGCAAAATTACAATTCTACATCACATTGCCAATCTTTATTGCCATCACAAATAGCTGTCCATTACGATTTCCGAAGGAGTAAGTGCTCATAAGCAGAACAAGAGACTATGTAATGCAGAACATTTACAGTACCACACCGTGCAACCAAACACTTAAATGGGTCATTGTCCCCCAGCACTCACCCTTTATCCAGCTGTGGAGAAGTTGACACTGTCCTAACCTCATCCTGTTCTGTCTCAGTCTGGTGCCTTGCTAACAAACTTTCATCGTCTACAGGTGTTTGATCAGAGTCGTGCCCTGTGAGTGATCTCGCCTTTGTATGATCAAGAAATGCCTCTTGTACTTGCTCACCATCTTCCTCTGATATTTTAGAGATATCTGCCTCAGTCAGTGGTGGCCATTTCTTCATGTTTAAACAAACCGAAACCCCGTCATCACTTTCGCTGGTAGGTGGTGATGGAGAGTCCAACATGTAAGGCTCAGCACTTGTGAGATATTCGGTGTTATGTTGGGGGGGAACGTCTTCAATCTGGCCCTCTATCTTTTGTATGGCAGTAGTGCTGTCCACAAAATGCATTGAAGACTCATCTGAAGGGGTCACTGTCTTGTCTTTCAGATCTATAGAGGAGACAGCCTTCGGTTGGTGCTCCACTTCAGCTAGAGCGGAGCCAGATGGCCCCAAAATGGATGCTACTGTTTCATAACTGTGAGACATGGATATTGGAGTAAGTAAGTGAAACCTGGAACCATGTGAAAGCCATGGTTTCCATTTGCATGTAGGTAATTATATAAAACAATAAGTATCGGAGAAAGTAGAATCAATTCCCATGCAAATGTATCCAAATTAATATGAACCAAAACTTTGAAATCTGCACTTAAAAATAGAATGAGCTTAATGTATGATAAGTGGGCCGTGAAATGCAGGGTTACAAAATGATTTATGCACACTATGTTGCATGCTGCAAAGAGTTCATGTCACAGCATTCCGACACTTACCCTTTGTGGAAAACACCCGCAATAACATTTACTAATCCTGAAGACTCTTCCTCTTTTGCTGACATAAAGGATTTGGTCTGTTTTCCTGTAACTATTCCCTCTGCCTCCACTACTTCCCAATCCAAGACTCCTGCTGGGTCTGATGGGTCCAATGTTCTTTTCCTTGTCTGGGCTTTCTCTGCAACACCCCTTTCTATGTGTGATTTGCTGAGGACCCAGATACATCAAATGTTAGAATAACCCAGATAGGTCACGAAAGCAAAACAATAAAAGATGTAATGAAATACAGACTTCACAGAAATACAGGAATGTACCATGCACTGTATTGTTAATTCACTAGAGTAATGGTTTATTGGTCTAAACAGTCCATGTTAGGCAAGCACTAAACTGACTTCTTTCACAGCAAACAATGCAAGAGCACTGGGCTCTTTTACTTACCCATGATCTACACATAGGTCTATGCTTTGCTTTGCACTGCCTTTGAATTTCTCCTCTGTCATGAAAGCAAACATAGTCAAATACACTAAACAAGATAGGATAAAGAAAAAAGAATGTGACCTGAAAATGCACACTGAAAGTCTCACCATTTGCAAGTTCTGTGCTGGGGAGGCTAACAGATGTAGAGGGAACACCAGGAGTTATTGGGTCCTTGAGGTGCGACTGAGTTGACTGTACATGAGGCAATTCATGTGGTGTAACCCTTTCTGTACAACAAGGGAATGGAATAGTCGATGTTTCCTTCTCTGTTGGACTCAGTTGGGAAATGCTGGGGAGCCCAGGGATTCGAGTTACATTTGGACATGATGGGACAATTGCTACCATATACTTTGGTTCATCTTGTTCATGTTTTTCTTTGGCTTGAAGATTTGCAATGACTAGATGCTTCTCAATCTGCCGCTTTTCAAACAGTGGCTTGCTGTGTGTTGTCTTAGATGGTATATTTGTACATTCAGAACTAAGCATCCTCGCTGATGGAAATCCTGGGATACATGAAACACATGGTGCAGATGTGTATAAGCTGACCATGTTTGGTGGTCTGTTTACAACTTGAGCAGAAGGGAAACCACATGCTCTGGCCTCTTTAGGGCAGGTTGTCACTAATGTCACCATGCCCTTCATATTGTAGCAATTTAGCTCATCCTGTCCAGCAAGTGACATCATCATCATCGGTGCCCTCTTCTCCCGAAGCTTTATCAAAATTGGTTTTGTTTCATTTAGCCACCCTGTGCTTGGGTGTGTAGTCATGGACGCAAACCCTTTGAGACTTGAAGCAATAGAGCAGCTAGGTACAAAACGTATCATATTGGGTTCAATCTTGGATTTAGTTTGAGGTGCAGAGGGGAAGCCAGGGATTCTGGATGCTTCTGGGCAAGATGGTGTTAAGGCAAACATCGTCTTCGCAGTTACTACATCTTGATTTGGACTGTGTATCACAAAAACAGTGCTCTTTATAGGCTTATCACACACGGCATGTGGATTAGGAGGCCATTGTAATATTGAGGCCCCTACAAAGGATGCAAATCCAGGGAGATTGGACACTCTGTTGCAAATAGGTACAAGACTCAGCATATTGTATTGAGAGACGGATGGGAAGCCTGGAATCTTTGATGATACTGGGCAAGAAGGAACCAAAGCATACATGTTTTTGGATTTGTCTACATTAATTGGTGAGCTGTTATTCAGAAACGGAATATTCTTTTGAGGTCTTTGCATCAATGAACCCAGTTCGGCACCCCATCCTTCTTCCTTGTGATCTTCGACTGATGGAAATCCAGGTATGATAGACACCAAGGGGCACAAGGGAAGGAGGTTGACTACATTTAGTCCATAATACACCTTTTTGGGATTTGGAATAGATGGGAAACCAGGGATACTTGACACTTTAGGACAGGATGGTACACAGGAAACCATATTCTTCATTATCTTTTTGCTGCCATTTGGTGTGTCAAATATGACCCTCTTCTTTGGTAACTTCTTCAGCAATGACCCCTTTTCTGCTACCCATCCTACTCTCATATCCACATTAACTGAAGAAAATCCAGGTATTTTGGAGGCTTGTGAGCACAATGTAAAAAGGCTGATAATATTTGGTTCACTACACACAGTTCTGTAATTTGGATTAGAAGGAAATCCTGGTGCACGTGCCTCTTTTGGACAGGATGGTACAAGGGAAACCATTGCTTTCATTGATCTCTTTTGAACTTCACATTTGTCAATCAACAACACCTGCTTTTCTTTAAAATGTGGTTCAAATAGTGGTTTCCTGCTCACTTTCCAATCTTTTGAAGTATGAGATGATGGAAATCCGGGTATTTGTGATGCTTGTGAGCATGAGCTTGAAAGGCTGACCATATTTGTCATGTCAACAACATCAATCTTCCTCGGTTTAGGGACAGAGGGAAAGCCCGGGATGAGTGATTCTCTTGGGCAACTTTGTGCAAGAGAAACAACTCCTTTCATGTCTTTGTCCATGTTATCGTCCCCTAGTAGTGATACAGATTCCCGTTTCATTTGCTTCTCCCATAATGGCTGATAAACAGTGTTCCAATCTTTGCTGTCAGTGTTCTGCATCGAAGGAAAACCCACCATACTTGAGGTAGCTGGGCAAGATTGAAGGAGATTGACCATACTAAATCTGTTATAGCGTACTGTAGAAGGAAATCCAGGGATACAAGCTTCTTTTGGACAAGTTGGAGCTAAAGCTGACATGGCCCCCATGTCTTCATGGTAAGGTCTCTCTTCAATCATGACTGCATGTATTTTTGAACATATTTCCACTAAAGGTTTGTGATCTGTAGACCAGCTTTTGCTCAAATGTTCTTTTAATGATGGAACACCTTCAATACGAGAAGTTTTGGGCAAGAGCTGAAAAGGCTCATCATATCTGATCCGCAATGTGCTATCGTATGTTGTGGAATTGAAGGGATGACTGGTATGCAAGAATATTTTGGGCAGGTTGGTAACAAAGCTCCCATTAGTTCAATGTTCTCTTCTTTTATTGACGCTGGTACGAAAACAAGGTCAGTTTTCTTTTGCAGAAGTGGTTCCTGTTGAGATACCAATGATCTGTTACTGATAGATGGTAAACCAGCTTTACTGGACACACTTGAACTACCAGGGTAACTATCCGCCATATTTGAACTGTTTTGTGGTGCAGATGGGAACCCTGGATGTTTGGCCTCTCTGGGACAAGAGGGTAGCATTAAGACCATTTCCTTTGTGTCCTTTGTATCATCCTTTGATGCATATGGCATGAATATTACATTTATTTTTGATTGTTTCTCCCAGATTGGCTTTGGATCGAGGAGCCAGTGTTTCTCTTTTACAGGCAATTTAGACGGCATGCCAGCAATTATTGTGAGACTGGGACAGACTTCGGAGAAAGTGGACTGTTTGTATTCAGTTTCAGTCTTCACGGAAGATGGCACACATTGTGTGGGTGGGCAGGCAAACTTTCTTTCTCCCATTGCCTTATCCTTTGATGGCGTCTCGAAAGTAGACTCTCTGTCCAGCTGGGTTTGATCTGTTTGTTTAGCAGTTGCTGTGGATTCAAATATGCCGCTCGCTGTTGGGCAAATTGGTAATTGATCTGCAATCCCAGGTTCTGTACGTGTCTTCAATTCATTACCAGTGTATAACATCATTGAAGAGACACTGACCATTTCTTTTATCATTTTCATTTCAGTCTCTGATGCTTTTCTAGAAACATCTGTAGTCGCCTTTGGTAGCTCCTCCCATAATATGATCTTGTCTGTAGAGCATTTTATTGTAGTCGACTTTGGTAGCTCTTCCCACAGTATAGTCGTGTTTGTTGGATGTCTTTGTAACTGCTGTTCAGCATTATTTATTTTGGTTTGGGATGGGGGTTCTTCTGCCCCAGCAACAATTGGGCATGATGGCTGTAGTGAACCCAAGTGTCCATATCTGAAGAGAAGGTCAAATAAAGGTCAAAGTGTATTGTTGAAAGATACCAAATAATAATGATAATGTACAAGAGCCTTTCTATAAGCTATATTGTAATTCTACATACATTTATCACAACTGAATGCAAGCCTGGTACAGTGTACCTCAATGAATGCTATTTTATGATAGCAATGACTGATAAAAAACTGTATATTACTTCTCATCATCATTCTTAAGACAAATAATCAACTCTCAAGCATGCAATTTTAACAAATGATATTCACTCCAAACAGCCTGTATTAAAACAACCGTTCACTTGAGTTAAAAAAGCTGCACTGCAAACAAAACATCATGCCACAGTATTTGTTTGTGTTGAATAAACTACTACATGTAACAGCCACTGCAGTAAAGCCAGCATTAGTACCGAGTTAACATTCCTTTTTTTATTACGATGTTGGATGTTGTTATACACCTCTGGGATAACTTTGTTTTTACCTCCAGAGTTATGTAGAAAACCTTAATTTTTAACATTTAAAACTCTTCAAATAACAAAAAACGATCACAAATGTTTTTAATAATTCATGATTAGCTGAAAACTGACTTCTATTCCGATTTATTTAAGGATGGGTTTATAAACTGACTTGCACTTTTGTTTTACTGCCATTAAAGTGTTTGTCAAACCATGTTGCTCACTAGCACTACTGCTATAACTTCAGTGGACATTATAACAATTAACCATGCAACAAACAACAATACACCTATAGCAAACTGACAAGAGCAGAGGCTGTGTATTAGCCTCTCACAGTTACCCTCTATCAGAATATCTAACACACCCTTAATCCACAGTGTCATAAGGTTTAGGAATGATGTCCAATGACTCTCCCGGCAAAGTTGTATGTAGAGTATTTGACTCTTCTAAGGGTATGATACCATAACCCTTCACGCTCACTACAGCAGTTTCTACTTCTTTGCCCTTTTCATACATTAATATCTGTTTTTCTTGAATATGCTTTTGACCTCTGTGACTGAAACAATACAAGTAACAAGAGGAAAAAACGGTATAAACCACAGAACTACTCAAAGTATGACACACAACAAATGCACATTTTGCAGTCAGATTGTGTTAAGATAAGGCAATGCATTATGCATCACATCATTGCATCACAGTGCAAGCCAAGGCAACCCACCTCTTCCTAACACTCAAGATAAGTGGCATGTCAGGAGTGGAGTGCCACATTCTGCAATGCACATTTCTGAAAAAGACATTTGAAAAGGCAAATGTTTCAAAAACTAGCACGCTGACATCACAGAGAGAACTCCAACTTCAAATCTCCATCTCACTCACCCTTTTTCTAGAACAGCTATTTCTTCTTCTTCCTCAATCGGTATCCAAAAGCCCCGTTCATCTTTATGTCCCTCCAAAGTTGAGCAAACATCAGATTTTGTTTTCTTTGTGTCAAGATCTAATCTAGTTGGACTGGCATCATCCCACAATATGTTACTCCCATTAACTATGAAGGATTGCTGGTGCACTTGAATTTCTGAATTTGATGCTGGTAAATCCTCAACAATGGCCTTGATAGGACAGGTTGATGACTCAATCTCCATTCTTTGCTGTTCTTTCAGTGAAAGCTTACAAGCCATGAGGTTTGTCCTCTGCTTTACACTTATCTTAGTTCCTGGCCAACCCTGTTCTGAATGATGCACATGTGTTGATGGTACCCCGAGAACAGAAGCTTTCTTTGGGCAAGATGGCACAATATTTATCATATTTGGTAGCCGGTTTACACCAGGTGGTGGAACTGCTGTGAGGCCAGAACTGAGAAACATTTTTGTAAGAGGACGTTTAAGAGGAATGCTTGCCATTATTATATCTTTGTTAGAACTATCTGTGGTGTAAAGATCCCCTGGCGTCTTAATTGTCACCACTGGCCATCCCACTACTTTAGAATCAGAAATAATTGAAACTCTTGAGGCGAAACCAATGATACGTGAGTGTTGTGGGCAACATGACAGCAACTGTAACATTTCTGGATGTTTTTCCACAATGTCATCAACAGCTTTGGGTCTTGGAGCAGATGGAAACCCAGGGTGCAGGGCTTGTCGTGGACATGATGGAAGCATACTCAGCATTATTGATGTGTCCCTATATGACATTTCTTTGACAGGTAAATCTTGCTGGACAACTCCATGCCTTCTATTGAATGTGTTTTCCCAAACTACATCCTTATCCATATACCAGCCATCAGAGTCCTTTGCAATATTCTTTGCAGGTAGACCTGAAATGTTACTGTGTTTTGGAAAAGTGGTCAAGGATTTTAACATACTGGGAGCTTCTTTCCTCACAACTTTCCCTGGTCTCTTTAAAGCCTTTGAGGGAATCCCAGGTATACATGAATGTTTCGGACAGGGTGGCAACATTGATACCATAATTCTTAACAACGCCTTTTCTTTGAAATGCATTTTATGGTCATTTATTACTGACAGTCTACCTGGCTTCCTTAATGGTTTTTCCCAAATTGGGCTTTTGTCTACACTCCATTCTGCCTCACTGTAGAGTAGAGAGGGTATTCCACGAACCCTAGAATGTTTTGGATAAGTAGGTAGCAGAGTTATCATATTTGGTATATCTGCCAACACTTGACATGGCACTGATGGAAAACCTGCTAAACAGGCTGTCTGTGGGCAGGAGGGCAATATTGATACCATATTTATGAGTGTATGTCTATCAGAATAGAACATATTAACATCCTGTAAATCTAACATTGCTGCAGATAATTTCCTAGGGAGTAGCAGTGGCTTACTTTCCATTGGCCACCCTAATTTTTTGCCGGTGTCTCTGCTTGGCATTCCAGAAATTCTAGATTGCTTTGCACAACTAGGGAATATATTCACCATAGTTGTACCATCTGCTAATGTCAGAGCAGAGGGAAACCCAAGGACCCTAGCATTCTCAGGGCAAGAGGGTAACATTGCACTCATACTTTGAGTAGTGTTCTTATCAAAACACAAAACTGAATTCAGAATGTGCACTTCCTTTTTGATTAATGGATTCTCGCACTGTAAACCTTTATCCGCAAACCATTCATTGCAAGTGGACAAACCAAGTTTTTGTCCAGTTTTTGAAGGCCAACCAGGGACCCTACTTTGTATGGGACATGAAGGCATTACGTTAACCATACTGGGTTTTTGTCGTGGAGCAGAGGGTAAGCCAACAACGTTGGCTTTTTGTGGGCAGCTTCTCAACATAGCTACCATATCTTTAGGAATTTCTTTTGGTATCCACTGCTCAATGTAGGTTGGTGTTATTTTCTCTGGTTTTCTGTTAATGAATCGTTTCATGGCACGCCAATCTTTGTTCTCAGAATTGTTTTGATCTTTAGATGGCATGCCAACAGTTTGTGTCTGTTTAGGGCATATAGGTGCAAGGTTAACAATACTTGGTAAACACTTCTTGGGTGCTGTGGGCATACCTACAAGGCAAGTTCTCGATGGGCATGAGGGCAACATATCTACCATATGATTAAAATGTTCTTTATCCTCATATGACTTTCCCTGAACCAGAACAGTATAACCTCTCAATGGTCTGTCTAAGATACATTCCCTCAAAATATGCCATGTATCATTATATACCATAGATCTGTGATTACTTGGCATACCTACAATCATTGACTGCTTGGGGCATGTTGGGAGTAGACTGGCCATACTTGGAGTATTTGAAACATTTTGCAGGCGTGCAGATGGAAACCCTGGAACACTGGCCCTAGTACAACATGTTGGCAACATAGCCACCATGGCTTTAGTATCACCCACAGATTTTTCCTGAACACATGACATTTGCGAAATAAATGCTTCTTTTATCTGCAATGGTTTCTTCCATAGAGAACATCTGTCCCAAACCATATCTTCATATCTAGTCGCTGATCCAGCAGCAGCTAAACCTGGAATGCTGCACACTCTGGGACATATAGGTAAAAGGCAAGTCATATTTGGCTCACGTTTTAAAGCAGATGGGAATCCAGGAATACTTGCAGACCTGGGGCAGGTCGGAGCTAAGTCCACCATACTTGCAATCCCTGCACTACCCCCATAAAAGGAACTAACATAATCTGAAGACAGGGGTGAAGGAAGTCTGTTTATGGGTAACTCCTTAAACAATGACCTGCAATCAGCAGGCCAAGTAATAACTTGAGACGGATGAACAGACGGCAAGCCAGGAATCTTGGAATATTGTGGGCAGCTTGAGTGTAATTTAATCATACTTGCCACTGTTCCTTCAATCTGAACTTTAGGTTGTATAGTGGACGGAGAATGAGGAATAGAAAACCCTGTTGTACACAATGGACTAACTTCCACCTTAGATATGTACACACACTTTTCCTCTACACTTACTACAGGGCTTGGTACCACATGTCCCCCCGTAATACTGCTATCTTTTTCAGACACTGGTCTTTCATTGGTGTACCTCACATCATTTTCAGTTCTGCCATTTGCCATACAATGTTCTGGATCCAAACCATGTGCATCAAAGCTTTTTTTGTAGGTTGATGCCAAATCTACTTTAAAATCTTCTTTTTGTTTTAATAAATTGTCTGTTGTGGCCTGCTGTGCTGAGACCTTGTCTGAAACAGTCCTGTTGCAGATAGTGGTCTGGTCCATGATGGGTATTGGAACAGGGCTTTTTTTTTGTGTGTTTCTTTTTGGCTTCTTTTTCTTTTGTTTTTTTACAATGGAGCAGTCTCCAGACTGAATATCAGGTGTTTTGTTCATCACCATTGGAGAAGAAGCAGAACTGGCATCTCTGAGACAAGATGACACTGAGGCAGACGTTCTTTCATTTCTGAAGGAACAAAGTATACCAAAGATTGTTGTCAAATGGCTGGTGTTCTTTTTAGAAAGTCTGTTTACATCATTATATACTTTTGCATTGCAACTAAACTTAACACAAAAAGTAAGGACATTTGTGTTTGGTAGATTATTTCTTTGTTGTAACAATGCTTCTTGGCAATACATCTTATACCGTTGGAAAGCCTGTTTTCTTACCTTTCAAATGGTGCTACATTTGTAAAGACCATGCATTTGTGGGATGAGCAGCAGAGCTGGGTATGTGGGGTGCGCCCATGAAAAATGGGACAAATATCCTCTGCCAATGCCAAACAGCAGCCACTCTCCGGTCTCGTACGGCTGCCAGGAGAACTGCCATGACTGCCTTCACCTTCAGGCCCACTCGCACTGGAGCCTCAACATGTGGAGGAACATTATGTTCAGAGCACTGGAGCCTCAACATGTGGAGGAACATTATGTTCAGAGCACTGGAACCTCAACATGTGGAGGAACGTTATGTTCAGAGCACTGGAACCTCAACATGTGGAGGAACGTTATGTCCAGAGTACTGGAACCTCAACATGTGGAGGAACGTTATGTCCAGAGTACTGGAACCTCAACATGTGGAGGAACGTTATGTCCAGAGCACTGGAACCTCAACATGTGGAGGAACGTTATGTTCAGAGCACTGGAACCTCAACATGTGGAGGAACGTTATGTCCAGAGTACTGGAACCTCAACATGTGGAGGAACGTTATGTCCAGAGCACTGGAACCTCAACATGTGGAGGAACATTATGTTCAGAGCACTGGAACCTCAACATGTGGAGGAACGTTATGTTCAGAGCACTGGAACCTCAACATGTGGAGGAACATTATGTTCAGAGCACTGGAACCTCAACATGTGGAGGAACATTATGTTCAGAGCACTGGAACCTCAACATGTGGAGGAACGTTATGTTCAGAACACTGGAACCTCAACATGTGGAGGAACGTTATGTTCAGAGCACTGGAACCTCAACATGTGGAGGAACGTTATGTTCAGAGCACTGGAACCTCAACATGTGGAGGAACGTTATGTTCAGAGCACTGGAACCTCAACATGTGGAGGAACATTATGTTCAGAGCACTGGAACCTCAACATGTGGAGGAACGTTATGTCCAGAGCACTGGAACCTCAACATGTGGAGGAACGTTATGTTCAGAGCACTGGAACCTCAACATGTGGAGGAACGTTATGTTCAGAGCACTGGAACCTCAACATGTGGAGGAACGTTATGTTCAGAGCACTGGAACCTCAACATGTGGAGGAACGTTATGTCCAGAGCACTGGAACCTCAACATGTGGAGGAACATTATGTTCAGAGCACTGGAACCTCAACATGTGGAGGAACGTTATGTTCAGAGCACTGGAACCTCAACATGTGGAGGAACGTTATGTCCAGAGCACTGGAACCTCAACATGTGGAGGAACATTATGTTCAGAGCACTGGAACCTCAACATGTGGAGGAACGTTATGTTCAGAGCACTGGAACCTCAACATGTGGAGGAACGTTATGTTCAGAGCACTGGAACCTCAACATGTGGAGGATCATTATGTTCAGAGCACTGGAACCTCAACATGAGGAGGAACATTATGTTCAGCGATGAGTCCAGATTCTGTGTACGGCACAAGGATGGTAGGGTCCCGGTGTGGAGAAGACGTGGAGAACGCCTTGCTGATTGCTGCACCGATAGACTACGAGGGCAGAGGATGGGATGGCCTCCTGCAGTCCTGACCTCAACCCTATTGAACACTTGTGGGATCATCTTGGGCGTGCTGTCCAGAGTGACCAACACAACCACGTTGGCTGACTTGGGACAAATGCTGGTTGAAGAATGGGATGCCATCCCACAGCAGTGTGTGAGCAGGCTGGTGACAGCATGAGGAGGAGAGGCTGTTGTGGCTGTGTTTGGTTCTTCCACACGCTGCTTGTTAAATGAATCAATTGTTAATAAATACATTGTTGCCAATAAGTCTTGTTTCATCAGACTTTAATCATCCAATCCACCAAACAACTCCAAACAAGAGTCAACAGAAAAAAGCTGATTGGCATTGGCAGAGGAGATTTGTCCCATTTTCCATGGGCGCAACGCACATACTCAGCTCTGCTGCTCATCCCACAAATGCATGTTCCTCACAAATGTGGCACCGTTTGAAAGGTAAGAAAACAGGCTTTCCAACGGTATAAGATAGTTTGCCAAAAAGCATTGATACAACAAAGAAATAATCTACCAAACACAAATGTCCTTACTTTTTGTGTTAAGTTTATTCATACTGAACTGCATGTTCAAGACAATACAATGGGTATTTAACTTACCCCAAATCCATAGTTACAGCTTCTTTTTTAAGAGTCACTTCTATTGCTTTTGTGTCAGAGGTTGCAGCAGTTTGAGGGAAGTGCAACAAAGCTCCCTGGAGTGATCTGGAAGTAGGTTGGGGGCTGGTGGGAGTAAACGGTACATTTGTAACCAGCTCTGGTTTGGCTATTGGATTCCCTAACTGAATGGATATCTTGGACTTCTTGTGACTTCTTGGGTTATCCAGGGCCTCCTTGACTGAAGCAGATGTGTTAACTTGAGGATCAGGGTTTTGCTTAGGTGCAGTAAGGGAGGGAGGTACTGTTGGCTGGATTCGTGGTAATTTCATTGTTGGCAATGATTCTGTTTGATCCATCTTTGTTGTTGGCATCTCAAAATAGTTAAGCCCTGGGGTTACGGGCATTCTGGGGCTAAGTGGCAGTAGTGAGGCCATGCTCTCAGGTCTGAGGGACAAACAAATGAAGATCTGAGTTATGTTGCTACGTCATCAGGAAGGTCCCCACGGCAGTAATGCACTCCATATCCAGGCCACAGAATTCCACAGAAGCGAACAAGCAAATTAGCAATGTGACATGGAACCACAGAAGGAATGGCCAGTCCTTGCTAGGCAGCAGTTTTTAAAAGTATAATGTTCACTCAAAATGCACTGCCAGATCACTTGGAACTTGCTTCATCAACATGACTTTGACTGGGGTGCTCTCGTTTATTTTTTAACGTTTAAAGAATCCTTTTTAAAAATCGCATAAACGATGTTATTATTTCACATGCAACTGAACAAGCAGCGTAATAACACGTCTTTTGTATGTTTTGAATATAGAAGCAGCTCAACAGAGAGAATCAAGGTCTTGCTTCATCAGATTTACAGTGAAAATAACAAGATATTTAAAAAATATATATGATGTAAAATAAATGTTTATATCTCGTTTTTAATGCTATATATTTTAGCTTAGCATACTTCTTATTTTCTGTCTTGTTGCCGTCTGAGGTTAATAGAGTTTTCTATATAACATAACAGAGTTCTCTAGTTAACGTAATTGAGTTTGAGACAAAATCATTTGTAAGATTCCCAGAATTGCTTTCAAACCAAACAAATGAGGAGTGTGTTTGTGTGGGATTAAGTATCTGATGCCAAAACTGCAAATCCAAGCCTGACCAATCAATGGCAAATACATGCCAAAACATGCTACACTACATTAGCTACCTCTTTTAGCTACTGTACCTTTTGCTAATTCTGTTAAATGGAACTGAATTTGCATTTTACAATCTATTCACTTCAGAAAATATATTTGGCTCTTCCCAAGCAAATTACTTAATTTGGTTCTACCATTTTTGCACTGTTCAGGTAACATAGAAGCTTTTGAACTAATGGCAGCTGTGCATGCTTACATGTCATTTAATACAAACCTGCACACGCAAATAATGATTTGTCAACCTTTCCATAGTGGAGGGAGTCATTTGATTCAATTATCAAAAAACATTCCTTTGCTTTAATCCCATTATTTACTGTCTCTTCAAGCTTACAAAATGTTATCTGTACAATCTTTTGTTTGTATAAATATCAGGTCTGCTGTGACAGTCCCAGGTACCATACTGCCCTGAACAAAGTCTTTTGTGCTTAACTTTAATTATGATGAAGGTTGTAGACAATATTTCACCAGAAATGACTGGAATACATCAAGACACATCATCTCTAACCTCATATAAACCCAGCCTAGCTCAACCTTAGATTCAGAGACATTGTTTGTCAGACAAAGAGCATCAAGGTAAATAGCTTGAAACAGCTGTAACACTGCAATCTGCAAAAAGATGAGAACCACTTAGTGCAAACTTTAGCTTCCACATAGAACCAAGTTAATAAGTGTGTCTGTGTAGGGTCAAGCAACAAAAAGAACCCATGTTAAGATAGAAAAATGTTTATCAAAACGAACCATTTCTCTCAACATACAGGCAGTGATTATCTCCTATATCCCATAGTTGCCAAATGTAAGTATGGAATAGATATATATATATATCATACAAGACATTATCATGTTCAAACTGCAAAAAGAAAGTTGGTAGCAATAACATGCAGTGCAATTAACGTTAAATGGATCATATTACTAAAAGAAGAGTCTACCCCAAATGCTCTAACATTGTTAAACACACATGGCAGCAATCGGCTTTGCAATGTACTTCTCCAGGATCTATACAAGAAATGCCAAATAGTTGTCAGGCAAGACAAAGAGAAGTCTCATTGATCAGCGGAATGGCATCACCAGTTGTTTAGTTAAGCTTTACACATTGAAATGAATAAATGTTGCACACCGTTGGGAGGAAACAACCTTTATTTATATTTGGGTTTGTCCCTTCCCTGTAGGATGTGTGCATGTAAATGGTCTGCAAAGGCTACAATCCCTGTGTTCCCTCCAGAGGGAGTTTCTCTCTAGGTTAAAGGGGGTCCTAATATTGTTGCTCTTGGGGTTTCACAAAATCCTGCCTGTTAGACATTTTCTGGTAAATAATTTTGAAGAGGCTCCAAAATGTTAGACACAACAATGCCAAATTGAGATACTTCTACTAGCCTTTTGGAGCCCTTTTGAACCCTATCCCTATTCTCAATCAAACTGCTACTTCCAATGTCTCAAATAAACAACCCTGCTCAACTATTTACATATGCAACCCGTACAAAACATCCAACATCACACATTTTGAAAACAAGTGTTGGAGTATCAGAGGGTGGATTATTCCTTTACAGCCATGCCAACCACACCAAATATGCAAAAAACACCAAACCAGATCAAAAGCAACCTTTTATATGAACTCACCCTGCTGATGCCTTAACGACCTCGGATCCAAATTGTGCGTCTCTTTTCCGCTCTGAAGCCCTGGAAGACTCGGTCCTAAAGCTAGGCGGCAGTCTGGGATCAGGGGCTGAACAACAAAGGCATTTTTGTTCGAGTTAAAAAGCTGTGTAGTCCATAAAAACAGTCACTTATTCTACTCAATGTGTGTTCAAGCTCACTTGTAGGTGTTGTAGACTGGTTGTCCTCTTCGTTTAACGTACTCAACTGTCTTTTGAATTCTGAAATCAAAAGAAAACATGGAAGAGAGATTACACATAAAAAGCTTGAAGTTTAAATGCGACCATGTTGTGTTGTTTCTCTGCTTTTATGAGGAAAACCAGCAGGGGGAGGCATGTGCTCACATATTGGTGAGGTTTAGTCACTCAGTGGAGCATCCCTTTTGATTTTGTACCTGCATCTTGGTCACTGTGAGAAGGTATGGCAGCTTGGGAAATATGAGGCTGAGAAGGAGGAGGAGGAGGCCCAAAGGATATGAGAGCAGAAGGAGGGCTGAGAGAAGGTAAGGGCGTCTGCAGTGCAGCAGGAACCTGGGGTCTCCAGGACGGAACAAATGCAGAGCCTCCCTGGAGCCTCTGCTCTGAAGAAGGGCCAGGGTGCACAGAGGCTGAAGCTGACAGAGAGGAACACGTGGGAAAGAGGAAGGAGGAAAAGGATAGAGGGAATTGAAGATGGAATATAAATGACACATAACTAAAGTATATTTAGCTAAATAAGTTCAGCAAGCATTTTCTCCTATGTTGTTTTTCGTAGCAGTCACTTAGCTCAGTGAGTAACTAGGTAAACAACAGGTAGTGCAGAACATGAACAAATGTCCAAGGAAGCAGCACATGAGGAGCCAAGAGCAAAACAAGGTAAATGGGAAAAGCATGGGATGGGGATGGATGAAATGGATGACTTTTGCTAACCCCTCTATAAAGAAACTCTTTAAAGAAAGAACATTTGAACCTTTGCAGACCAGTTACATGCCTATAGCAGGATAGGACCTCTTTAATGTTTCTCCTTAACTCAGTAGTTTCCTAAAACAGCAGGTCACTAAAGCTTTTAACAAACGTTCAACTGACTCAAATAGTCCAATTGTATGGGACTATTTTCAGCTGCGGATTGATCCAACTTTGGTGTTCTAGTGAGTATTTAAGGCAGCAGGAAATTGTACGTGGAATTGAGTCAAAAGGAAAATACAGCATGTGAACAAATCTAAATCCAATGAGAGTCATGACCAAATCCTGACCTGTTCAAATCCACTTGGGCACTGGGGCATCAAATAAGCAGTGAATCTAAATGAGTCTCAACTCATTCTATCTGAAGTCCTCATCATCATGATGACTGATGAATGTAATTATAAATACCATGTTAGCACAGGAGAGGAGGAACTGGGTTTAGATAAGAGGAAATGAATGACACACAGGTAGAGCAGGGAGGGTGAGGCTGAATAACAGTGTGCTCTGGGTTAAAGGTGGAGCATTACATGGCGTCTCTATCGGCTTTTTCTGTGGCACTGCAGGCTTTCCAGGGTCCTTGGCAGAGAGATGCAGGAACTTAGGAGAAATGGCAGGTTGTGCTAGAGGAGCCTGAGATTTAGGAGGCCTCCATTCACTCTGCCAGGAAGCTGGAAAGAAAAGGGAAGAACATGGAGGGATGAAGGGAGAAACAGAAGTGACAGGTATTTGAATTGGAAGGTGGGAGCTAGCCTCTGACAAGACCCTCCCTGTACCTGTCTCTGGGGCCGAGGGCAGGCTGGTGGGCCGGGTTAGGCCAGAGCCCGGCTCCCCCACTGAGAGGGGGCGAGCTTTAGGGTTTCTGGGAGCAGGAGGAGGTAGAGGAGGGCAGGAACTGAGAGGAGCTGAAGATGAAGCGAAGGAGGAGAACGGAGAAGAAAAGGAAGGGACACTGGGACAGGCTGAGAAAGCAAGACAAATGAAAGAAATAGAGAATAATCATTTGTAATTTAATAAATACAAATAATAATACAAAAGTCCCTGTTCATTTATTGTATTAAAAATGCACTTAAATGAATGTCATAGCAGTGTCAAATGGGCAAAAATGTACATGTCGCCAGGGTGTCATGTCTCCATCACAGCATAAATACCTGAGACAGATAAAAGCTGAATGAATGGCATATCTTTAAATATGAGCTTATGTCCATCTTTTCTATTTAATGGGAAAGCAGCATCAGTCCGAAAAGCTCATTAAGACCACTGAACAGCACCATATGTATACCGTCATTTGAATAGTCTTGTCGATTAGAAACCAATCACATTCTTTTTATTTAATGATGTAATACCTGTTTGGGAGGTACCAGGGAAAGTGGGAGTATGTAGAGATGGATCAGAGGGTGAGGCAGAGAGGAAAGAGGTGGCTTTAGGAGGGGTGAAGGTAAAAGCTTCCAGGCCCTCAGCTGGAGTGGAGCCACTGTGGAAGCTGTGGGGCCTCCGCGGAGCTGAAATGGGCCCTGAAAAGATAGCAGACAGGAAGTGGTGGAAGTGAGAGGAAAGGGGAGAGAGGGAAGACAAACCCAAAGACAGGAAGAGGAAAGGACATCACTCAGTGTTGTAAAGTAAAGCCACAATGTAGGCAAGCTTTCCCTGACAAACCACAAATGGAGCCACCGGTCTTTACTGGCCTTACAGCAGAGGTGGAAGAAGTACTCTCTACTTCTCTACTGAAGTGTAAGTAGCAATACTGCAGTGTACAAATACTAAGTTAGAAGTGAAAGTCCTCTATTCAGAATGTTTGAATTCAAAAATACTTGAAATGAAAGAACCTGTTATGGAAAGCCCCAGATATATTTTTTTAATGTATTACAATTATTGGTGCAATAATGTGTTCATCGCTTCAATGTTGCATTTGGTTAAGGTGGGTTTATGAATTACTTTATACACTATTGTGTAGCCTAACCTATAATAATATATAATAATGTGTGTTGATTTATATTTTTGTATTAATAACCTAAATCTGGAAAGTAACTAGTAACTAAATCTATAAAATAAAAGTAGTGGAGTACAACATTTGCCTACAAAATTTATTAAATAGAATAATGTAAAAATACTTAAGTACCAGTAGCATACCTACATTTCCTACTTAAATACAGTACTTGAGTGAATGTCTTTATTTGCATTACACCACTGCCTTACAGTGTGTGGATGGTGATGGAGACCAGTTGAAAGACGGAGGTATTTCTACACACACATTGTCAGCGAGAGGCCATTGTTACTACACTGTGGTTACTCATGGAGACAATGACTGGAGGCTGAAAGACTCAAATTGAGGGCATTCCAACTTATCAGCCCGGCAGGACACTACAATGACAACATATTACATTACTCCAGATCACATGTTTTAAATTCATGGACTTTTTCTATTCATTTGATTCCATCAACCAAGGTATTAAATGACACTGATTTCTGTATGTGGTGAAGAATCCAGATCTGATTAAATCTGATTTTAGGCCAGTTCCAAGTCTAAATCAAAACAAACTAAACGAGCTGAACTACAGGACCAGCCAGTTACAATGCACAAATGATATGGTTTGTATCCTAATGGTTTAATACATTTAAAAAGTGTCAAAATCTAAATAATGTCAGTGTCAAGCTCAAAGAAATACATTCATATTGCTGTTTTTATGGTAACATCAATTCAAACTCAATAATGTCAATTCAACGTGATGTCCTTTGAGCTGCTGGAAAGCTCCTAATGTGGAAAACCTGGGTTTAAAGTGTTGAATTATTGACAGCAAATGGAAGCAACTAGGTACAAATTCATTAGAAACTGGTTTCAGTTTAAAAACATCAGCAATGAATGACTGGATATGAACATTTGAACTACAGTATGTACATGGAACCGATGCTGAGAAACGTTATCAAATATATATATATACATATCTAATATTCCTGGAAACCATACACACTGAAAAAACGGAACCATTGACTTTAATTTAGGTTCAACTTAATATTATAGCTTTCAACTAACGTAATACAGTTGTGTGAAATGTGTTGACGTAATACATCAAATTAAAGTCAACGGTTCATGTTTTTTCAGTGCAGAGTGGTAGGAATTAAATTCCACAAGTAACAGAGAAGTGTAGGACCATCAAATCTGACCCTGAGTGACCACACAGGATGAGGAATATCTGGTAACCGATACCTGATCCGGCAGCGGGCTGGAAGATTTTGGGAAGTGCAGGAGGGTGAGCACGAGTAAAGGCTGGCAGTGAGTAGGCATAGGGGGAGGGCCGGGCCTGGGGGCCAGTGCTCGGTGGTCGGATGCATAGAGAGGATGGAACGGGGGGGGTCTGGGGGTTTGGGCAGAGGAGGCTGAGATGGGGCTGAGATGGTGGAGGAAATGCCAGAGGTCGCTTTCCAATCCATCTCTGAGGATGAGCAGAATGGAAGGACAGGGTGAAGAGAAAAGATGGAGAGAGGGAGGAAATGAGGAAAATAAGAAAAAGGAGGATGGCAGAGCAGTTGAACACAGAATACAGATGGATGAAAGTGGAGATGTAGGAAGGAGTTGTACAGCATATTTGAGGAAACACACGAGAAGGTGAGGAAGTGAAAAGGGGAAGAGCAGTGAGATGGACAGTGATAGTAGGTATGTGTTTATTGTTGGCTTTTCTGGCAAAGATTAATATGTTTTAATATAAACATATTAAATAAATTAAACAGATGCTTAAAGGGGCCCTACCATGCTTTTGGGCTTTTCCCTTTCCTGTAGTGTGCATGATGAATTAAGATGGCTTGTGTGCATGTAAATGGTCAAATCCCTGTGTTCCCTACAGGGGGAGTTTCCAACACATTGTACGTGATAGGCTAAGGGGCGGGACCTCTGTAAGAGGTTGACCAATCACAACAGAGGGGCCAGCTAACCAATCAGAGCAGACTGGGCTCTGGTTTCAGACAGAGGCAGTATGAGAACATTAAAGCATGGAGACATGTAGAGACACTACACACTGATATTAAGTTGAACATTAGCATAATAGGGCCCCTTTAAGATGAAACAAAGTGCAATTTGGCAATCGGAAGGTGGTACAGTGGATCCGTGGACACACAGTTACCTGCAGGACCTGATTCCATTGCAGGCCTCCAAGCCAAATCATGTACTCTCATGAAAGAAGAAGCAGAGGCTGTTAGAGGAAGAAGGAACAGGAGACATACAGATTATGTGAAAAGGGAACTGAGTTTTGAACATAGGAAACAAAAGGGGAAGCAGCTGGAGAGGAAACAATTGAAATAGAAATATAAAAGGTGAAAGGGAGATCCTTAAAGTTAATAGAGATGACGGCAAACATTGTAGTGTTGAAGCTGCAAATGACAGTGCACACATTCCCCTGCTTAATCTACAGCAACACTTTGTTTGACACAGATTCATTTGGAAGCATGTGCAGTGAGTAGCCGCTGTCCACAGGCTTGGGCTATGTGTTGAAAAAGCAGACAGCATTCAGTCATAAAAGAGCATGACAAATATAAGACGGGTCAAGTAGTACGTGAGATGAGTTTCCAACAGACAGATGGACTGACAGAAAACACGCACATCCAAGACCGAACAAATGATCTAACAGGCAAATGGGGACTCAAATCTGGTCTTTTAACAAGCTAGGATGCCATGTCATAGACAAAGAAATGGTATGGGTCTTGGAATTTCATTAGAGAGTAGAGAGTGCACAAAAAGAGTTGTTACAGTAGGCAGTTGGAAAGCTGGAGGTGTGTACATTAATAAAAAGAAGCAATAGAAACATTGGGTGAAAGCTTCTCATGTTGAGCCAGGACTGACCGAGGCTTCCCAGGTTATAATTATACACTTTGACAGCAGCAGATTTCATCAGCTGTGGCTTAATAACCCTGGGAATAATTGAGGAAAACTGACATTTAAATGATCTGTTGTCAAGATTGTATACTCAAAAGGGTATAATGTGGTTTCCTCCATCAGATCGCGTCAGTCCTGTTTCAAGGGTTGCTTCCTTCCGTTTATATCTCATTCAGCTCATATCAGTACTTATAGCTCATCAACTTTAAGTCGTTGAATTAGGACCTTCAGTATCAGTCTCACCAGTGACATGAGAAGCCGGTCCGAAGCTGGCCCTCCTCTCCTCGCCACCTTCATCATCACTGTCTGCAAAGTCATCCAGGTTTCCAATGTCACTCTGTTTCATGCTCAACAGACTGGCCAGACTCTGCATGTCCTCATCTCTGTGGAGAGCAGAACAAAACATTAGATGACTCTCGGAATCTTGCCAAGTATATTTGTCTAACATCCAGTCAGAATATGTCTTAAAACTTGACATACTAACTTAAGAAGTAACAATACACTGAGATATAGGGTCTTGTTTTAAACAATGCATCTGAATTATCTTCAAAGACTGCTTTTAAGCCTTTCTGGCTTGTTTTGTAACACAACATTTATTGATTCTGGTAAATATAGTTCAAAATAAGTTTTCCCAGGAAATGACAAGTTATTTATTATGTAGATATCCCGTCTTATTTCAAGAAATCTTTCCAAACACATTTTCCATTGTTCTATTGGCAGGTTTTTGTACTTGTTTTTGGAGCAGCATTTCTTTCAGTGCAAGGAAAATCCAAATCGGTATTAATATTTTAAGAGATTGATTTAAATTCCGGGATACAATTTGACAATTACTGCTTTTAGTAGGTGGTATTCAATATGCTTCTGAGTTGATGACTCACGTGGCTTTGCCCTCTTTGAGGAAGATGCAGGACAGGTTCAGTTTCAGAGTGGCCTCCACCACTTTGACGGACATCGGTTTGAGCTTCAGCGTCACATCGTACTGGGCCGGCGTGGCACTGGCAAACTTCTTCATGTTGACGTCTGCCGATGCCAACACCTTCCTACGGCCTTTTGTCTCCTGTAAATAAAACCAATGAGAAGAAAGTTCAACACAGAAACATTTTCCTTCCTTAGTATTATGTTCTGATTAAAAGTGAATTCAATGAGAAAACCCCGATCCTGCAGACTCACATTTTCAATGACAAAAGTCCAGTCCTTGTCCTCAAACTCCTCTGCAGTAGGTTCCTGTTGACAAACAAATAAAACACACACTTCCCATCAGTAATCCAACAATGTATAAACTGCTACCAGGGATGGAAGAAGTATTCAGATTTTTGACTCGAGTAAAAGTAGCGAACTCAATTGTAACAATACTCTGATACATATAAAATGCCTGCATTCAAAGTCTTAATTAAGTAAAAGTACAAAAGTATCCGCAAAATGTACTTGAAGTACCAAAAGTAAAAGTACTTGTTATGCATAACGGCCAATTTCAGACTCACATATATTACATTTGTATATAATGATAATTGATGCTCATTACAGCTGGTAAAGGTGGAGCTAATGCTTTAAATAGTGCTGCTGGATATCTAATGTCAACGTTTATTGAAGAATGTATTTCTTTTTTGTATTAGTAAAAATCTGAATCTGAAAAGTAAATATGAATTAAAGGAGTCAGATAAATATAGGGGAGTAAAAAGCACAATACTGGTTGCCACAATGTAGTGTAATAGAAGTATAAAGTAGCATAAAATGGAAATACTCAAGTAAAGTACTAGTATTAGGTACTTAGTTATATTAAACGACTGAATGCTACTACTTTGATTCAGCCTCTTACCTTGAAGAGTGTGACGTTGATGTCCAAAGTCTCTGGAACCTGCCACAGCACCGTGCCTCTGTAGGGGTTTCTGATCCCGGGCTGCCAGCTGTGGAGCTGAGGAACAGAACACAGACACAAAGGACTCGGTCTCTACAGCTGCTTCAGTGTCCTCCGGACTGGACTGAGACACGTTGCAGTAATATTACCATTAAAGAGGTTCAACTTAATATTATTGCTTTCAGCTAACCTGATACAGTAATGTGAAATCTGTTGACATAACACATTTAATTAAAGTCAACGTTTTTCAGTCGGTATTTAAGCATTTCCAGAGCTCACTTTAAATACAAGACTAAGGTGTATACTCTTGGAACCATGCAAACAAGAACACATTTCATCAAATGTTCACTCGTTATCGAATGATATCAACAGGCCGTTATTGGGGGCTTATATTTAGGGCTGGCTCAGGCTAGTCTTGAACCAGCCCCTAGTTATTCTGCAAGGCTTAGCCTGTCAGGGGGCTTTGACTTTCACCTTTCATCTCTCCTCTCTTTCTCTTCTTCTGTATTCAGTCATGTCCACCTCTTTTTGCACTTATGTCCAAAAATGTATGTTAGTAACTATTCATTTTATACATAAACACATGCATTTTTCTAACATTTGGACTGTTAATATAGCAAATTCATTATCTTTGTAATCTATAAACTCAACATCTATTTCAGGTCTGTCCAGGAGAGGGGTCCCTCCTCTGTTGCTCTCCTTTCATCTTTCCCTGTCAATAGTGCGGGGGTCTACAGAGGGTGCCGTATGCTGATCTAATTGTGATTGATTGATTTGAGGTAATATGGCCCTACTCTACCTCCTAGTTGGCTCAGTAGGAAATGATAATCTACTGGTAAACTGTGTCACTGCGAGAAGGTTCTTAACTGTTAGCCGGTGACCTGCAGTAGCTGTATTCATTATGAAGAAGCAACAGAAGAAGTTATTACTGATATCAATTAGCTAGTAGCTGTCTAGTACAAAGCGTCTTTTTTTAGACCAATGTATTATTGCACAATCATTGTTATGGAATAAACTCAACGTAATGTAAAAATGAACACAATTTGGTTATAGAGGAGGTCCTGGTGGATGACATGTTAGTTAGTGTCCTTTGTGAACCCTAAAGCCATCACAACTCTACTTCTAATTAACCATAGTACTTATTTTAACCCAAACCACCATTTTTTATTTAACCAAGAAATACGTAACAAGTCATATTTAAATTCACAACGCTGACCACGTGTTTAAACCATTTCACTTTCACAGCGTGTGCCGGGTCGGTGCAGATTGGCCCATACGAAGCATTATAATGGTGGTGATAACAACCCATGACAGCTATGCCATGGGCTCATAACATTCAAAATGAAGGACATTTGAACCAATATGAGCCCTGTGAGACCATTTTAATTCCTCTCATGTGGTTGTTCTCTGCTTCCTCACCTTCGTGCCGTGACGTCTGTTCCTCCTGATCCACACCACTCTCAGTTTGTCTGGTTGCCTGTAATCACAGAAGAGCACAAATACCATTTTAGTGTTTTCCAAGTGTTCCTTAAATCACCTTTTTTCCATACACCAAGGTAGAGTTTCCTTTCTCTTTGACTGCTGTGCAAATAAATTGTAAATGTTAATGGTAAAGGAATGCATTTATATAGCGCTTGTACAGTCTTTAAATAAAGTTCTATAGTAAAAAGTGACTAGACAAGACTGGGCTTGTTACTGAACTCCCTCTCTTGTTCACTCCATTCACTATTCTATACATATTTAATATTGAATAGTTCACTTTTTAGTGGGCAAGAATATTGACATGTGTGACTTCTTTGATTCATAATAATTGTAGGGCTATCACTGATACTGCTTGCAAGTAAAAAGCAGTGGACATAAATAGACAGGCAGACAGACAGACAGACAGACAGATAGTGAACACACACACACACACACACACACACACACACACACACACACACAGGAGCAATAAGGGGGAATCAAGCTCAAAACAAATGTCAACACAAAACAGCAATGTGCATGTTTTCTGGAACAGTTTATGACAAACCTATGAGGTCACCATTATTGGTGATTGAAACAGAAAGTATTACATTTTATATGGCTGCAATGATTCCTACAATTAACACCAGGCACGTACACACATAGACATCAAAGTGGGCTTGAGCCCCTGCCCTTTTTCTTCCTCCAGAGAAAGTGCCCTTTTTCCCCCCTTTTTTATTTTTATAAATGAATATATATCTACTGCTGTTTGCGCACAGTTTCCCTTTCCAACATATTGATTGAATACAAAATATCAGGTCGGGAGATTAGACTGTGAAGTTCCGTAGCTCTCCCTCCCCCCCTCCACGTCTCAGGGTAGCAGCACCTCCCACCTTACAGTCCCTTCAGACAGACAGGTAGCAGCACCTCCCACCTTACAGTCCCTTCAGACAGACAGGTAGCAGCACCTCCCACCTTACAGTCCCTTCAGACAGACAGGTAGCAGCACCTCCCACCTTACAGTCCCTTCAGATAGACAGGTAGCAGCACCTCCCACCTTACAGTCCCTTCAGACAGACAGGTAGCAGCACCTCCCACTTTACAGTCCCTTCAGACAGACAGGTAGCAGCACCTCCCACCTTACAGTCCCTTCAGACAGACAGGTAGCAGCACCTCCCACTTTACAGTCCCTTCAGACAGACAGGTAGCAGCACCTCCCACCTTACGTCCCTTCAGACAGACAGGTAGCAGCCCCTCCCACCTTACAGTCCCTTCAGACAGACAGGTAGCAGCACCTCCCACTTTACAGTCCCTTCAGACAGACAGGTAGCAGCACCTCCCACCTTACTGTCCCTTCAGACAGACAGGTAGCAGCACCTCCCACTTTACTGTCCCTTCAGACAGACAGGTAGCAGCACCTCCCACTTTACAGTCCCTTCAGACAGACAGGTAGCAGCACCTCCCACCTTACAGTCCCTTCAGACAGACAGGTAGCAGCACCTCCCACTTTACTGTCCCTTCAGACAGACAGGTAGCAGCACCTCCCACCTTACAGTCCCTTCAGACAGACAGGTAGCAGCACCTCCCACTTTACAGTCCCTTCAGACAGACAGGTAGCAGCACCTCCCACTTTACAGTCCCTTCAGACAGACAGGTAGCAGCACCTCCCACTTTACAGTCCCTTCAGACAGACAGGTAGCAGCACCTCCCACTTTACAGTCCCTTCAGACAGACAGGTAGCAGCACCTCCCACTTTACAGTCCCTTCAGACAGACAGAGAGCAGCACCTCCCACTTTACAGTCCCTTCAGACAGACAGAGAGCAGCACCTCCCACTTTACAGTCCCTTCAGACAGACAGACAGCAGCACCTCCCACCTTACAGTCCCTTCAGACAGACAGGTAGCAGCACCTCCCACTTTACTGTCCCTTCAGACAGAGAGGTAGCAGCACCTCCCACTTTACTGTCCCTTCAGACAGACAGGTAGCAGCACCTCCCACTTTACAGTCCCTTCAGACAGAGAGGTAGCAGCACCTCCCACTTTACTGTCCCTTCAGACAGACAGGTAGCAGCACCTCCCACTTTACTGTCCCTTCAGACAGACAGACAGCAGCACCTCCCACTTTACAGTCCCTTCAGACAGACAGACAGCAGCACCTCCCACTTTACTGTCCCTTCAGACAGACAGACAGCAGCACCTCCCACTTTACTGTCCCTTCAGACAGACAGGTAGCAGCACCTCACACTTTACAGTCCCTTCAGACAGACAGGTAGCAGCACCTCCCACTTTACAGTCCCTTCAGACAGACAGGTAGCAGCACCTCCCACTTTACAGTCCCTTCAGACAGACAGGTAGCAGCACCTCCCACTTTACTGTCCCTTCAGACAGACAGGTAGCAGCACCTCCCACTTTACAGTCCCTTCAGACAGACAGACAGCAGCACCTCCCACTTTACTGTCCCTTCAGACAGACAGGTAGCAGCACCTCCCACTTTACAGTCCCTTCAGACAGACAGGTAGCAGCACCTCCCACTTTACAGTCCCTTCAGACAGACAGGTAGCAGCACCTCCCACTTTACAGTCCCTTCAGACAGACAGATAGCAGCACCTCCCACTTTACTGTCCCTTCAGACAGACAGGTAGCAGCACCTCCCACTTTACAGTCCCTTCAGACAGACAGGTAGCAGCACCTCCCACTTTACAGTCCCTTCAGACAGACAGACAGCAGCACCTCCCACTTTACTGTCCCTTCAGACAGACAGGTAGCAGCAGCACCTCGCACTTTACTGTCCCTTCAGACAGACAGGTAGCAGCACCTCCCACTTTACTGTCCCTTCAGACAGACAGACAGCAGCACCTCCCACTTTACTGTCCCTTCAGACAGACAGGTAGCAGCACCTCCCACTTTACAGTCCCTTCAGACAGACAGGTAGCAGCACCTCCCACTTTACAGTCCCTTCAGACAGACAGGTAGCAGCACCTCCCACTTTACAGTCCCTTCAGACAGACAGGTAGCAGCACCTCCCACTTTACAGTCCCTTCAGACAGACAGGTAGCAGCACCTCCCACTTTACAGTCCCTTCAGACAGACAGGTAGCAGCACCTCCCACTTTACTGTCCCTTCAGACAGACAGGTAGCAGCACCTCCCACTTTACTGTCCCTTCAGACAGACAGGTAGCAGCACCTCCCACTTTACAGTCCCTTCAGACAGACAGGTAGCAGCACCTCCCACTTTACAGTCCCTTCAGACAGACAGGTAGCAGCACCTCCCACTTTACAGTCCCTTCAGACAGACAGGTAGCAGCACCTCCCACCTTACAGTCCCTTCAGACAGACAGGTAGCAGCACCTCCCACTTTACTGTCCCTTCAGACAGACAGGTAGCAGCACCTCCCACTTTACAGTCCCTTCAGACAGACAGGTAGCAGCACCTCCCACCTTACAGTCCCTTCAGACAGACAGGTAGCAGCACCTCCCACTTTACAGTCCCTTCAGACAGACAGGTAGCAGCACCTCCCACCTTACAGTCCCTTCAGACAGACAGGTAGCAGCACCTCCCACTTTACAGTCCCTTCAGACAGACAGGTAGCAGCACCTCCCACCTTACAGTCCCTTCAGACAGACAGGTAGCAGCACCTCCCACCTTACTGTCCCTTCAGACAGACAGGTAGCAGCACCTCCCACCTTACAGTCCCTTCAGACAGACAGGTAGCAGCACCTCCCACCTTACAGTCCCTTCAGACAGACAGGTAGCAGCACCTCCCACTTTACTGTCCCTTCAGACAGACAGGTAGCAGCACCTCCCACCTTACAGTCCCTTCAGACAGACAGGTAGCAGCACCTCCCACCTTACAGTCCCTTCAGACAGACAGGTAGCAGCACCTCCCACTTTACTGTCCCTTCAGACAGACAGGTAGCAGCACCTCCCACCTTACAGTCCCTTCAGACAGACAGGTAGCAGCACCTCCCACCTTACTGTCCCTTCAGACAGACAGGTAGCAGCAACTCCCACTTTACAGTCCCTTCAGACAGACAGACAGACAGCAGCACCTCCCACCTTACAGTCCCTTCAGACAGACAGGTAGCAGCACCTCCCACCTTACAGTCCCTTCAGACAGACAGGTAGCAGCACCTCCCACTTTACAGTCCCTTCAGACAGACAGGTAGCAGCACCTCCCACCTTACAGTCCCTTCAGACAGACAGGTAGCAGCACCTCCCACCTTACAGTCCCTTCAGACAGACAGGTAGCAGCACCTCCCACCTTACAGTCCCTTCAGACAGACAGGTAGCAGCACCTCCCACCTTACAGTCCCTTCAGACAGACAGGTAGCAGCAACTCCCACTTTACAGTCCCTTCAGACAGACAGACAGCAGCACCTCCCACCTTACAGTCCCTTCAGACAGACAGGTAGCAGCACCTCCCACCTTACAGTCCCTTCAGACAGACAGGTAGCAGCACCTCCCACCTTACCTCTCTTAAAGAGCACCTTCGGGGGAGAGCATTGCAAAACTGGCCCCGGTAATGGTACAAATCTCAACCTGTCGTTCAATGGACAGCTTCCCCCCCCCCCCCCCCCCCCATCTATGTATATACTCGCATTTTAGACTCTGTTACTAACTGTATATCTGTAGACTTGGTATGTCTTAAATGTCCGGTTAGGATGTATTAGAACGAAATCTAAAATGAAAATTGTAAACAAGCAATCTGTATGTAAAAAAACCACCTGTATGTAAATTGTAAATAAGCCATCTGTATGTCAAATATGTCTTATATGTCTTAAATGATATGATGAATTGGAAATGGGGGACCCTGATGTAAACAAGACGAAAGTCTTTCTCTGGTCTGCATCCTCTTAACAATTGTATGTTTTGAGCTGTACTGTACTGTACCCAATATACAAGCTGTTAATAAACTTTTCAATCAATCAATCAATCAACAGTCCCTTCAGACAGACAGACAGCAGCACCTCCCACCTTACAGTCCCTTCAGACAGACAGGTAGCAGCACCTCCCACC